TGACGTCGCGTTCAGTGGCAATAATTAAGCATCGTATTTGTAAATTATGCACGAGATGGTTGTAGCCACATACCAAGATAGACAGGCGAGGTGCTTTAGTTTTTTACAAATCTAGATGAAAAAACGGGCAACATGGAACGCTCGTTCAAGTTCTGCCGGAGTCGTAAATTTTTCCAACGTATAATCGATTGTTAAATTATATATTATTACGTTTCAATTTGTGGATTTCCGAATATCCAAAGCAATATAGGTCGATAGCGTCTTTTTTGGATGTTACAAGACTGGGGTATGTTACCTACCATTAAGTTAACTCCTTGTCTATCGATACTGAAAAACAGTATGCGAACTGATGCGAAGAACCGCCCGGCAACAGAAAATTGTCACCTTCCGACACGAGGCCGAGGAAATGTACGAACAGCTAGTTCAAAAGACTCGGCTTAATTTGTTTACGATGATCTGTTTATGGGCAAGATATGATTTATGTTAGGAAGGGATCGTCCGGATTATTTTTAAATTACAGAACCCGCCGCGGATTTATTATCGTTATTTTTACATCTTCGCTGTCGGCGGGCTTCGAGTGTTACTTCGACTTTGGGATGTTTTATGTATTCTAGTGGTTTTCGGAAACTTATCTTCATAATAGTCGAGAATTCATTTAGTGATGGAAATTGGTTGGTATATTTCTTAGTTCTTCATACTAATAAAGCAAGGCAACTTACAAGGACCACGTGTGTTTCACGTGGCTAGAATAATTCGTCTGTTAAAGTCTGAATATCAATATACAATGGGTGGTTCAAAGCAGTAAAGTGTAATCGTTCTTGCAGCGACATTCAAATGCTTTTTTGTTTATTTAGTGTAGTGTTCTTTACGCTACAATCTGAAATTTTTAGATTGTGACTCCCATTTGTGGTCTTAAAAGTGAACAAAACGATTTCTTTAATAATACGGATCTTCATGCTGTACTTTTATAAAATATAAAATTATGTCTGCCTAGAAAATATTTACAATCTTAATTCTGTGAAATTTCAGTTCTGTCTTTCTCAATATGTGAAAGTCTCATGGAAATTAGTGTAGCTGGTTGTGGTAAGCCACTTTAAGAGGTAGTTATACAATGCAGATAAAGAGGCTATTTGATTTGAAGCTTCGTTATCTAACTCGGTGCTAAATAGAAAATTTGATGGGCCCTTTACGAGTTGTTCAAGGGCAGTTTATGGCCCACTAAATCGTGATACAGAGGCCGTTAAAGCCCCGTCCTCATTCAATTCGGGGACCGATCATGTTTCGTTATCTATTTCCTATTGAAGACACTTTACTTTTTCATTTTCGACTACGGCGGTCTGAGTGAACTTAGCCAGTCTATGTAAATTGTATGCGCTCAACTTGGTGTATATTCCTATTTTGTTTTTAAATCTATAAATATATATATTGGCCTATGTCAATCTGTAAGCCATTCTATCTTTTTGATGACACGTGAAATTCTGCCTGGCCATATAACATCTAAACAAAGATACAATGCCGACCTCTTTTCAGACCACAGACTAAAACCGAATCGCGATAAACTTACCGACTTTCCGGATGTATTTTTTTTTTATTCCAACCCCATCTAGACGAAGACTTAGAATATAGTAAAAAAATATATAGATAGATTTTTCAGATACATTTAAGACCCTGTGAAAATCGAACCCACGTCGATCCATTCATTATTATTTTTAGCCTTACGCTATTATTACATCAAAGCGTCCTTCGAGTCCTCGATAAACGCAATCACAGACAAGCGTGAGTTCACAGTCTAAGTAATTAAAGAATTCTCTCATAAACATAGCATAAAATGCGCATAGTTGACCTCAGTCCCCGCGCAATTGGTGGCAATTAGAATTTAATTACTTAATACAGATGGTACATTAATTGGAAATGTTAGTGGGTTACGATATAAGCCAGTCCCCGGCGATAACGCGCTGTTCGTGTTATTCTATTATTTATTAGTTTCATTAAACAGTTTATTACTTAATTCGGTGTTTATGGACATTGGATTGAGCGAGATGTGGTTTTAGTAGGCTTTAGAGTTGCTTAGACGCACGTTGACGCAATTTAATTTATACTGCTCTCAGTAATTATATCCATCGTTTTATTTAATTTGTTCTTAGCTATGTCAGTGTCTTCGTTCGGGTTTTGGGCGATAAAATTTACTTATCTCTTCATCTTTATAAACTATACCTCTTACCCACGACGGCGATTTTGGAAGTTAATCTTAAAAGATAGAGATATATAGTGTCGCGGACATTCGAGATCATTTCAAGAGGAATTATTGAACATGTTGTTTGGGCATCTTGTTAAGGAAGGTCGTGCTGTGTCGAATAGGAGCGAAGAATCAGCGGGAAATGTCGAAAAAACAGGGAAAATTATTGATATCTGTGGGTTTCCGATGCGTACGCTGCAAAAACGGTTCAAGATACCCATTATGTACGAAAGAATGATGTCTCTTTAAATGGTCTAAAAAAAATCCGACACGGTTAATGTCTATCTTTTAAGATTAACTTGCAAGAACGACGGGACGCGACCGATGTCGTGGGCAGCTTAAATCAATACCTAAACTTTTCTAGTAATATTAATATGATATCAGTCCACTGACTCCATGCTCTGAAAGCCTTCTTGTGTTTGGGCGATTTTGTGTACAATTGTAGACGTATCTCTATGTATCAGACGATAAAGCTATCATTTAAACAATAGGTCGTCATCGCTTCGTCAGAGCGACCGAATGACTAATATTTCGAGAAATGTCTGTCAGCAGTTACGAATGAGACTTTCTTGAAAGGAATTTTATGGTGGCGTCATCCTGTTTAGAGTAAATGTCGGAGACAGTAAAAGACGTGTCTAAGTCGAGATATGTCATTCACCGGGCAGGGCAGTCTTGTCTAAATCAGTCAAGCCGTATCAGAGATGCAGAGGAACAAACATACATATCGTCTAGATGTGATAACTCGTAGGGACATGCTTGTACAACTGACGAACTATAGAGGAAAGTCAAAAAACTTATTTTAATGCCAGGAAATAAATATTTTTTTAACGGTATATAACATGTTTTTTATGCATTTTACCGGCTCGTCTTATGGTTACAATGTATGTAATAATTAACGGATTTTGGGTTTGATCTCCACCGGGTTCAACATGGTTCTTGGCAATTCATAATGTCCGGGTCACCTCCAACCACAGTCCACAGACAATTCATCCACAGAGTTCTTGTGAAGTCTGTGGATTTCCTGGAAGAGCTTTAGCTGTCTTTAGACAATATAGGTCGATAGCGCATTTTTTATAGATGTTATGTGGCTGGGGTATTTCACCTTCCATCAAGCGAACCAAGTTGTCTGTCCTATATCTTTAAAAGAAAGTTCCATTGTTACCCAAAATTATTCGGGATTATGCATCACGTCTAGACTGACGTTACATTGCGTCTACCACACGGATATTTAATAATAAATTACAACTAAATTTAAAGATCTCAAATAAGAAGACCTTATTTAAGGTTGAAAATGCTTCACCACTCGTATTATAAGCAGTACCAGTCAAGAATCGAGACCCAACAGCCGAAATGCTCGTCGATAATCGAATATGACTCCTTGCCACTATCTCGTTTCTCCGAGATTCGAGTGTAATTCGATTAGACTTGGTTAAGCCAATTACAGACCTCTTCGCTAACTTGAGTGATAAGATATAAGACACTGTCTATAGTTTACGCGAGTAGTACACATTTGATTAAAACGCTTTAACGGTTTAAAACGCGATATATTAGTTAAACTTATTTAGAAATTATTTTCACTACGGGTTGACGTTTGACGGATTTTTTGCAGCAGCCGTGATCACGTGGTCTCCCCGTAACCAAGGCTGCTGCGAAGCATCCGACACGTCGGGCCGAAGTTAAAAATCATTTTCAAATAAGGGGTTGTCCATTAATCACGTGATCTTTTTTTAGCATTTTTACCCCCCCTTCCCCATTGGTGATACGTAGTGAGGTTTAAGACCCCCCCCCCCCTCCCCCTTATTAACATCACGTGTATTTTTAGTATCTACAAAGAATCTTACCAAGAAAAATTCAAGTCTCTGACTTGGCAGTCAACTGGGTAAGCAAGTTGAGCCTTCGATCCTGATTATCATCAATAACTTGATGGAAGAATACCCCAGCCATAAACTGCGTTAACTTGACTTCTATATCATTGAAATAAAACATTTAACGGTTTAAAAATATATTAGTTAAAATTATTTTATCTTTGGTCCGACGTTTCGCTGTAAATATTTCTCGTTTAAACTGTTAAATTGTTTTATTTAAATATCTTATTATTAAATAATTTGTGCGAATTCGTTGCATTGCACTTTCGGTTCAAATTCATGTAAAGGATAACGGAGAAAATCTATTTATCTCATTTGGGTGTTACGAGTATCTATCGGGTTTAAATCCGTCGAACTAAGTTATAAACAATGCCCCTATAAACGTAAAAAGTTTTTCATAAGTTAGAAATATTGCCTGGAAATACGAGAATTGTTCGTATTTCGCCTCGTACGAATATCGGAATTCCGTTCGGGTCACGACTAACGAATCACCCTTTATAATATGGAAAAGCTGTATTGCTAATATCAGTTTCTGCTTCAGTAAATTGATATCTTGAATGCCAAGTTCGTAAATGGGTCGTACTTTACTTGTGTTTTATGATGGTTCGTTATTATAGTCGTTTTTACGAAAATTCGTAGTAGGATATGATATTTCTTCTTTTTCTTCACGGATGACTTTATCTATGGGAGAAATATTGTTAGCATCATCATTTACGAGTATAATTTTTAAAACTCCACTAGAACAATGAGTGCCATTTAAATAAAACACTTTAACGGTTCAAAACGCGATATATTAAAGTTAAAGTGTTTTATTGAAATGTGTACTACTCGCGTAAACTATAGACAGTATTTAATGACTGCCAACTAATAAATTAACATCGCCCGTTTGTCCATTCCAGATGTAAACTACGAGTACATAGTCGACCAGCAGCCGATCGGCAAGTTGCTGTTCCGTCAGTTCTGCGAGAAGAATCGGCCCCACTACCACAAGTACAACAGCTTCCTAGATGCAGTTAGTATCCACTCTTTTATATTAAATGTGAGATATATTTGTTTTTAAAAGCTTCACGGCCTTTCATCTACGGATGGTGGTTCGCCCATTTCATATCCGGATTTACAGACGAAGTCGAAATTAGAAACGTGTTAGACCTGTTGGGGTTCGAACCCACGGCCCGTTGATTATTAGCCATACAACCATTTGGCCAACGAGCCGTCGAGTCCTTCATACTATTTATACATAGTTTTCTTTGTAAGTAAAGTACCCCTAATTGATTAATATTGATAAATATTTAATTTACCAATCTTATTATAAGTAATTCGAGTATTACGTTACTTAGGTATGAAGCTAAATAAAACACTTCAAACGGTTTAAAACACGATATACTAATAAGTTAACGTTAACGCATCTTATACTTTTAATTTTGTTCAATTCTATTTTTTACCGCACCACGATATATATACACGGGCATTGTCTGTAGTTTACGCGAATTAATATGTTGCGCGTTTGAAACCGTTAAATGTGTTTTATTTAAATAAAAAACGGATTCCTTTTTATGAAAACAATAATACTAACATACTTGCTATTTATACATATTCTTTTAAAAAGATAAGGCGTAAATTGATTCTAAATAAAAATTATCGTAATATATTTCGCGCCGATGTTAACTTTTTACCGTAAATTAATCTCGTCTATATGAAAAGAAAGTTATTACCTGGCAAATGAAACGTGGAATGTGTAATTACGGATTAAACGAACGAATTTCGTCTCCCCGGGAGGTGTGTGGGGAAATCATTTGGGCCAGAGACGGATTTATTATCTAATATCTTCATGGTTTATTTGCTGTCTTGATTGCAAGTATACTCGCTTAGAGAAGCATTACTAAGTACGTTCAGGTTATGTACTAGTGTGCTGATATATATTTTTTAATCTTGTCAGTACCTAGTCCGCGTCACTCGATATTCTTTCTATAGCTATGAAAGGTGGGAGCATTTTATTTTATACTAATATATATAGATGAAGAGTTTTCTTGTTTGTACGTAATCACGTTGCAATAAATAGGAGCGAAGGAACAGTGAGAAATGTGTATGAAATAATTATTCCTCTTTAAATGATTTTAAAAAATGTCCGCGTCAGTATATATGTCTATCTCTTAAGATTAACTTGCAAGAACGACGGGACACGACCGACGTGGGTAACAGCACTAAGTTATAAGGATGATGGTGGTTTGCAAAAACAAATTCTGACGCCCAAAATAACTAGCTATTCTACCAGGGCGTCTCTGGCACAGGTAGTATTCAATATTTGATTAGGAACTCACGAGCTACCAATATTTATAACGTCATAAAGTCGAAAGGCCAAAATAAGTTGACAACGGCTCTTCTTGAGATGTTATTGTTATCATAAACAAAAAATAACTTACCGCTCAGAGTGTTAAAGAAATATTTATTTTAGAAAAAAAATCTGTTAACGGATTACAACTCTTTGAACAATTTTGAAAATCAATATACGCATTACATACAAACGCGAAAACCGTCATAAAAACGGTTTGACCTTGAAAAAGTATGTCGTCGTTACCATTACTAACTAGTTGTAGTAATAGCTAAAGCCCACCAACCCGCACTGGAGCAGCGTGGTGGGTCTAAACTCTTAAAAGATGAGAGATAAAAGTCCTAGGCGAAATATATAATAGGTTGAAACAAGAAAACTATACTATCAGAATAATATATACATAATTCACTTGAATATTTTGCCTCAATACGCCACTGGCCACTTCGTCGGGTCAATTGAGTGGGAAAAGAACTAGTGATCGCCTAATGGGGCGAACTTCTCTCGTCAATCAGCGTAATGAAGTTCCCGATTCGCAGATAAATTCTTTATTCTGCTCTTCATCTATGTACCCGCTCAGGGTTCCCAATAGCTCATTAAACGTTGCGTGGTTTAGTCTTGAAATCGATATCAATTTCGCTGAGATAAGACGCCAATAGAAACGCAAGGCAAAGAGCCCGGTCGTATAGTATGTTTAGAGTTTGATCCCGGGTCCAATGAACGTTAACAAGTGAAAAGCCGTGAAGTCTCACACAAAGAACACAGAAATATTATTTCAATTTGAATAAGTTATTCCAGAGCTTTAAACAAACAAACATAAACATCTTCAGCCTTATAATATATGGTTCTAAAAACCTCAGTCATAGGAAAAGTTCGACAAAAGTAGGTTATATAAATATTCTAAAGTCGAAGTTCTATACGTAGTTTAGAAGTCTTGATTTATCGCGTAACTTAGCACATACATTTGATAAGTTGGAAAAGCCTTTGTTGTCAGCTATCTATGCTTATATAGGGGGTTGTTTTTGAACTCTAAATTCTAAGTTTTACATTTGCAAAGTCCAATATGTGGCAGACTTTTTGACTCTGCTCTAAATAAACATTTTATTTCACTAGACTTCGGCTAATTTTTCTCACATTTCTTATTTTAGTGTCTTGAGAACACGCTGTATAGTCTAGTTACTGTGCCGTCACGTTTTTGCGCCATTACTTGGGATTGTACATTATTAACTGCAGAACACGTTTAGATTTGATTAACTCTAAGTCTCCGAGTTGCATTTACAATTTTGAGTTATAGTAAGTTACGTAAGAAACACGGTATCTAGTGGGATTTACCATTCTATAAAGTATAAATCCAAGTAGATTTATTGAATGTCATTAGACAGGTTCGTTTTAATAGAATACGTTATCGAATTTTTCTCATTAAGAAGTTTTTAAGACGGAGACATAGAATTAGAAATTAGATATTATCTGGATATTAATAGAATGGTAGGAAAAAAGGAAATCCACCGACCAAAATTAGAAAAGTCGTGAAGTAAAAGTTTGATTACAATCCGCAGATTTCGCCGACACGCGCATCTTGTTGAGATGTTGAATCTTTCATTCGCTTGATGGCCCTATGCTTGTCTGTCCTCCTCTTTCATAAAAAGTGTGGCAAACGCAGATTACGAACCGTTTACACATTATGTTGAAATAAGAGTAGATGCTCGTCGTACGAGAACTAAAAGTTTAGGGTTTTATTTGTGGTCATATTAACATCAGATTCTATATTACGCCCCTAAGATACGTTTTAAACGATGATGATGTGATTACACCATCGAACCCGTTCAAAACCATTAGGTACCGATGTACGGCTGATAATCGACGGGTCGAGGGCGGTAGTCGTGGATTCGATCCCCAAGGTTATTCTTTCAATTTATAATTTTTCTGAAACATGTTGGATTTCGTCTAGAACTCTGGATGTTAAATGGTTGGTAGGAATCGCCGTCAACAGATGAGAAGCCGTCAAGTTTAATCATGTGTCGGTTTCAGTTTGTGGATTTCGGAATATCCAAAGCAAACATAGGTCGACAGCACATGTTGTTTAGATGCTATAGGCTGGAATATTTCACCTACCATCGAGTGAATCGGAAGTTTGTCTGTCCTACTCTAACATAAAAAAAGTTTGTATCCCAAGTTTTGGTACTTGCAGTAACGAGGTGCATATGAGCAAATCAAATGAATAAGGAATTCAAGAATTTATTTGAATGACTTCCTGATAGAAGGCAAATACTTGCGTTGTGTGTTTTCCTCTTCTGATCGGCTTTATTTTGATGAGCTTGAGTGCGTGAGATGTCAATGATGACTGCTTGAGGAAATTTTAATATTATTAGGTTCCTATCTTCATTATGTGTTACAAAAAACGTATATATCTACTTCATGCCCTACGCGACGATCCTTATGAGTAACTACTACTACTAAGAGTATATCTTGATTTAGATTATTTAAGTAGCAATTGGTTAAAGCAGCACGGTTCGCTGTGGTTGGCTGTTCAAGTGCCGTCGATAGCATCTTATTTTATCAATCTAGGAAATAGATTTTTAATTTATATAATACTAGCTGTCTCAGCGACTTCGTCCGCGTAGAATAATCATTTTGGGCATCAAAATTGGTTTTTGCAAACCTCCTTCACATATTTATAAATTGTGTAGCAGCTATATACACACGACGACGTTTGCGTCGCGTCGTTCTTGCAAGTTAATCTTAAAAGATAGATAGATAGAAATGTCGTGGACATTTTTTAGATCATTTAAAGAGGAATAATTCTTTCATACGTAATTTTTGAGTTAAGATACTCCACTAACCAGTTTCCGTACGCAACGGAAATACAGAAGGTAAAACATTTTCCCTATTTTCTTCACATATCCTGTTGTTTCTTCGTTCCTATAAGCTCTTATAAGGAAGCTAAAAAAATACAATTATTTTTTAACCTTCCTCGATAAATGCTCTGGTTAGAGTATTTATTTTCCACAAAACAAATTTTCAATTCGAACCTGTACTTCCTGAGATTAGCGCGTTTTAACCAGAAAACTCTCCAGCTTTATATAAATTGGCTAAAGTGCGTTAAATTGTGAAACACTTTCGAGTTATAACTTTTGCTGACCAATAAAAGCGTAATGGCCATCCGCAGGTGGACAGGTACGAAGTGGAGGTGGAAGAGACGCGCGTGGCCCTCGCGGCCGAGGTCTTCGGCAGATACCTCAAGACGGAAGACGGAGAGGCCGTCACCGACGTGGTGCCGCCGAACGTCGTCGACGATGCGAGTGGATTGCTTGAAGGTGAACGCAGGCCTAGTTTTAAGATGATCATTGGCGCTACTAATTACTAGCAGATATGAATAAGGCTGTAGAAAAAGTTGCCGCAAAATGTTTTTAACGCCCAAAAACCTAAAATAGGTAAAACACTTAACTTGTTTTTTATTGACACATTTACATTACATTTCATTTTATCCTCCGCGTAGGTGCTTGTATTGTAATACATCTTTTTCTTGTTAGATCTGCTTCTTCCATACAAGAATTGTTATTGATATTTAAATACTGATTTACGTAATAATAAGCGAATAACTCGTTTACATTCGATTTAAACTTACTTCTTTTAACTTCACTGAAACTGAAAATGATCATAAGTTATAATTGTACCATAACTTATGATTGTTGCTTTGGCACCAGTACAAAATGTTGGTTAATACCTTTTCCTTAATATACCAAGGTGCTTTAATATTCATTGCCGCTATACACTTTTACTACCGTCGTCAAATTCGCTATAAACAAGTCATTAAAACTTTCAGGTTACAACAAGCCCCGCCCGAAACGGATTAACGTTTTGCTAGAAGCTTTTTACTTAGCCAGCTGATGACTTATAATTTTATATCTTAAAACACATTTTAGCGGTTAAAAACTAGACTAATATTCGTTACGTGATTTTTTTTAATATAACATTTTTCATATGTTATTGCACATTTTATTTATATATATATATATATATATATAACGAAAATTTTCTAAACCGTTTTAAACCGTTCAAATATGTTTAATTTAAGGGAATAGAATTATAAGTTAGCAGTTGGCTAAGTAAACATTTTTATAAACTAGCACTCTATTTTTAATTTACATGGTTTTTATCCACGACCCGATTTTTTTTATATTTGACCATCTTGGTCATAGGGAATGAATAACTGTACTATTATGTTTAGAGTTGAACCGTTAAGAATTGTATTACTTTATGTCTACTCTCATAATCTACATATAGATATCGTTTATTATACCTTTAAAAAGAAAGTTAACGCTTTTAGCACACAGTAGCGTTGACAGGAATGATGTTATACTATCACACATATTTTTTTAAATTTCCAGGTGGTTCAAGGGACATATTTAGCGAGTGCATACGATGCGTAAAGAGCTTCCTCGCGGAGACACCATTCGCGGAGTTCGAGCGCTCTATGTACTTCCACCGGTACCTGCAGTGGAAGTGGCTGGAGGCGCAACCCATTACACAGAACACCTTTCGCATGTACCGAGTGCTCGGCAAAGGGGGCTTCGGAGAGGTCTGCGCTTGTCAGGTGAGGACCCACCTGTTCACCCAGGAGGTTAGAAGAATATCGATAGAAGGTCGGATGATACAATTCACATTAGCTGCTGAAAAATTCTTGTCATTCAGGAAAGCTGTAATAGTAGCAATGTATGCCTTAATCAGCCGGATCCATGGTTTAGATTCCACCAAATCCAGCGCCTTCTAAAATCAATTATATAATTTTTTCTAAAACAAGTTTAGACTCCGTCTGGAATAGCTGGATCTTAGATGTAAATATATCATATGAAGATATGATTCATTGAAGAATTGTACAACAGGTCCGCGCAACGGGTAAAATGTACGCTTGCAAGAAGCTAGAGAAGAAACGCATAAAGAAGAGAAAAGGTGAGGCGATGGTCCTCATCGAGAAACAGATTCTGCAGCGGATCAACTCGCGTTTCGTGGTTAACCTCGCATACGCCTACGAGACCAAGGACGCATTGTGCTTGGTGCTCACCATTATGAACGGTAATACTTCTTTTACTATTCTAAAGTATTTAAGTTATTCTGGTAATATTTTAAGCTGTTCTAAAGAAAATAGTAAAAATACAACAATCAACGCCATTAGAAAGTAGTAGTAGAAACGTACTAAGTGAAATTCTGATATTTGTAATATTAGTCCTTCGAGCCGGATTCCACTAGTAAATTTGTGTTTCCTTTGATTTTGATCTTATAATGCCCGCGTCTTTTCCAGGTGGCGATCTAAAATTCCACATCTACAACATGTGCGCGGGTGCCGAGACTGGCCTGGGCTTGGAACGGGCTAGGTTCTATGCTGCCCAGGTCGCTTGTGGCTTGGAACATTTGCATAAGATGGCTATCGTTTATAGGTCTGTGTACTTATAGCGCGACAAAGTATTACTGTAGCTTATCATAGTGTTTTGTTATATAAAAAAGCCACTATTGTTTTAACCCGTCGACTTCGTATGCAGTTACTTAGCACTGCACATAATGTGATTGTACTTTGAATTAATGTACAATATTTTTTTTTTTTATAAAATCGCTTTCCAAAAAGTATTAATTCTAGAAATACGAACGGTCTGTCCCTATATAATTATTTTAATTGACATTTTACATCAACATTTTTTAGAGACTGCAAACCAGAGAACATTTTATTAGACGACATGGGCCACGTGCGAATATCCGATCTTGGTCTGGCAGTTGATGTACCCGAAGGGGGTAGTGTGCGGGGTCGTGTCGGCACTGTGGGGTACATGGCACCTGAGGTACAGTTTAGTCTACCTATAAGTACTATGTGTAGTTTACGCAAGTAGTGCAACTTTAGCATGACAGCAACCAGCTATTTCCCATATTTGAATAACGACGAAACAGATGGCGCTTGACCTATGTATTTCCATATATTTCCTCGTATTTTGTGTTGTATATTTTAGCGTCGTAGATCGAACAAAACTAATTAAACGGAAAAGATCATGTTAAAGTTAAAAACTGAAGGATTTTCTTCTTCGTATTTCAGGTGATCGACAACGAGCGGTATACATACAGTCCAGACTGGTTCTCGTTCGGGTGTCTCGTGTACGAGATGATTGAGGGTAGGGCTCCATTTAGGGCTCGGAAGGAGAAAGTGAAGAGAGAGGAAGTGGATCGGAGGGTCAAAGTAAACACAAAAGTTTTTTATCTTTCTAATCTTAAGACATAGTTTATTTAAAAAGGAAATTTAAGTAAACAAAGCCAGACTTCTCGGAAATTTAAGTAAAAAAAACATATGGCTTTTTCTATAATGTTATGTTATTTATCTTGTTATTATGATGGTTATTAGCAATGAGGCCTTTAACAGCATTTCTTTTCATTTTGAGTCACTGACTATTTAGATATATGTAAAGTAAAGGTGACTTTTGCGACACATCATCTGTACTAAAACATATTTCTTATTACCAATTTCAGCACGAACCTGAAAAGTACTCAAGCAAGTTCAGCGATTGTGCCCGCTCGCTGTGCAACGCGCTCCTAGCCAAGAGTCCCGCCAGTCGTCTAGGGGGGAGCGCGGGGAAGCGGGGCGCGGCTCAAGTCAAGGCCCACCGCTTCTTCGTCCGGCTGAACTGGGCGCGGTTAGAAGCTGGCATGGTGGATGCGCCCTTCGTGCCGGATGTTAGTTACCTCGTTGTCTTGTAATAAACTAGTACTATTTGTATATGATAGAGAAGACCAGATAAGTATGAGGATCACTTAACCTTAAATACCCCAGCCATATAACTAGATGCGGAGTTTACGTATTTTTGTCTTCCGATATTCGAAAATCCACAGACACGCGCGTTTTTTTGATATTAACAATTAGAAAAAAAAAACAATATTATAACTCTTTAGGGTAACTTATAATACAAATACAGATGGTTTTGGTTTTAATTCAGATTTTAATTATGTTCCTCACAGCCGCACGCCGTATACGCAAAGGACGTCCTCGATATTGAGCAGTTCTCCACTGTGAAGGGCGTGAACTTGGACGCCGGCGACGACACGTTTTACGGCAAATTCAACACGGGATCCGTCTCAATACCCTGGCAGAGCGAAATGATTGAGACTGGCTGTTTCACAGAGTTGAACGTTTTTGCTACCGGTATTGTGAATATTGGTACTCTTTATTTCCTCGAGACTTTGATATATAGCTTTGAGCTTAGCTTACCATACAGCTACTTAATTCATTCATCCAAATATTCATTTGTAATCGTTGCGTTTTAACCTACTTGTGTCCTATAGTTATGCACTGGTATCCAGAGGTTTCGATTAAGAGAGGATTTTAATAGATTAGACAGTACTTCAGTGTGAGTTGACAAGTTATAACAACCGCCATTAAGTAAGTGGTGATTGACGTGACTTAAAGTGTTTTTCGAGGCACGCATTTGATGCCACAAAAATCCCAAATACCGAAATAACATCTCGTCCGATCCAGGATTCGAACCGGGGTCCTCGTCATTTGCAGTCAATTGCACTAAGCACTAGACGCCTAGACCACAGAGTTTCATTTGTATCGCCTGCGATTTATTAAAAATGTATTATGACGCAAATGATACTTCCAGATGAAAACGGAATAGAGGGTCGCAGCGCAGACCTCCAACTAGACGCGACACTGGAAACTGTGCAAGATGACAAGGGGTGCTTTGTGTTCGCCAGAAAGGTACTCTATGAATTATTGCTGTGAAACTTGATTAAGTGGGACCTGAGTAAATGAGATACCTCCAGTATAAAGAGTTGCAATGAGGTGCAGGTTCTTTTACATACAATTTGAATTATATATTTAAACTTGTATAATTGAAACTCTCTAGCTCTAATCGGTGGTTACCTTTCCTTAGATTGAAATTACTAAAAACAGTTTTTCTTTGTAGATGCAAAGGTTGCCTGGAAGAAATCGCCATAGGCGGCCGTGCCGCATAAACATTTTTATTTTCATATATTCGTTTGAGACTATGTTCTACTTCGGTGTAAATATGTGCAATAAAAGGTTTTATTATTATTATTAAAAATCTGTTTCATAACATTTTCAGGTGCTTTGTCCTCAAAAGAAAGTCCCGCCGCGACTGAGGCCCGTGCCAATACCGGAGCACCTGCTACAGCCCTCCTCTCCTCCGCCGCAGAGCTGACCGATCTTGTGGGTAGACTCCATTTCGTTCTGCGGGTAATTCGTCAAAACCGTCTCAAACATTCTATAAACGTGGGTAGTTTTGAATTTCTTTGTGGGTAGTTATAGTTGCCGTATGGAGTAGGTGAAAGAATTATTTTATGACACAATCGAAGCAAATCGTATCACGGTGCCCCAAAACTCTATTCTGTGGGTAGATGTAGAGGAAAGTTTAAATGGAGGCATAGGCTTGACAAAGTAGGAAGATACGGAAGTCAAAACAATTATTATAACTCCTTACCAGAGCATTTAATGTAACAGAGCACGAAATGTTGTCTTATGTAAAACTCATTTATTTACTACAAACTCCACTGTTCTGAACAATATTTAAGCTAGTCTGACTTGTATCTAATTATTTTGCGCTTAGCGTTGGGCAAATACGTACGAAAATTAAATGAGAATTCGTGTATTTTTAATTTGGTCTTTAATATTTTTAGCACAAAATGATTTTAAAATTCAACACTCTACCTTTGACATAGATTTTTTAACCATAGACAAAGAAAAATGTTTCACATTTGACTATGAATTATTTTTTGCGTACAAATCATTAGTAATCCAGATAATACAATAACAGAGATCTGTGTCTATGGTTCCACCTGAAAAAGACTATACGCACAAAGATATAGAAATATTTATAACAATAGGCGTTTTCTATTGAACGATACAAGCAATATTCAAAAGCACAGATAAGTAATAGGGCGAAGGCATTATATACGTCTTACTTTTTCATCTTTATATAAATGTGTTATCTTGTTTGCCATTCTACTTTGCTAGTGACGATTTTCTTTACTTTTGTTGATATAAATTTAATTTTTTTATATGAATATTTGATGTCATATTTTTTTACTTATTAATTTATTCGTACAATCTACAACTTTATTTTAAAAACCGTTCTTTTAAGACTTACCTACGTTTTGAAATAAAAAACATCTCGAATGTACTTTCATTCAGCGCGCTATTAATGCAATGATTTTAATGTCAAATATGATTCCGAATACATTTTAATAACCAATTATTTATTAGTAAATATGTATTAATGAATACTGTAAAACTGAACAATCATGAACAAGTTAGTTTTTAAGCGAAACATTTAATATATTATTATTTTTAACGAATTTAATTATTAAATTCATATTTCGGCGCAGGTTTAGTTTAAGTTCTCGTATATCGCCATCGACTTGTATTTTTGTAAATAATGTATTGCTTTCTCTTTTTACTGAAACGTTACGTTCGCTAGTGCGAGCGAGATGGCGCCATTTAATTACACGGTTGTTTTGGATTTTTCGTATTGATATTATTTATTATTTTTTAAAGTTGTTCGAGCGTAGAAGCTTCGGGAATGCAAGGTTGTGCGAATGAGATAGAAAGTGTCGTCGTTTAGTCAACTTAGATGCTTCGGTGTTAAGCAATAATGGACCTTATGTGCGTAATAGTAAGATGAAAAGCATTTAAGCGTTTCAATTTTTAAAGTACATAGTAAATATTGGACTACGTTTTGCGTCTTAACGTTTGGTAATAATAAAAAATAGTTCCTATACAAAGCTGGTAAGGTCGATTATTGCGTTTTAAAGGATTGTGAAAGCATCTAATACAACAAACGGCTTTTTGAATTTAGAAGACGTCTATGGTCGGTCTGATAGGAGCATAGACTTAATACAAGTTACATTTCGTCGTCCGCAAATAGTATGACGTAATCTAGTACAATGCAATTATATTTTTAATGGATGAATCAAATTTTTATAGTATGAATCGAGCAATAATTTAGAATCGATATTGTTGATTCGGTATCTCGATGTTTTTTGTAATCGGTGTGTATTTATTCGTCGATTTGATAATTCACTTTTTAATAATTAATCGTAGTGTTTCGCGATGTCTTTATATAATATACCAATAGACGTGTTCGTGGGCGAATTTTATGTCCTAAAATTACAACCGTTGTCTTTTGTATCGATAACCTACTATCACAATAGCTATAGTCTTCAGTTCCATTTCTACGAGACACACTAGAATATCGCGAAACGACTAAAAAAAGTTTGTCAAATTATAAATGTAATCTTATTTTAAGAGTTGTCTTTTCAACCGTTAGATTAATAGAATAACAGTTTCCACAGGACTGCCACTTTTTTAAAACTCGTCTAACGATCGAAAAAGCCATTCGTGTTGTATTAATATTGACGCCACGTGTACATTACCGTTCAACTTCCATATTATATTAGTGTAAGTATTAATAATGCATTTTGACGCGTACTTTATTGTATTTTACCATTTTTAATGCCTATTTGTCTTTGGCGTTCGCTGTTGAGAACTTTACGAGGCGCTTGTAATTACAGATAAGAAAGTTTTACATTCTACAGGCTGATTACATAGATTGTCTATTGTTCCATAGACAATTGCAATCTTTAGTTACTAAGAATATTTTTTATCTGTAATATTATAAGTTATGTCGATTCGATAATTAGCAGTTGATGTTTGCTCAATGGAGCGTTGTACAGCGAACCTCATAAACTTTCATTAGATGTAAAATTGTTTTCTTTTTCCATAGCACCGTTGCTATATAACAAACTATATGTATCGCATGAGAAATATATAAACATAATTTTAATACAAAATACAAGTAACATATGCGAATTTGTTATGTTTCTATTTGTTTAGAATGGCGCTATGGAAAATGCAATGTATGTTTTTTGTAACCTAATTCAAGTTTTGCTGTTGATTAAATTAAGTTCTTTAAATTTAGTTTGCTGTGGAAAGATACTATATAGGAGATAGCGTAAAATGCATACAAATAGATTACAAGTAAATGAATCTTTACTTATTTAATTAAAATGAAATTACAACAGCAAAACTCGTCTTGGGCCACACAACCGCACAAATAAGGCTGAGCGTTTTCTTCCGTTCACGACTGCTTGTCCATTCCACAGCTCAAATCACTATAAATATAGTTATTACTAGCTGCATATTGTGAACACCCTGTAATGTTCCTAGTTTGAGGCTGGGTTGACTTAAAAACAAAGCTCTTGAATTTTATTACATACTCTGACGATATCGGATTTGAACTAAAATTATCTTAATTTACATATGCCAGTTTTAAAATTAAAAGCTTAACAAATATCGAACTAAGCGACGGTTTTTTATAGAAATATCGTGTTTGGTCAATGCCGGCTAAAAGGGTTACCATGTTACAATCTAGTACTGCCATGTGTATACAGAAGGCGATTTTGTTTTTTTTCTTATGACAACTTCTAATACGTAGAAAACTTTAGAACTCTACTAACTTCTTTAGTCTATGGACCTTTATCATTTATGTCGTTTTTCTTACATGGCAGCATTATGTATTTTATTGCACAATAGGTAAAAACAGTAATAAGATAATTTTCTACAATAAAAATTCATTGCACACATGCCTCAATATGTCGATTTTGAAATATTTTGTTTGCATATTAAAGAGTAGAAAAGGATCACAATGCAAGTGTCGTCTTTTGTATGAATTTATTTAAACGCGGCGTGTGTACGGAATAAATAATGCCGTAATGTTTTGTAACTATTATTTTTAACGCTTTTGCTGCCATTTTGAAATGTTAAAAGTTTTCGATGCATCGGCCATCTTATTTGAGAAGAGGATCGTCATGTGGACGTCCTCAGATGTTGAGCGTTCTCTGTCTTAGCGAAGAGTATGATATCTTTAGGAGACTTTACTTAAAATTTTATTTTCTCTTAAAGATGCCATCCACACGTGGTCTGAACGGCTCAAACACACAACAAGCATGGTGATTATATTGTCTTTGTAATTAATACGATTGTCAGTTTCACGTTAAGTGGACACAATAGCTTATGAAGGACTTTATTTATATGCAAAGGACATTAGCTATTATTAAATAAATGTTGAGCCGTACCGCGCCGCGTTCGTCATACCTGTATCATACTCATAAATGCATTTCGACTAAATGTATTGACATATTATTTCGTATTAGGCGAGGTGTCGGTGTACGGTGGACGTAATTTGGGCCGTATCCTCAAACGGAATAGGGTCGTAAATCTTTTGATGGGTGTTATGAGCGATTAGCATCTAGTGGATTGTAAACTTAGCTTCGATACTGTTAGTCGTTATCGCAGTATTTTGATGCAAATATTATTTAATAAGCGTATTCATAAATAAATTGACTCCGATTATTTTGTTTTATTCCTTTCTATCAATAAATAATAATACAAACTACGCTTATATACTTGAATGGATTGCAGTGGGCGGCCCTATAGCTAACAAGCGATCTCTTTCAGGCAACCCATTGTAAGATACAGAGAAAGTTAGAGAAGAATATTCAATAAAAATCTTACAAGACCTAAGAAGAATTTACTAATCTTAAAGGTTACCCATAAAATAACACATACATAGTTGAATATAGTAAACTATACAAGTATTATAATAAGCTCCAAGTGCACTTGGTTTTATACACAAACGCTGCAGACGCCGGTTTAATTCCGTATTTTTTTTTAAAATCTAAAATCGATTTTTAACTTATGTAAACTTTGGTTTAACGTTTTAAATATAAACAATGAATTAATTGAATAGATTGTTTATTAAGTCATATTTTTAAAACTTTCTATGCAAACGCACAAGTCTTCTTACAGTACTAGAAAACAAAGACCTGTAACTAATGACTGTCTATAGTTTACGCGAGTAGTACACATTTAAATAAAACACTAACGGTTTTAAACCGTTAAAGTGTTTTATTTAAAAGACCTCTAACTGTCTACATTATGTATATGACATTAATTATATTGCACAGATTATGGTTCAAGCATTTGCATTGTTTCTAATTAAATCGGAGCACTTTTAAAACACATTAATTTCTATATTCACAAAAAGCTTAGAGTTTTTTTTATGATAGAGTAAGATAGGCAAGCGTGAGGTTCAGTTGAAGGAAAGTAAAATACCTCTAACAAAATGTCATGTCAACTTATTTTAACTTTCGATATACAATTATATTCGGAATACAATTATAAGTTGTGAGAAAAAAACAAACATTTAAATTATATGAAAAATTTTAAATATTTCCTAACTTAATACACAAATAAAACAAAATCACTAATTTTGTTGACTAGCTATTTATGTTATACCTACATTGATTACTATTGAAAAAACAGACGAAAGTCTCCTTTTTTATGTTACGCCGTCGGGTTGAGAATTACGCCCGAGGCGACTTATATTTATACAGTAAGGCACATCAAGTTTAACAAATGCTACATTTAATACAGTCCATATTCTTAGATTCATTAATTCTTTAAAACATATAATGAAAGAGGAGAAAAGATAACCTCTAAGATAGGCAGTAAACTGATTAAGGCTTTGTAGGTTCGGAAATCCACAGATTCAAATCGAAACAAATATGATTTAACGTTTCTAAAAACTATATGATTATTTTTAAAGTCATAGGATTGTTTTAATCTAAGGTAAAGTTTCGTTCTATGTAAAACCGTTATTAAGAAGCACTAGCCTTCTTCTTCAGATTCTTGTCTACATAAATGCGCGGAAACAATACGAACTTTCCACTTTGTATATTCTTCGTCTCATAGATGGCGCCCTTGATCCTCCAAGATGGCTTCTCGCAGTGTTGCCAGCTCCTACAGTTTTTCGGCACTTGCAATTTGTCCAATAATTTCGTTGTTATATCCGGTATCACAGGTTGAAGGATGATTGAGCAAATTCTCAGTGTTTCTAGAGTGAGATGCAAGACTACGTCTAGCTCTTTCTGGCATTCCGGTTTCTTCCTCAATTCCCAGGGTTTCAACGTCTCGAAGAATAAATTCGCTAAATGTAGCGCGTGTACAACGGCGTCTACCGCTTTGTAGAATTGATAGTTCGAATAGTGCTTGTGGCAAGTATCTGAAACAATTGATTGAACAATTTGAATTGATTGAAGTAAGACTTTAAAATCATTTGGAAATGCTTTTGTTTTATATAAAATCAATTGGATTGGCCACCCCCCGTGACTGTACTGGCAGTTGTGTTCTAAACGTCGGATGGCACGTAAAAGTTAGGCAACGAATTAATATCACGAGTCATCTTAACTATAGACAATACTAAGTTAAGATGATATGAAGTAATTCAATTTGAAAAACAAGATTTAATTTACGTAGGTAGATAATAAAATTAGCCGTTTTTACTATAAAAAGCTAATAATAACATACCTGGCAACCTATCTATCGCGTCCAACAATTGTGTGGTGACTTGTAGCTGGCAACACTCTGCTAACTCGTGTTGGTGCAGCGCTGGAAACTCACAACGAGGGTTCAGCGCGGCTCCGCAACTGCGACTCACTAGGTTGCCTAGCGTGTCCGCCAACTCGGAGTTTGCGATGTTAATTAATTTCGTCTCGCTGTAATCTGAAATAGGTGAAAACTGTAATTTACAGGGTGTAATCGAAACTTCCTGAAATCTGCTTCTCATCTGACATAAAATCTTCACCTCGAAAAATAAATTTATTATCAACTAGTAATGTTGATGGTGGATGAAATTTAACGTATTTAGTCGTATATTTGTTGCTGGTTTGTTTTATGGTGTCAAATAGTCATTAACTATTTGCTGTGACTTCGTCCGGGTGGAATAGTTATTTTGGACGTCAAAATTTGTTTTTGCGTGTTGGTCGCGTCCCGTCGTTCTTGCAATTTAACCTTAAAATATAGAGATATACTTTATAATATTAGTATAGATTAAAGACTACTAACTTGCATCATCAGCCATTGTCGCTTCCCTCAACAGAAGATATCTCAGAGCGTGTGAAGCCGCCGTATGCCTCGGGTCCACCACGTTGTGTAGACTCTTGGACATCTTGCTTCCATCCACGGTCCAATGGCTGTGGCAGAGAATTCTGCGAGGCGGGTGCCACTTTATCGCCATGAGAAACGCGGGCCAGTAGATGCCGTGGAATCTAAAGAAGGTGTTGACATCCTAGTAATATTATAACAATGATTTGGATGTCTGAAGGGCCTTACCAAGAAGAAAGGGTGGTATTTTAAGTTGAGGCTTTAGATATATAAATATGCGCAAACGCTTTTTAATTGGATTTAAAATGATCATAAGCTATTATTAAGTGAATCTTTTAAAAAAATTGGGTATTTACTTTAATATGTCTTTGCCCACCACCTGGACATCTGCCGGCCATGGTCTACCTCGCATCTTCATCAGATCCTCGTCAGGAAACCCACAAACAGTCAGGTAACTAATTAGGGCATCTAACCAGACGTAAATGCTTTGCTCCTCATCCCCTGGAACCTAAGTCGGAGAGTACGCGTCATAATATATTTAAGCTGAACTACCTGACCTTATATATACAGAAGGACCAAGGAATACTCACTCGAATCGCCCAGTGCACCCTCGAAGCTGGTCTGCTAACGGAGATGTCTGGTAGGTAGACATCATCTTCCACCATGTCCTGCAATTGCCTCTGGAATTTGTTTGGCTCAATCACACCATCTAGAGAATAATCATTGTTTTCAAGAATCAAGAATATTCATTGTTTTAATATCGTTTAATGAACTAGATATAGAAATAAGGTCAGAATGTGGATTTGAGCTCTGACTGTTTTTTTTTGTGCTCAATTAAATCAATATTTAAGCCAAAGTAAAAAATATTTACTTTAATTTGGGGCTAAATTTCTGTATAATATTTTTTATTATTTCCTATGTATATCATCTACAAGAACATGTAACAATTATAATGCTTCAAATTTTAAAATCACACTGCTAAGAAATACTTAGGACCAGAGAAATATGTACCTCTTTTCAACCAATTCTTTAGATGCGATTTAAATGCACTCAGCCTAAACATATAGTTTGTTTCTTCTGTCCATTCCAATCTATGCCCTGACTCTACGGACACTCTAACCTACAACATATAGGGAAAGATAAAAAATTTACATCTTCCAGTCTGTTCGATATAAGTTTCAAGCATTGAATATTGTTACACTTTTGATTTAAGTCAATATATTTATATAGATAATGTAATATAATGAAAATGTTGTGAATATTAGGAAAAATAGATATGTTTGAAACAAACAGAAATTTTCAGCACTATAATATGTATATAATAAGGACCAAATAAGTGTACCAACCAGAAGGTTCCCTAGAAGAAGCAATTCTTTTTAAGGTTGCATAATGCAATATTATAATAAAATTCTAAGATACCAATGATGAAGGATGTAATGAAAATGCGAGGTAGACACTGAAAACCTACCTTGCCCTCAGGTCTAACGTCTTCTCGAGTATGTGCATCAGGTACAAAGGCTTCATCATTCACACTGTACCAACCGGAATAATTTGCTTTGTATATGTAGTCTTCATTTACTAACGTTTCCTGAAATTTGAAATTTAATCTACTTCTTTGAGTTGTTGTTGTTGAAAGAAGTTAATTTATTAAACACAAAAAGCCATGGATTCAAACATGGGAAAATGTGACAAATTATTTCAATTGGTCGTCACACAACCGGGCTACCTAATTCTGTAAATAATGATGATTTACACAGAAATGTGGTACAGAATCTACACTCAGGGAATGTTCTCCTTTAGAATTAGAGCTTTAATTATATTCAGATCTATATCTTAAACTAAATCACTAATTACTTCATAATTGTTTTTTTCTTACCCAAAATGTTTGAACTGCTTTCTTATGCCTGTCTTCGGTGGTTCTGATAAAATCGGTATATTCTACATGAAAATCTTTGAACAAGTCTTTATACTCTTGAGATATTGCTGAGCAGTAGTCTGGAAGAGAAAGATTAGCTCTTGCTGCTGCCTGTTGAATCTTTGTGCCATGCTCGTCAGTCCCTGAAAAAAGTTTTAATCTACATGTTAAACAGTTACATGCAGCTTGTTTGGGATATAACTAAAAACATCAGGTCATAGATAAAATAAGTTAACTTATATTTCTCGTTTAAAACTGTTAAATGTGTTTCATTTAAGTATACCTAACAGCCAATAGCACTGGAGCTGGATGAAAGTTAGTATTTAGCTCTCACCTGTACTAAAAATCACATTTGTGTCCAAATTAATTAGTTTCTCAAATCTCTGAATAGCATCTGCTACAACTGCTGTATACAAGTGTCCTAAATGAGGCGCTAAAAGAAACATATACGTTAAGAAACCCTTGCAATGTTAACATAATATTTCCACCACAATACAACAACTTACCAGCGTTAACGTAGAATATTGGAGTTGTAATATAAAAAGGCCTCTTTTGGGCCACAGAAGACAATAAACGCGCTGTAAGTCTCATTATTACAATAATACTCGTAACAAAAGAGTAATTACATTTCCTCTTCGTAGTTATTTCCTACATAGAAAGTTAACCTCTCTATAACCTTGATAAATAGATGAAAAATACAAGATTTTAAAATATTATTTCATTAAAAATCTACGCTACTTTATCTGCAATACTCGTTTATATTTCGTGCTATTTTTAGAGAAGAAATTATTTTTCGTAAAGTTATTTTAAGATACAAGTTTTATTTACATATTTTTTTTCTAGTTAAAAATTTGACATTGATATTGATAATTGACCTATTTGAATATGCAGAGAAATTAATATTCAAATATGTACTTGACAGTTGACAGAGGTATTTAAATTTGAAATCTAAACCAAAACAACAGTCTGAAAATAGAAAATTATAATTTAATAATAGAGGCGCTATATTTTAAGGCAATTAAATCGGTTACACATATACCTTCAGAGCATTAAAAATGGAAGACTGTGAAAAGGACCACGAAAATAAAAGAACTAAGGTACATAACCTTTCCAAAAGTAAAACAACTGTTTTCAGTTTTTGATTTTTCTAGAAACAGAATCGCATATACATTAAAACATATTGATGTTTAAAGTTAACAAAAACTATAATAAATGTTTTATCACAGTATCTAATTCACTGTTGTTATAAAGAAAAAATAATAATTAATTTGCTTTGTTAAAAAGACACTTCTCTAATTTTATATATCGATATAACGTAATATGGTTTGATTTTCATTGCATAGTTTGATCCGATTTTCAAATAGTCATGTTTGTATATCTTCTTCATTAGGACCGCAGTCCATCTCCTGATGTCAAATCCACAGCTGTAGTCAAGTATACAGCATTTCAAAGTCCTGTGGGTTATGCACGCTTACAGTGCAACACAGATCTTAATTTACCTCCCTCTAATTGGGGTGGGATAGATTCATATGGTTTGAAACAAATTTTGACAAGGGGTACAGGTTTGTCGAGGTGAGTAAAATTAAACTAATAGTATAATAACAAGACTATTATATTATATTAAACATGTAACACTAGAACTAAAAAATATGATTTTATAGAAAAATGTTTCACTGCTCTGCAGGATTAGATTGTTTAACTCCTGTTAGCTTATTTAAGTAGTATACCTAATGTTTGTTAATGATTTCAGCTTCAGAATGGCTCACCTGTTCCCTGATTGTGTAGGAGAAGTAGATGTGATATCAGATGCTGAATGCATTAAAAAGCTGCTAAAGCTACCATATCAACCAAATGGAACTGTAAGATGTTTTTATGATATTGCTTTACAAATCATATATATCTTGAAATATTATATTAATATATATTATTTGTAAATTATGTTACCTTAAAGTAAACATGTTCTAAATTAATGTTTGACATGGCCGAGATTGATTCTGGTTTATTTTTATTATTATTATGTCTTATGTAAGACTACAGTAACTTCCAAGACAGATTTTGATAAATTACACACAGTAGATCTTAGTAACTTCCAGGATTTGTAACAAAATTGATTAATGATTGTTCTTTTATTAATTTGTTTTTGTATTACAGGTGAGCATGATGGTACATAGAGTGGAAAACACTTTATTATTAGATGACTTCGATGTGTATGACTACCTCATGAAGTCAGAATGGTCCTGGTTGAAGGATTTCTTTTATGAGAACATTCTTAAGACTATGTCAGAGAAGGTAATCTTGTAACAATTTGAATAATAAAATAAAACTACCCTACACTATACTATATACATCATAAATGTGTTTTCAAGCACCTCCATAAGACTATCATGTTGCCAAGAGTTAAGTACTAGTGCTCCTGGGTTTGAATCCTGGGAAAACCATAAATTTTAGTTATTTCTTAGTTAGTGTTCTTACAGTAAAATCAATCAGTGAAACTTGCACAGAAAGACCCCTACATATGGCCCTTACCCATAGAGACGGAATCTAACGAGATGAACCAACTTATAACATTTAAATAGGCACAGATTTCAGTTATAAATACATCAGTTAATTTTATTTCCTTTATTATTTTATGTAGTTTTGTCTTTTTTTAGGAGCGTATGTCACTAACATCAGCAAGAAGTGCTAGTGCTTTACAATTGACCCACAAGTTTCTGTCTCACAGTGTGTTAGAGAGACCACAGCCTCTGCCTGCATCTGTACCGATAACACCTATGTGTATTGCTGGTTAGTATTGCTTGATGTATAAAGTGAGTTAAATTCATATTTTGTTTAATATACATATAAATTACCTTGCCTACATAATATAGATAGGGAGTTGTTATTAAATATAAATAATTCAGTTTGATTTTCTATCAAACTGTAACCAGCAATGTTACTAATATTGACCAAAGATTATTTCTAATTATTTTATAGTTAATAGTGTTGCCACCTCCCCTTTTTTTTTACCCCTAAAATGTTCCTTTTGAACAGAGGTGTTAGCTTTATACCAACATTCTTACTAATGAAAATGTATGTTCATTACTCCAGGTCCCCATCTCCCTGAACCGGACCCTCGCCCGGAAGAACCGACGCCAGAGAACTCGTACAATCGCAACGTGTTATGGACATTTGAAGACATTCAAATGTTGATTGGCAGCAATTTGCCAATCTTCGGAGATAAGGATCGGCCTTGCGTTAGCCTACGCCTGAGGGACGCTAGGGAACCCATCAATGTGCTGACTGGTACTGTATCTCTAAAAACATGTCTTTAATCACGGAACTAGAACAACAGTAAAAGTTTTTTTCCAAAAATTTTCGACACAGTAGGAAAAAAGTTGAATTGAATATACATTAAGATATATAATTATAATAATATTGATAACAAAGTAGGTTTAATTTTGCATTTTTGTTGGGTTTGTTGGTGTTATGATAGCAATGTAAGATTAACAACCACCGGGTCTTGGCTTCTCCCTCATCAGGTCCAACTTGTTTCCAATCAAATTATATGTATTAAAAGTGAACCCCGGACTTGTCTGTCCTCCTCTATAATATTAAAAAAATACTGTTAACCTACATTTTATAACTTAAGTGGCTAATATATGGTTGTATGTGAACTATCTTCCAAATTAATATTACTACATTTTCTAGAAAATAATGTAGTGTGGAGTTAATTGTAAAGCTTCTTGTTGCATAGAAAGTGAAAAAATAGTAATGTTTAACATTTATAGGCTTTGTATCTAACAAAACTTTTAACTATTTACAGGCATTGACTATTGGCTGGACAACTTGATGTGCAACGTTCCAGAGGTGCTAATGTGCTATCATTTGGACGGAATAGTCCAGAAGTACGAGCCCATGAAGACAGAAGACCTGCCCAATATGGAAAACTCCAAGTTTTCACCTAAAGTTGTAAGAAACGTGGCGCAGAATATCCTGTCCTTTTTGAAATCCAATGTTACGAAGTCTGGTCATACTTATTGGTTATTTAAAGGTGAGTTTAAAAACACGTTAAAAGCCAAAAAAAGAGACATATACTGTTTCAGACCTTTCTTTGAGCTCATTAAAGAAGAATAATTCTTTCACACATATTTTTTAGGTATCTTGTACCTAGAACGCATGTGTCATGTGTCATTATTTTTTCAATCTAACTAGATTTTTAACGCCTTACAGGTCCCCACGACGACGTGGTGAAGCTGTACGACCTGACATCTTTATGCCCGGACAGTTTGGATAATCCATTCACGACGCCCGTGGCCATGCTGCTGTACCGCGTGGCGCGCAACATGCGCCTCATGAACCGCACGAAGCATGTGCGCCAGCTACTGGAGCATGTCGCGCAACTGTTGCAAGTGGAGCGTTACCCGCAGATTGTTGCGTCGTCGCATTACATGTTGGCCGACTTGTATGTGCCGGCGACTACTAATCCCGCCTGCCCGGACTTCAAAGGTAGCTAAATAGATCAAAGTTTTCTTAAGCTACTAACTTCTAAAGAGCATTGTGTTACTATTTTAGCAAAATTTCATGATATATAATTTAATTGCGTTTCCGGATTTAAAAAGTCCTTTACCGTGTTATTAAGCAACTTCGACACCAATACTATATTGAGATGCTTTGAGGAATCAATTTTTGAATAAATATTGTCTATAGTTTACGCGAGTAGTACACATTTAAATAAAACACTTTAACGGTTTAAAACGCGATATATTAGTTAAACTTATTTTAACTTCGGCCCGACGTTTCGGATGCTTTGTAGCAGCCGTGGTCACGAATCAATTTTTTTAAATATTTATTATTTGTTACACAATTACAATAAACCAAAAACAAAAATCTATAAGGTATGGACTGTAACAGGCGGTCGTATCTACTAGGTAGTAGGTTGCCGATTAGGTGTTACGTTCTTAGGATAATAATATAAAACAAGTCAATTAAGGGAATGTGCACGCGGTGCAAAACTTAAATTATAAATAATTTTAATATTTTCTAGTTAATTTCAATTATTTTAGATGAAAGCTCAGATTCTGATGAGGAGTCAGACTTCGGAAATTATGCGGAATTTCGAGATAGCGCCTCGGACAGGGATCCGTGCGAGCGAGAGAGCAATACTTCTGAGCGAGACGACAATATCGAGGGAGAAAATGATACTGAGAAACAAAAGGTTTGTACAAAGATTTTTTATGAAAATGATTCCCTTCTCAACAGTTTAGCATTCTAATCCATAATTATATTGCATATTTCAGAAGGTAGATGCGGAAAATCTATCGAGTAACAAAGAAAATGAAGAACAGAATAACTTGGTAATATCTCAAGGAGAAAGTCTTGCTTTGCAAGTGAGACAACTTACCCTTAAGGACGCCAAGAATAAATACACTCATAATACGGTAAGTATATTAAAACCTTTGTAACTCGATTGTGAGGAATATATAATTAAATTCATCCTTCGAGCCGGATTCTTTAAGCTTTTATTTAATAAACAACATAATAGAAAGAATTAACACGGAACAAAGCAATAATTGGTCCATCGAGCCGGATATATTGATATAAATATTTACTCAAACAGAGTGGAAAGCAGTCAGGGGGTCCGAGTCTTGGCGTAGAAGTGCCAGATAGATGTGGTCGTGCGCTTTCACATGCACTCAAAGGACTTTTGGCATTGCACCATATTACTACTGATAAATCAACCGTGAGTACTTAGTTTTGACTAGTTGAGATGAAAATAACCACCAATAACACTAATACACAATGAAATAGGTTTATTTATATAGTTTGAATGGCTGAAGCCATTAATCTTATATGATCTAATATAATGTGAACAATTATATGCCACTTCCCTTAAAACCGATGTGATTAAAAAAATATTACAGAGTTTGGTGGTATTCCTTAAAGACCATTAAATTATGATAACCTTTTTACATTTAAATGTTAATTGCTAGTCGTAGTTAGTTAGCGAGTCCATTATGTTTCTCAAAATATTTTTTTTTTTTATACATGTTAGACTTCTGGAAAAATTTAACGTGAAAAGTATGCTCGTATGCCTGTCCTCAAACAAACATATTTATTATTTTTTAAAATATATTTTATCATAAATTCTTGTTTTAATTTGAACAGGAGGAGGAACGCGCTCGTGTAAAACAGCAGATAATAAACGAGGAGCAACATCCCAAAATGGCGAACCCCTACGAACCGATTAAAATGGACTATGAACCCATCAACAAGAAGATGGAGGCGCCCAAGGAGCACCTGTCAAGAAGCAGGAGGAGACGACGCGAAAGAAAGCAGTCAGAAAAGACTGAAAATTACTTAATAGAAGCTAATTCTAACGTAGACAAGAACGCCATTTTGATTCGCAAAGAAAACAACGCTTACCCAACGTGGAACGAGCCGAACAGAGATGATAACTTCGCGTGGAAGTTGCATCTTAAAACCTTGCTATACGAAAAAATATGCTTAGCATATGCCACGCTAGCGGAGTACAGCTACGCCCATGAGCAATACGGTTTTTCTCTCAAATACATCGATTTAGCCAGCAAATGCCAAAAACTGTTAAGCAGCATGATAATCAAGAGTAGGGTGGTGGATCCTTCGTGTCTCATCGGGAGGGTAGGAGATAATTACTTCCAATTGAGTAAGAATTGGAACAACCTAGGACAGTTTCAGAAGCAGTTTGATACTGATCACGAGATCGATGGAAGGATTAAACAAGAGATTGAGATCGATCTGGTTGAAGAGATTGAAGATGCAGTGTGCAAGGATTTCGATATGAGTTAGTCTTTTCTTTATCTATCTATACAGTCCTTTAAACTAATTTTGCCAAGCTGGGTCAGAAACGTCATTTTGTTAAACTTTTTAATATGAGGGATTCATGTATTCGACTGTCATGATTAAGAAATGATTCTTGACTTATCGTCATTACGAGTGGTGGTGGTGGTACATGAGGATGGTAAGCATTTCTTAAGCGAAAAATGACGCACAGTCTGTTGAGACCTGATAATGAATAAACACAAAACAGCTCGACAACCCTTTGCAAATTGTCGCGAAAGCGATAACTACAATCTAGAAACCACAAAAAACAGCCTTTACCTATTAAATATATCATTAGTTATAACTTTCAGATATAAGAATCCCTTCGAGCGACATAGAAGCAATGATGTCGTCCTGTTCTTACTATCGCCAGGCGAGTGAAGTGAGTCCGGGAGGCGCGCACAAGCGTGACGAATTGCTCCGTAGACTTGCCTCTGTCTGCAACGAGCTCGCTGTTAGATACATGAACGATGGCCAACGTAAGTTACCTAAACACATACCGAATTGACATTATTTTTTTATAATTCAAAGTACATATTATATTTTCTATTCTAGATATCTACATGAAGTATGTTGACGAGCCGGATCAGAAGAGCGTCAAAGCCAAGCTTCTACTAAAACAGCTCAACTCAATGTCGAAAAAATCGGCGGAATGCCTCGACGAAGCGACCACCATCTTCCAAGATGTTAAAGACGTACCTAATCTCGCATTACTTTACTGTAATAAGGCCAGGTACATGCGCTTTAAGGCGCACTGCGACCAGGGAGGATTTAAGTGAGTAAACATACTTTGAAGATGACCCTATATTTAAAGGAAAAACAAATAATAAAAGTATATCTGCGTTCTGTATGTCAGTATACCTCTAACTGTAATGTATTTGAAAAAAACGTTTGGTTTTCCTAGTGCTGAAAAGCGGAGTTACTACAGCCAAGCAGAAGATCTCTACACTAGTGCACTTAAACTTCTGGGCCTGCGCGAGAGTTGTGGCGCGGCATCCATTTGGGATTTGGTATCCTGGGAACTTTCTTGCCATCTTTACACCAAAGCTGTGTTGATGCAAGAATCACCAGCGATATACGCAAGTGTACGTATAGATTAATATTGCTTAGCAATTAACTAGATCTCTAGTCTCTACATATTTCAAGCATCTTCCCTCGCTCCTATAAGCGCTTACTATTATAATTGTACTTTCATATCACTAAGACCATTTCTAATATCTCTTACAGGAAGTGACAGAGGTGGCGGAAGCGTTCAAACACGCGCTCAAGTACTGTCTGCTTAGTCCCGGACCACGTCAGTATCTGTACCAGTTCAGAGCAGCTATGATTTACCACAGATTGGGGTCGTTGTACCATTCACAATATAGGTAATGAATATTAATACTTTGGGTTTTAGTATTATACTATTCATTATTTCAAGTAATTTATAATACACACTCATTAATGCTGTGGTGTGTGAACAATACGAGGAATTCTACTTTATTTAGCTGCATTTTTGTATTTTTTACTTTTGTCAATGATTTTCACTTATATGCAGAAAGAAAGCCTCAAAAATATTATATAGCTATTATTTTATATTTTGTACACTTAATGTTAAAAGGATAACAATGGAAGATGGTCCCAAACGGCGAACTTTGTTGAACGCGACGTGTACGAACTACGACAAAGCGGCGACACAATTCGCGGCTTTAGAAGACCCCTCCATGTTTCTGACTGTGAGATTGGAGCATGTCGCCGCTTTAGAAGCGCATGCGCAAGGTACGTAAACTACTAGATTAATCCTTACGTATTTAGGCCTATTTAGGTATTTTTAGGAATGCACTAAGATTTTAGTATATCGCAGCGACAAAAAAGCTATTATTATACAAATTCGAATGTAATATTTTTTTTAAGGCAATTCTTTTTTCACTTGAATAAATAAGAATCTGTTTATATTGAAAAGATATATTGATATGACAATAACATTTGTAAAATAATAAAGTTTGCAAATATCTTGTAGCATAAATTAAAAATTGAAGAAAGGATTTATATTTTATTCTTAAGCAAACTGCCACGTTGGAACCAGCGAGTTGGCAGTGCGTCAATTGTGTTATAAAATCTATATTGCCACAGATTATAATTGTATCGCTGTGTCAATATTTGGTTGAGAGAGCAATCGGCTTAGTTTTACTACAGAATACTATTTATGAATGCGTTAAAAGATTTAGGCATCCTTCTAATCAGATATCACTGCTCAACTCACTAAGAATGCACGCGATGCTATAAAGAATAAACGAAATAATACAAATATACAATTTAAGTAAATAGTGCGAAAATATGTTTCATCTGCTGTCTGATAATTAAATCACACATATCTTTTTATTATATTTTTCAGCATCGCCGAATTTAAAGCTAAAATCCCTCCAAACCGCCATAGAATTACTAAGACAATCACATTCTGTTATGACCTTACTGAAAACCCGTGACCAAGAAGAAAAGGACGCCGCTAAACCCGAAGAGAATGACGAGAAGTCCCTGAAAAACGAACATAGTCTACTATGCCTATACGAAAATCGCTTGCATCACATACTAAAAAACATTATTCAATACTGCCGATCCAAATCGAACAAAGATTATGAAAAAATGACAGATATGTACAAGAAGCTGTACTGTGCCAGTTTGAAGATTGTCAAGAGTGAGGACGTGAGGTCGTATGCGGGTAGTATATGTGATGTTTTAATGACCATGGACGGGATAAGTAAGGAATTTTCGTGATAATATTTAAGTTAAGTAATGTGTAGTTAGATAAATTAAAAGAGAGAAATCATTATGTAATAACAGAGACTTAGGTATCAAATATAGTTGTCTGACCAATTTAGTGAATTGACTGATACTATTTTCAAGACTAATGCGTCTCTTTTTATGTAATGAAAATCACACGTATATTTTTCTATCTTGATAATTCCTTTAAGAAATCATTTACTTTCCAACTCCCTAAGCTTGAACTCTAGTATTAACATATAACATTTGCCATTTAATCGCGTGATATTCCAATAAATGGAGCTAAAATTTAAGGTATTCTTATATTTGCTTTGTTAAAGACAAACGATTAGGCGAATCTCTATCTCATTTTATTGATAAGATTTAGACTGATAAATATAGATATACAAATAAGATAATTTTATTTTGTTTCATTTTGAATACCAAAATAAACCCTAAGTGTTTCGGGGTTATCTCTAATTTTCATTGGGAAATGTAAAGAAACGTATTTTTTATCAACATTTATTTCAACGACGTTTATCACAAAACACAGCCTTAAAATAACTTAATAAACAACAATCTATCCATTTTACTAGAATAACCTTAAAACTAGAATAAACAGTATCTGCTTGTTTAATCTATGTCCATGTACACACAGATTAAGTGGACAGATATATTATAAAATAAGCCTTTACTGTTGGCAGCCTTAGTGTAATTTAATCTTTGAAAGATATGATGACATTAAAAAATGATAAAATTTTTTAACTAAGCATCTGTCATAACGTATTTATTTAGGTTTTTTAGATTTCTAAGGAAATCGTATAAAACACTACATTAATCCTCTTGAATTGTATTTTATAATTAGGTACGATAAAAATCTGGCAACATTTTCCTGAAGGCCACAAAGTAAGTCTATTAAGGCACTTTGAACTTTTTTTAGAAATGGATTGGGTCATACAATCTATGGCAACGAATACTAAACTAAGAAATTGTCTAATATTTTGGCACATACATATAAACTGGGGAAATTAAAAAAGATACAAGATAACAATATAAGTATTTCTATATTGCATGAAGCGTATTTAATACACGCTAAATATAAAAGTTGCCAAGTAAACTGTAATTGTATATGATTAAAACAACCTATGTATGTTATATTCCCTAAATAAATAACAATTACAAAATAAAGCTTCAGTACATGTATATAAAACTCTAGTACTGTTAGTACTTAAATACTATATCTAAAAATATATTATGTACTTTGTACAATTTTTCTATTTCAGAAATTACCTTTTATTTGTACACTGGTTTCAATAATAAATTGGGCTCTATCTTAAATATATGTAGCCAAATTTTCATTTCAATAACTGAATAATATAATTGAATATTCGTCTTGTATATAATTTAAAAAATCTTTGTTTAAAAAGGTTTTGACTCACGATCTTAGGGGTTTGGTCCCGATTTGTTAAAATATTTTAAAACATTGATTAAGTAAAACCCCGCGGCTGATTTTATCTACGTTACACCTTCTCTTGTTTTTGTTTCCTGAAAAGAAGAATTAATTCTAAATACAATCTCCAATAATATAAAGGTTGCAAGTTGATTTTGCCCTATGGCAATTTTGGCTTAATTAGTGTTACAAAAATGTCAATAATTAGATATAGAACTTCGAGAAAAAAAGAGAATGACATTATAGGCTTACCCAGCGCCAAGCATTTCCTGAATCTCTTGGAAGCTCTTGCCTTTGGTCTCTGGCACCAAGAAGAGTGTGAAGAAGAAGGCGATCACACAGCAGACGCCGAAGATCCAGAAACCGACGTACATGCCAAGAGACGAGGATATCGTTGGGAAATACCTGATAAGTTCAATTAATTCATGAATTGTTATAACAATAGGTTTATTGTAAGTAGGTATGGCAGTTAAGTGCAATTTAAGTAGTCTTTATCAGTGAATCTACTTAGAAACTAAAAGTAATGTAAGACGACTATTCCAAAAGAGTAACAGGGCTGGACAACAAAAGGGGGGTATTCGTTATTGTAAAATAATGCTAATTTATTTGAAATTGTGATGCAAATGAGGACGCTCACCTACATCTACAAAATATAGAGTAAAATGTGTGATTGTATTTATAACAAACGGCCTGGATGATATTAGTGGTTAGTGAATTTAGCCGGAGATTACCAGACCCCGGGTTCGAATACCGAGGAGGAAGAAGTGAGGAATTTTCTAAGAAAATTTCTAATATCAGGTCGGAATTTGGAAATAGTTGTATTCGACAACCTGGCATCATTAAATATCTTGGTTAGGAGCACCTTACCACCGGTTATTATAAGAATTAAAGAGAATACTACCTATATAACACTATCAATATAACAACTAGTCAACATACTAACCTGGTCACCAAGAAAGACATGACCCAGCAGAACGCAGTAGCAATGGGTGACGCGGCAGCCTTCACCTCAATGGGGAAGAGTTCACTCATAACGGCCCAGGGTAAAGGCCCCAGACCCCAACAGTACGTCACTATGAACACGACGAGCGAAAGAATGGGCAGGAAACTGATGGACTCAACGACCGGGCTCTTCTGCTCTGACAGAAGGAAGAACATACCGAGAAGACCCTGCAAAGAAGATTTTCTGTAGTTTACGCAAGTAGTACATATTTAAATAAAACACTTTAACGGTTTAAAACGCGATATATTAGTTTATAACAGACGTGGTCACGCTACGGCAAAGCATCTGAAACGTCGGACCGAAGTTAAAAATCGTTTTCAAATAAGTTTAACTAATATAACGCGTTTTAAACCGTTAGTGTTTTATTAAAAGTTTGTTATGATCTTAGTGATAGTGTTTAAATACTACCTGATATTAATTATATAAGGCTATAATTGACTCGTATTCCATCTAGCTTGTTTATAAAAATACTAAATAATCAGTTTGTGCATCCTTTAACATGCTCAGCCATTTAACATCTAAAGAAGATACGTTGTCGACCTTTTTATGCCTACCGTCAATCGTGATATATTTTCTTTTTATAAATAAAAGAGACTTACAGCTCCAATTGCTGTTCCGCATGAAGAAATCAGAAGAAGGATCCGCCTTCCAAGTCTGTCCACCACAAAGGGTGTGATGAAGGATGCTATGACCTATGGTAATTGAAGATTAGTTTAAAAGTCCAAAAAACATTTACACTATGTACTAGGTAGGTACACTTATAAACGTCACATCAGTTAAAAACTAAATAATTATTTTATTTTTTGATAATAATGATTTTAATTGATTTATTATATTAAAGCATATGTCATATTTACTTTGAATAACTTTAAAAAATAACTATGAATCCTGGCAAAGTCAAATGTTACTGTAAAATTTACTTTAAAATCTCATATATTTTTAATAATGGCAATCGTTGTCCATATCCATATTAATAAGTAACTTGGCACTCATTTAGATCTCAATTCTTTTTACGTCGAAGTCAACCATATTTGTTTTGAGCTTGGCTTTGATATCGGTTACTACGTACCTGTACTGCACCAATAATGATAGTAGCGATGGAAGACTCCAGGGAGGTTCCCGAAGCGTCGAAGATATCTGTCATGTAGAAGAGAACAGCGTTGATACCGCAGAACTGCTGGAAGAACACTAGGGCGCACGAGATGTAGAACGCCTTGAAATTGCTGCCGCGGAAGACATCTGCGATCTGGTTTGTGAAAATAATCGTTTAAAAAGAGTAGCGTAGTATTTAAAAATAGGATATTTGATAGAAAAAGGTAGAAAATTAACACCAAAAAGGTACCTACATTTATTTTAATTTGCAGGATTGAGCTAAAGTCCCATTTAAGTGCTCTTATACAGAAATTGGTTCATATGACGACATTAGATTAGACTAAAATTTCGAGAAATTTCATATTCAATAATTGCTATTTGATATATATTTTACAATAAATAAGTCGCTGTTAATCAGTAAATTATCACAAAAATACGAACCGGTACGTGCAGCAAACTTACCGTGGCAGTCTTCTCCATAGATGCCTTAACTTCCATCTCCATCTTGCTTAGTTCAGCTTCAACGCCGGCGCGAGAACGACCGCGGATCGTTGCTAGACAGTCAGCTGCTGCGTCTCTGTCACCTAAATTTTCGGATTCGTGAATCGATACTGTCTGTAGTTTAAACGAGCATTTCAATAAAACACTAACGGTTTAAAACGCGATACTAATATATATCGCGTTTTAAACCGTTAAAGTTATTTGGAAATTATTTTAACTACAGCCCGACGTTTGTGTATGCTTTGCAGCAGCTGGGCCACGGGGAGACCGTTCGTTAATAGATCATCATGTTTTGTATATTAATACAAAGTATAAGATTTAAAAATACATTGGTCGTACAAAAGAAAGTGCCTTTTTAATTGTGCTAGTCAGACGGAATGTGATATAAAAAACTTGAAAAGACTTACTCTTCAACAAGTAATACGTGGGTGACTCCGGCATGAAGAAGAACAGCACACAGAAGAGAGCTACCACCGCAACACCAACATATGCCACTGCCATGTAAGAGATGAAGGGTCCTATGCCGTACACCAGCAGGAAACCCAGGGTGATGAAGGCTTGCAGGAACGACCCTAGAGCACCTCGACTGTCATCCTGGGACAGAGTTTATAATAAGAATGGCAGTTGATTGATTATTAATTATTTTGAGAGTTTGGTATGCTTAAACTAGCTTCGTAACTTCCTAAAAATTGTCATATTTTAAATTACAATGTAATGCTCGATCGAACTGTTCATTGTTTTAAACTACTTTTGTGTAAACTATAAGACGGCGAGGGTAGCACTAAGGGCTAGCTAAATTTAAAAACAAATTACCCCAGTTTCACAGTAAGAGATTTTATATAATCCTTCGAGAAATAAATATTTTTTAACGTATCAACCCTCATTTCTTGTTCCATAACTATACGGTCTTTGGTTTATCTTTAGAAGACGTCCATGCACTCAAAATCCTTACCGACGATTGATTTAATATAATATATGCCAATTTTATTCCAATTGCAGTTGTGCTTATGAAATAATTCCAGTTAGAGATATCTCAATACAAACAACACTCATGTTCTTTATATACGCAAAAACCTGTTTAGCTATTTAATACCTAAACAATAACAATAAATTTAAACTTAATCCTGTATTTCTATCAAGGGATAAGCAGAGATCAGAATGATATGTAAGAGGATAGAAAATGACGCAAGCGGGACACTTAAGAGATTAGACATTAAGAACGTTTACGTCGTAGGTTCGAGTCCTGGCAATCTTATATCTTGTAGTTATTCGTTGCTCAATAAGGGGAAAACTACTAAATTCATTTCGATGAAACATAGTTAAAGTTCAGAACTAAAATGAATACCTATTATAACTATATAATTATGTATATGGCTTGATAACACAAATTTCTGTGTCTCATGTGTCTGTTGCAACTTCATATATTATCAATAACATAACTTATAATAATAATCATTATTATAACGCCAAGGTTTGTCAAGGGCGAATCCTTGGCACACAAATGATGCAACTCGATAACCCAACTTGCCCTTTCTTGAGTGCAATGCCTACCCCAATTACATTATAAATTACTTGGAATTATATCGACGAAATTATATTTTATAAAGAGTTGTTTAAAAGTCACACTTCTGTATAAGTTTCTATTAATTAAAAATCAAATTTTTCTTTTTTTTGTAAGGTATTATTTGTTTTCAATCTCACCGTGGCAATCTCGGCGCAGTACATAGGCGATATAGTAAAGACCATCCCCACTGAGATGCCCCAGAAGATCCGACCGGCGAACAGGTAAGCCATGGTCTTCGCCACGGCCACGAGGATCCAGCCAATGAAGAGGGGAATCGTGGACGATATCAAACCCCATTTTCTGCCGATTTTAGACGCAGCGAAACCTCCGATAAAGGGTCCTAGGAATAGGAAAATATATACAGTTTCTTATGACAGAGGAGACCTGAAAAATTCCATGTTCGTCTCTTCAAAGGAAAGTGAAACATCTCAGCTATATAACAATTCAATATGCGCCGTCTGGACTTACGCAGTTTTGGACCTTCAGAAATCCATAGACTGGTAGTCCGTGCAGTAGACGAAATTTCAATATTCAAAATACATAGGATAACGTTTTTTTTATATAAAAAGTTTTTGGGGCCTAACCTTACACTTCAGATAGAACAAAGGGTAGAAATAATAGATACTTACCGAATATGGCACCAATGGTAAGTAAGGAACCCATCCATGCCAAGTCGTCTGAAGTGGGTATCGTTTCCAAGGGAGACTCGTCAGTTTTGTTCAGCTTCGAGTTTATGGGGGCTGTCCACCCCATGTTGTATCCGAGACATGCTATCAAGATATTCGCTGGAACAAGAAAGTTGTATAAAAGTCTTATTTATATTGGAATAAGTATAACACAAAGACTGCAATTATTTCATCTACTAAGTACAGAAGTATCTGAAAATCGCGAAGTAGCTTTAAGTACGGTGTTTATGACCCTAGCGAAATTCGAAATATTTATAAAGATCACACAATTTATTTATAGACAACGATGGGACTCATCCATATTCCATTATTTAAACTCGCTGCATAAAGTGTGGGAAGAATAGAGTTCGGTACTTCCAGGAACTTAGTATTTCGGTTGCGTGGGATTCCAAAATGTTTACTAGATGAAATATGGGATTCTTAATCGATTGAAACGAGAGATAGATCTTTTCTTAAAGTAAAACCTTTTTACAATTGATTGTAACTAATAAAATTACCGTTTTAAACCGTTAAGTGTTTTATTTAGGTGTGTACTATTCCATTAAACTGCATACAGTACTTATATTTTCTATTTCCAAAATTTGCCTAGGTATCTGCCTAGGTAGGAAATCTAGCTATCAAACAGTAGGCTTTTGTTTGTTTGAATGAAAACGGCCGACGCTCAAAGCAATTACAATTATCACAGATAAGAATGCTTGTTATGAAAAATGCTACAATTATGTTGACAACCAGTTTAAATGAACTAAATCTCATTTCGATCCCTCTCGCTATGTATTAGAGTTCAATTTTGATTGTTTTATGCATATTTTTTTATAATGACTGCATCTAGGAAGTTAGATATAGATTATTCAATACAATTGACAAACAAGTATTAATATGTTAGCGGAACTAATTTAAAAATATATATGTATTCGAATTTTTATTTGTCTTTGATTTAATAAAATCATTTCCAAAATAAACACTTGATGTTATTCGAACATTAATCATTTGAGTAAGGGAGACGTACGCGTCGGCCCATTTCGGCATTGGAAATTCAAAAATTCATAGACTGAAACCAAATTACGAATTAACACCTCTTGGCTTTTATCGTAATTCTTATACAAAGAAGAATAGAAGAATTCAACTTTCATAATAAACATGTTTGACGTGATGAGAATCAAACCCATGTTTCGTTGATTATTAGCCTTACTATACTACCATTGGACTTATTTAGACTGAATTGATGGATGAAATAAATGTCAAGTATTGCTGTAAGTTATTAAAACTTCGGGCCTTAGTTAAATGAAATTAAAAAAAAGTTTACTTTTATATTTCGCGTTTTAAATGGTCAAAAGTATTTTATTTTAAGTGTCTTTTGCCATATATTACAATGTTACTTTTTCTAGGTACTAGTTGGTACTGAAAGTTAAGCTGAAGCAAGTTTCCGTTACGTCAAACGTGGATCATAAAATTTGCACACCTGGGCTTGGCTGCTGTTTGTATGCAACGAACTAAGTCAATTGGTTTCTACTATTTTGCCTGTGACAAACCCACCTATTGGATTTTCCAATAAATTACATTTCACATAAAAAAAGTTGAACTATATACTTCTATCTTAACTGTTAATACAACATCTTAAAGTAGTTCTTATTTACTACACAATAATGCGCATTTGATCTAACATGTTTTTCTATTTTGCAGCAAAATACAGGCCGTATTTATGTTGCATTTTATTTAAAAATATTTATATTTATTAGCCCGAAAAAATATTTATTTTATTTTTAAGCAAAATGTAAGAAAAGTTTGTTTTATTTTAAACCAAATAAGCTAATTAATTTAATACCAAAACGGTTTGTCGATTTTGATATGGTTGACATTAATCTATCCGCCATCAATTTGCTCTAAAATGACTCTTGTGGTCTTAGTAAAAACGAATATTAATTTTTATTCCGATAATGCGTTTTATATTTTAGTTACTGTGTTATGTTGTGTATGTACCGCGATGTCTAACATGGTGCTAGACGTCAGAAATCCTATATTCTGATCTGTGTGGAAAATAAACAGTTATCTTATCTTACAGCTATTTGATAGATTATGAATTGGATACAAAAGTGTGTCTGGTTGGATGTGTCCTATCCCTAAAAGAAGAAAGGAAATGTACGTTTATGCGTGTTACCTTCTTCTTACCTATAGTGTATTTTTTCTTACTTGACAAAAGACCACATTTAATATGCCGAACTTCAACACATAGATTGATGACCTTTTAGAGAGTATAGTTGCCAGAAGAACATTATATATGTACCTACAATTATTATATATAATTACTTTTATGGCGACTTTTTTTTAATTTGTTATGTAATTGTTATTTAACTCTACGTTTGCAATCCTGTTGATTTTTACTTTTTTGTCGCTTACTTTAATTACACCCCATCCTTATGTAAATGTCAAACTAAAGTAATTTTAATCTTATTTACGTAAATTAATTAACAGGACTTTTATTATAATTACACTTGGAAGATTTTTATTAGTTTAGGCATGAAATTGTGGTTTTTACAGTATGTGAATTTGAGGTAATTCGTTGCTTATATATTCTTCTTTCTAGGTTTTAGTATAAAAATTACGATTTCACGTAAATTGTGTCAGTTCACAAAAATGCCAAGTAAGAAAAAATACACTATACATAGGTTGTTTTCAGAGTCTCGTCTCGCACAATAATACGGCACTTCCCTATTAGGGTTATTGCTAAAACTTGAAATTTTCCCCCGGGCCGGGCTTTCCCCCCCCCCCCTCTTTCTTCCCTTTTTTTCCCCCCCCCCTTCGCCCCCCCCCCCCCCCCCCCCCCCCCCCTTTTTTTTCCCCCTTTTTCCCCCCCCCCCCCCCCCCCCTTTTTTTTCCCCCCCCCCCCCCTCTTTTTTTTTTTCCCCCTCTCTTTTTCTTTTCTTTTTATTTTTTTTTTTGGGTTTTTTTTTTCTTCGTTTTTGGGGGGTTCCCCTGGGGGGGGGGGGTCCCCGGGGGCGGGCCCTTATTCATTGACTTGTCATTGATATCATGATCATCTGTTGTGACCCAGAACTGAAAAGGATGAAGTTTTTCTAAGCAATGTATTAATTGATATATATAGTATACAAGATTTTAATTTTCTTTTTGTGTACATACAAGAAGTTCTAAGTTCGAATCTCGGGATTTATTAACATAAACTGCTTCAGTAGCTACAACTGACCCTAAAACAGAGAAAAAAATGTTTTTCCATAATTACGTATAAGATAGTTCATCAAAATATCGTTTATCTTCATTACTAAATATGCTAATAGCGTTCTTTAAAACGTGGTTGTATGTTGTGGATTAGTATAATTAAGAGAATTATTATAATATGTGTATGCAAAACGTTTTCACCGAGATCCTAAACTTCATACGAGTATAAAAAGTCACTTTTTTATATATATACGTTTATACGACACTTCCATCAAGGAATCTCATAGATGGTGATAATGGTTTTTGCACCATAATTATCTGACTATTTCCATAAGAGCAACAATGGCGTAATGAAATGTTATTTGTGATTTACACGGAAGCCATCTGCTTTGTATACCGTTTAACAAATAAACTAATGCTACTGGTTCAAGTGATTTACAGTTACACTTGCTTTCTAGCAAAATTGTGGTTCATTTGTCAAGTCTGTATAATGTTACTAAATTACAACATTATCTGCTGAAATATTTTTTAAATTATAGTATTGTATGTAAACCTTAACCGACTGACAGGTGAAAAACCATACATACGTTTTTGTGTACTTAATAAAAAGTTTAAAGCACGTACGATTGTGAGTGACATAAATAATCACTAATTTGAAATCACACAGTATAATATCTTGGACGTAGTGCTGCGTCTAAATTTATAATTACATTATAAATATTGCAATTGATGCACGTGTTTTTTTACGTGTGTCGTGACGCGACATCACACCCATTTTCTGGCAGCTTTTTAAATGTTTCAAATCGTTTATCTGATGTTATAAAACTCATATACATATATACAAGTTGTCGTAAACTCTTGAGTAAATATTGTTTGTAAAATGAATGGATGTTTGACGAGCAATAGAATTTAAGACTAAAGTTTATTGAAATATATTACAAACATAATATATATTTTTATTCCAAATCTGGTGAGATATTTGAAACGTTATTAAGTTTAAAATTATTATCATACATAACAGCTCAACCTTTTGACAATTATCAGCACGAAGTATTTCCGAGTTTAATTGTATGTTAAGTGCCGTCGGGGCAAACAGTTGTACATTTAAATTTATTATATTTATTATGCCAATTCCATCTAATCATCGTTGTCAAGAGATAAAAGAAAAGACTACTCAAACAATAGTAATTTACAACTGAACTTCATCATTGTTGTTTGCTCGTGTTATCTTATCATTTTTCGATATTGCTTTATTAGTTTTTGATTGTGTAATGATTATATGTAAAACTACTTGTGCCTTCTACTTGAAATAAGGCAAGAAAATTTGTGTCTATTTTATTAAAAGTAAGACAAGATGGTAACTCAATCAGTGTAATTTGATTTTAAAAGCAATTGTGTGTGTGAGGTTTTTTATGAACATTTTCACTTTACTGTATTAAGCATTTAAGGAGTCGTAGTAATTATTGAAGTTGCTTATATGACAGAATCATGTGATTGAGGCTTGTTAATGACAAGAATAATCCAATTTATTTAATTACTAGACATTAACAACTTTTACCCTGTGATGTATATTAGTCACGAAGCTTAAATCACAGTATTATATCATCGACTTTTCGGGCTGTCTGGCCATCATCATCGAGGAAGAGCTCGATTTTAGCATTTCCTGGATTGCTCGAAGAATTCTTTTCGCTTACATCAAACAATGATATACTGAACGATGGTGGTTTGTGTCGGGATACACATCCTAAAGGCAGGTCGCAAACCCGGACTGATTAGGTAAAAAGCGGTGTACTACCACTAAACCATTATGCATGTATCTCTGACGCATATATGATTTGTTAATTTGTCATTACTTGCATAATTAGCAGACATATTTTTATCGATTATATTTTCCTTTCCGAAGGCCAATATTATTATGATGATTTATCTAACTTATCAAAATTTATATAATGATGATAAAAACTATGGCTCCAGTATTTTTACTTATAATAAGATAACCCCTGCTATCGGTATAATAAAAATTGTTACACTTACGAATTAAATTACGTCTAATAAAAACAAATATTTAACTACTCCCTACTTAAGGTATTAATTGTAACACCGGAAAAAAATTGTTTCACTTTTTTTAAATCATGTATTAAATTTTTAAGAAGAAATAGGGTTATTGTCTCACGCTACAAATTACTAAGCGTAATATTTTTAGAATTTTAAGTAACTCTACCTACACGCCTACTAACATCTTAACATTTCATATACATTATGTACTTTTTTTAAGCCAATATTTCTAAAAATATATAGAACAGAAAAAAGTATTTTTAATAAGAGATTTATAGACAACTTATTAAAGAGTTACGAAATTTCGTAGCCGTGCTACGTACGTAGGTTCGAAATATTCGGTAAAGTCTTGAATATTATAAAGATATGTATAATTAATTTTATATGTACAACAATGTATGAAGAAAAAGTATGTACAAGTTCGTAAGGATAAAAGTAAATATAGAAGTAGTACATTTAAATAAAACATTTTTAACGCATTAAAACGTGGATCCCGTGAGCCTGCTGCAAAATATTAGGCAAACGTCTGGCAGTAGTGAAAATAAGTAATTTAATTCTCGTTTTAAAACGTTAAAATTAAATTTAAAAATCTAAATTAAATTGAAAAAAAATTGGATTTGGGCAGGACTTGAACCGGCATCGTCAGCGTTCCGTGCTGTTGTTCTAACAAATTGAGCTACCGAAACGTAACGTAACGTCAACGCATGATTTTACAAATACAAAGTAGATAGACAGTTCTTCTTCTAATTTTACGACTAAACAATCGAAAAGTTTGTGAAAATTGACCGTGAATGACTTAGCGCTTAACCAAGCAAAATGTTAGGCACTACAGGTTCTCGTTCCGGGAAAATTCTACTATATAAGTCGGGCAGGACACGAAAATCGAATTAAGTTTAAACCTAACATAAATGTATCGGCCCCGTAAATATAATAAATTGGATGTACGGAAATAAAATACATAACTATAAACACGGAATTTACACCTTTTGCACTTCTGAAATAATAGTTGTATTATTCTACCGTTTTATTCCACAAGAAGTTGAAGAATCAATCGACTTTGTTTTAGTATAAACATTCGCGTAATAACTGACGTTTATATATATATATATATATCATGTATTTTTATGTAGTTTACACACAATCGTATAAATTTGCGTCACTTCATAATTAAATTAAAAACATCTCTCCTATATATTGTAGTATTAATATAAATTTAAAATTGAGAAAAAGAATTCACGACTAACTTTTGATTGTATATAATTTGCAGTACAATCATCCATTGTTACGTAATTTTGTAGATTTGTTATGGCGCGTACATAACTTCCTTCCTGTCTTTTTGATAACGCAAATATGGCGCTAATAATTTTTATTAACTTGAAGCTGCATTATAGAATTAATATTACACAAATAAAAAATATAGTAGAATAATTAAATACTTGTAAATAATTCATGCTTTCAAGTATGTAATATTTGACTTCCAATTTCTTGAAACTAAGTTAGATAAAATTAGCACTTAAAAGAAATCTCTAATAGTTTTCATGTGTTGTTGAACAGGATAGCATTATAGAAATAAATGTTTCCTATTTGACACGATGGTTCAACAGTTAATAACAGAACGGAACGCTGTGAATGCTGGTTCAAGTTCCGCTTGTGCCGTCAATTTTTTCATTCTAAATAGATTTTTCATTTACTTAAATGACTGCCTAAGTTCGCAGCAGTAAGATTGGGGGTCCGTTGAAGCATTTGAAATAATTTTTGACAAATATTTTATTAGTAAAGTTAGTCAAAACCTAGACACACATTCATGTAAATATGTTGAATTTTTTTTTCACTTTAGTACTCACAAGATAATTGTTATAGAACTAAGGATTATGTTTGATATATACTTTTCGAATAATGTTATAGTACATTGTCACTCTATCTTGTTATTATCTTGGAATTATAATACGAGTGTAATTTGTTTTATAACATTTAATCTTGTTATCAACTATGACTTTTGATTGCTATTAGTAGGAGGTCAGTCTATTTATACGTTTATAGCAATATTTACTTTCAATTTCCAATCATACTTCACCATTCTTCAGGTCTAATACTGAAAAATCTTTTAAATCTAGTAATCAACACTTACGCAGACGTAAAATGTGTTTTTTTCAAAACATCCATTAAATTAAAAACAATGTTATCAAATAATTAAAAAGATATGTTTTCAACTTACTTTGTAATCGTTTTTGCTAAGATTGCACACTTTAAAATTGTTTTTCAGTGAAACGCGAAGAATTTAATTCGCAACGCTTTAAAATTGAAACAACTTATTTTACTACTAAAGATTAACATGTTTATTTCCGAATTGTAGGGAAGTTCTTAGACTGTATTTCAAACTTGTCATTATGTGTTTTAAGGCTTTATATATTTATATTTAACAAATGTTAGTTATTTACGTAAGACGAAACAAAATATTAATAATCCATTTTATTTTTTCCCGCCTTTTTTTGAGTCACTTTCGAATCCCGAACCACAGACACGCAAAAGCACAAGAGCACAGACAAAACACGGCCACAGAGACATACCGACACCGGCGATGACATATTGCCGCCACAGCTGACCCTCCTCCATCCTGTGCGATTGTTGGTTGACTGGCGCGCCGGTTCCGACGGGGTCGTAAGCGTAGCTCCTATCAGCCATCTGACGTCACTTGTGCTACGTACTGTTGGCACGCTCGCCCGTTCCAAATCTGTAAGAGTTCCGGTCTTCATTCAAGATCATATTATTATATACCGGTCACACTTCTGCTGTCAAAAATCTGATGTTGGAAAATTTTATTTTAAAATTTATTTTGAATGTGCGTTATATAGATTTAAAATCGAAAATAAATTGAATTCTCTCGGGCAGGACTTGAACCGGCATCGTCAGCGTTCCGTGCTGCTGCTCTAACCAACTCTTACTCGGTAACTCAATTGATGATGCCGGTTCAAGTCCTGCTCGAGCCGAATTTTTTTAATTTGTTTTCGATTTTAAATCTAATGTTCTAAATTAAAAGAAAAATTCATCGCCGTCTAACTTTAGTGGGTTTTGGGTTCCGTTTATACCATTTCCATATTACCTAAAATCTAAGCTGATTGATGTCCCTCGATATACCTACATCTAATTTATTTGTATTTTATATTATTTTTCGTTTCATTGTATGCGTTGAGGGATTTTATTTAAACTAATAATAAACATTATAATGTCGCTTTTAATTCTATTTATGAGAACTTGTTGATGAGAGTTGCTTTAAAAATGTCGCTTACGAGATATTTTTAATTAAGATCTAATAAATAAACAAGTGATAAATTCTTGCTTTTATTGAGGAAGTATGTAAAGGAAAATGTTATATAATCATATAAATAATTTATAATCTTGTAGGTATGACAGTATCTGTATTGATAAATAATAATTAGTGTACCTACATTTCTAGAGAGCTTATATTGCAAAAGAGAGTACAGTGACTAGGTAAAAACATAAATAACCAATTCTAATCGAAATTTTTCTACCTTTGATTATCATTTTTAAACAATTCTTTATAAACGAAAGTCACCTTTATGCTTATATCTTTGTTTTTAATAAATTTTATAATTTTACAAGACAATTCTTAGTTAAGTTATAGTCGATTAGCTAAATGTATCTATATTTTTTAAAGCGATGTTCAGTCTTCCATTAAACTACATTAATTAAATTAAAATTAACTTCTCAAATAAAGTAATCAAATGGTGTTAAACACTGCATAATCAACAACTCACTAACGACATCTATTGAAATGTAATGCAACTTCGAACAATACAATTTCGTAATGCTCTTTAAAATATGTATCAATGTTAGTTGGTGAGACAATTCTGGAATTAATTGTATGAAGTGTACTAGAGGTTTTAAAAGATTAACAAACTTAAGATGTACTAGACCTGGCAAACGTGTTATAAAAAAGATGTTCTAGTGTAGAACAAAAAAAATTATTGTAGATTTCTATATGATGTATGTTTGAAGAAAAAGATGGTTGATTGCGTAATGAATAATACTACCTACCAAATAAATACATACTTAGTTTTTTTCTATACTAATATATAAAGGGCTGAAGAGTTTGTTTTTTGTTTGAAATCTCAGGGGAGTTCGAATTGAAAATTTTTGTGTTGGTTAGAGCATCTATCGAAGAAGGTTACAGACTATAACACATTGCGATGTGACTAATAGGAGCGATGATACAGCGAGAAATATGAACATCTCTGTAGGTTTCAGATGCGTACGCGGCGAAAACGGTTCAAGATACCCCAACAATTGTGCATAAAATAATGATTCAAGGAATTGTGTCATGGTCACGGGGAGACCACGGCTGCTGCAAAGCATCCGAAACGTCGGGCCGAAGTTAAAAATCATTTTTAAATAAGTTTAACTAATATATCGCGTTTTAAACCGTTAAAGTGTTTTATTTAAATGTGTACTACTCGCGTAAACTATAGACAGTATTTAACTAAACACATTTATGAGATGGATGATAACATCGCGATGATCTGCAAGAAACACATCTAACCATGAGGTACATAGACGGTCGATCCTTCCCCAACATTAAATAACGCAACAATTAATTTATATTACCGTTTTTGAATAATGATTGACATTGTAAACGGTTTGAAATGCATCAAATGACAAAACACAGTACGGATAATAAGGAAGTGTCGTCAGTTTATGGAATGGGTGAAGACTTCCTGTTGTATGTTCCGGTATGAATGAGAATTTTTAATAGTTCTTGCATTTTCCTTTAGGGAAGTGCATTTTTCTCAAGAACTTATGTGATTTAAATATCTATAGTTTACGCGAGTAGTACACATTTAAATAAAACACTTTAACCACACTTACTGTTTTTAGTTTAACTAATATATATGGCGTTTTAAACCGTTAAAGTGTTTTATTTAAATCAATATAGTATGATAAGCCTTTTATAGTTTGATCGTTTTGGTGGTAGTTGGGCCTCTTAAGATATATATCTCTTATAGGTGTTAACCTACCACGGTAGCCAAAAGAAGGTTTGTAAATACACTCGTTGTCAATTTGCCTTTCTAGAACAGGCGTTAAGATATTTTTCTTTATTGGAGAGTCTAAAACGTGCTCTATACAGAAATATTTGTAATGATAAACTGGGAATAAAACACCGACCTAACGAATGTTAGCTCTCCCATAATCGTATTACACAAATTAACTCCTGCCAAATTGGAATAGCAAAATTTTCCTTATTTCTTCAGCATTGAATTTGCTCTAAGAAAACGTTAAGGCGATAAAAATTACTGTTATATATATAAACTATAATACCAAAGTATTATTTCACTGATATATCTCGTTATTAAAGACTGTATAATAAAGAAATACAATTGTTTTAAGAAAATCTTTCGTATTATTTTTCATATTCCTATGCTTAAAGACGAAGGCACGATATTAGTGGTTTTGGCTTTTCTAGTTTTTGTAAATTATTTTTTTATCTTGCTTAATTGATATCTAGATTTAAGAATAGAGGGGTTTCTTTTAACTTAATGTATTAGTTTGAAAGCCGTTCAAATGAAAAACCGGAATCCCTGTTTTTAAAAATACCACCATATTAACTCCATAGAAGGGCATTGTTATTGTAAATGGATTTTTCGTCCACTCAATCGTAACCATGATATTACGTACTCCAAAATATCTATAAGTGTACATTATCAGCCTCTTTGTTAATCACTGTTTATTACAATATAGTCGACGAGCTTTAAGTGGTCTTATTATATTTTTATACATAACCTCTTAGAACTAAGAGCATTGGTTTTATTAAAATCTTATGATAAATTAAAGGTGGTGTAGCTTTAAAATAGTTTACACGAGTCAATAAACATTAATTTAAACTTTATAAGCAGTAGCAGCCCTGACCAATACATCAGAAAACGTCAAGGCGAAATTGAAAATAAGTTAACTGACATGTTTCACGTTTTAGACCGTTATAAGATGTTTAACTTGTACTGCTAGGTTTCTTATTTTGTATAAAACTTTTGCCATCAATTAATATACTGAAAGAAATAAGTTGAACTTCGTCATATTAAATTATGTATAATGTATCGTGGAGTAACGAATCTCAGATGTAGAGGAAAAACAATAGGTCAAATATTTATATAGTGACTAACTACAGTCTCAAGTAACTTAAATATGTTTGAATGAAGATGTACACATTTTATAAGTGTTTGTAAATAAAAATTTCTGAGAAATATATCACTTTACAATAGTGCATAGAGTTTTTCTATTATGGGAAATTTGAAGACTTTTAAATAGAAAAATAAAGGAAAATTCTCGAAATTATATTAATTTTGAAATTATATCTGCTTTTATAAGTTTCTATAGTTAAAACACAATTCGTTAAATTATTAAAATCAAAATAATTAATGGAAATCAAGGCACGGGTTCGATTTCCTTGATTTAGATCTTACTTTCAAAATACGTTCATAAGTTTTATTTGCACCATGTAAGAATGTTTAAATATATTACCTATTCCTAATTGCTTTGGAGTTTTTGGATCCATTCTCTTAAACCCTCTCTCATTCTAGAGGATACCTAGATGTCTTTGCCAAGCTAACTTTCTTTGTTGAATAATATTTTTATATATTTGCTCAAGTTAAAATATTAGATGTTAATAATTTTATATGTCATGTAACCAATACTTCCGAGATATAATCATATGGTCCTATTGAATTGTAAATCTAGATGTAGAATTCCTCCAAGGCTTACCACAAGCCATGCGTTCATACGATAATATTACTGGTATGCAGAAAATAACGCTTTTATATATTATCATATTTTTGAAGCACTTTTATTCAATATACTAAACAATAATATCAAATGATTTTTTACCTCCAAAATTTTAAATTGTTTGTAGGCGATTACGTATAGGTACAACCTATTTTTTTTAAGTACTGCCATATACTTACTACATAGACCGACCTCTGTTAGGAATTAAAAGCAATGAATACTAATGGAAATTATATACATTGATAATAAGTAATGCAAAATAATATATATTACTATTATTTTAATAATAAATAGTAATTAGGAATAAGTAGCCCAGTATTTAACAATAATTAGTAACCTAACCGAGGAGAGGAAGGTGGCCCGGCGTCCTTAGTAAACCGCCAGGACACAATAAATTAATTTTGAAAATAAAGTGTTTTCTTTGAACAAATTAGTTGAATTTTAACCATAGCAGTGGTACAGGAAAACCTTCCATTAACGACGGTAATGTTTTAAAATATAATCAGGAAAGTATTAAATGCCGATAAAACACAAAACAACTTTCGACCTTATCGGTAAAATTATGTTTGCGAAAAAGGAAACACTATATTTTTTTCAGCTTCCACGCGACGAGATACAATCCTTAATATTTGTTCTAGTAATTCATTAATATTGAATCTGATATTTTAGTACAAGTGTGCTATAAGAAAATATCCAGATTCTTACTAGGTTGCTTTCTGCATTTGCTTAATACAATGCTATTAATAATTATGTTTGAAAACTTAAATATTTTTGACATGTTATTGCACATGATGGCATAATTTAAATTAAGGATCGACAACATAGCTTGAAACATGTAGCAATCAATATGATCATCATATATGATTTTTATAAAATATATCGACGTAGCTTAAGCAGAGGTAACATAATAATCAGATGAGAATTGTTATCGGCCTGTAAAAATATTGTTTTAAAAGCCACAAGTAATACCGCACGGCAAGATTATGCGAGGTGAAATTGCGAAAATACTATGTTTATTGCTACGATACATCAACAGCGGACGGAAATACGCAAAATGTAGTCCATTCAAATATTTATTTATCGATAAATAATGTTTACGAAAGAAGTTGTGAAATGATAAATGGCGTCAGTGTTAATAATATTGAAACATTTAAGAATACATTTTTTTTGGCCTATATTGGAGCTTAAAAATGTAAGTTTATTAATTATACTTTAGGTATAGTTATTAAACTTACAATGTAGCAAGGGTTTTAAACGCGAAGTATATTTTTTATTTATAATTTACATCGGGTCTTAGTTAAAATAAATTAATTTCGTGTTTCATTTTTTTTAACGTGGATTATCCACTATGATAGAATATCGCATATGCATAAACCTCAATTATTTATTTCCACTTATGTATTGAATCTTGAAAATTGTGATTATAAAAATATGTATATCGCGATAAAAAATATAAGTTTTTACTTAAATATTTTTTTATAACTCTGTATAACTGTAATACATATTGACTAGGAACAAATTAATGCGCACAAAATATTAACAAGTCAAAAACATTTATAATTATAAAGGGACAATCTGTAATTATATTAATTATATTCTATCTATATCTACTATCCATTTCAATACAGATAAAAAACACAGATACCTAAATTATTATCTCATACCACCTCGAATTATAAGATATTTTTTAATGTTCCACATTGAGCAAGTTTTTAATGAATTTCAGAATGTAATATAATCTGTAATATTTAAATTGTAGGAATAGCTACAGGTTATTTTTTGTACTTGCGTCTAAGCTACGTAAAAAAAGAAAAAAAAACTCACAGCTTTTAAAATTGCTAATTGTAGAACGAGCTTACACGACCGCGAAGTACTTGTGATTAACTTGTATCAATGTTCAGGGCCTATATTATGCGTGTTTAACTGATAATTTTATTGTTAAGTGTCGATTACGTTTTTAAATGACTCATTTTGACAATACTACACTTTTGACATGACATTCTAGTGCAAATCCTAGAAACTTTGAAAGAATATTATGAGTAGTGACGGAGTCATTTAACAACGAAGAAGTTAAGAATTTAAGTAAATCACGGAAAATAGTATTTTACGAAAAATTTGACTTTACGACATAAAAGAAAAGTAAGCACAGATTTTACCGATATACATATCGTCTAGTTAGTTGCGTTGCAGGCTTATGTTGAAATTTGAAATTCGAAAATGAAACCAGAACGTCACACTTCAACAAAACACTTCAAGTTTCACCGGAGAGTTAGAAAGGTGATTCGCAACCCGTACAAGTATTCATTATTTCCAGCATTATTTATGGCCAGATTTTTGAGAGATCGGATTCAACATTTTTAGTTATTTCTTTTCGTGCCTACATTCGCGTAAGATACAAACAGATTTACCTAAAATATATTTATTTAGTAGATACTTCCATTATATATCCTGTATGTAAGGTCACTACTTTATTTACCTATTGGTCCATTTTTAACTAATCAAATGACAATTTAATAGATCCAGAAAGAATTACTTAGAATAGAGCTTTTATTGTTAGACTTGCAATAAAAGAAAACTTTTATTTCAATTACTTCACTATTACGTTTTAATTAATTACTTATAATAAAAAAAAACACTCACACAAGGAACAACGCACGCACCGCGCAGTGGATATGTCACTGTACTAATAATAATTAACGCGATGTTAAAATATCGTTTTCATTATTTTAATTATTGATATCGAGAATTGAATCTCATAGATAAAGCATATGTATTGGAAATTTTAGCTGTGCGTCTGTTTATGTAATTAGAGTTGAGAAGTCTTTGTATGTACGATGTCGGTAAAAATGTTTATCCCGGGAAATGGGGAAACACTTCTGTGTCAAGTTTTATGATAGGGGAGGACAGAAAAACACGAAGTTCAAGAATGGCAGCATAACATCTAAACAGCGCAGTCGACCTATTTGTAGCTGCAAAATAAAACCAAAGCTTCACGGTTTTTTTTCATTTGTGGGCAGTGGATCGTGACTCGCCCGAAATTTCCATATTCCTACCATCTATTTAATATCCATATCTCCAGAGAATCTAACGTGTATATAAATTGATTAGAAGCATGTTGGCTCCGATGGGGAGGGAACCAATGATCCGTTGTTACATTGCTCCCATTACACCTAATCAAATGCCCAGTATAAGCAATATTAGGAAAAACCAGGGAACGAAAGCTACTTATAACATAATCTTAAAATGTTCAGTGTCATGTAAACACATTATTGACAAGTATTAAAGGTATGTAAAATCAGTGGTAGCCAGTAGCACTTGAAGTGAAGATACAAGGAAAAGATAACGCAAGGTAGGAACGGCGCCACCGGGAATTTTACTATGACCTCATTCTGATTGGTTTATTCTGATAGTGAAGGACAAAAAAGCATGGGGCTCACTTGATGATAGGTGACACACCCCAGCCAAATAACATCCAAGGAAGTTACGCTGTCGACCTATTTTGGCTATGCATATTCGATCTATGAAACTTCACGACTTTCATCTGTGAGCGGTGGTTTGTCGCCCGGATAGTATTTCGATAATTTCGAATTCCTACCACCACTTAATATCGAGGTCTTCCAAGTCCAAAATTAAAAAAAAGTGAGTTTGATTAGACATATGTTGGACCCGGTGGTGGTCGAACCCACGCCCCGTTGGATTTAGCCACACATTGCTTCCAATAAACCAACGAGCTCGTCAAATTAAAATATAGAAAACAGGCGGAAATGGTACCCGTGATAGACCATCAGTTACGAAGCTGCGCCACTAAGTTTGTGAGTAATACTTTTGTTTATTTCTTGAGCCATTAGAATTAATTATACATTTATATTAGCTCTTTTACTAATATTATGATTGAATTAATTATGTATTATATTAGTCAAGCATACTTCTAGTCAAACATCATACCTCTATTTCAAGTATCATACTTTGTAATTTGATCTTCAACAATCCACTATTATGTTCCTATGCGAGATTAAAATAAATCAATAAATATATTTAACATGGTTTAAATCATCAAAAAGTAATTTCATGATGCTATGTTTGGTGACCAAATTACAACGATGGAAAAGCAGGCTTGTCTTAGGATCTAGGATTTTTAATGTTCTTTGTATTGTTGATTGTTTTAATGTAATAATTTTCTAAGTTTCTAATTCAAATGTCAAACGTGGGGCATCACCAAAAATCGGCGTTGTGCCTACTTCCAGGTACAACAAAAGCGGTGTCCCTACACATATATCTATTACTAGCTGTGTCAGCGACTTCGTCTGCGTATATAAGTTATGTGGGCATTTAAATTTGTTTTTGCAAACGTCTACATCTTTATAAATTTAAGCTGCCTACGACATCGGTCGCGTTCCGTCGCTCGCAACCCGGCGTTCTTGCAAATTAATCTTAAGGGATAGACATATAGTGTCGCGGAGATTTTTTAATTATTTAAAGCGGAATCATTCCTCCATACATGGTTTATGGGTGTTCTTGAACCGTTCGTAGCGTAGGTACGCATCAGAACCCCACAGACATGAAAAAATTCCCTCGAATTCTTCACATTTCCCGCTGTATATTGACTTGGACTTGTAGTCGTCACAGCGCAATGTTTTATAGCCTATAAACCTTGATCGATTTTTCAATTCGAACCCGTAATTCCTGAAATTAGCGCGTTCAAACACAAACAAACAAACCTTTAGCTTTATATATTAGTATAGATTATTTATGTCAATGTATTTGTGTGTGTGTGTGAATTCAATTCAATATTTTGATTTGATATGCTATCACTATCCAACACAAAGCCAAGACGCATTTTGACATCTTGTTCTAGGAGTTGGAATTGTTTTCGGAAGATTTTGATAATATAGGTTAGTACCTTAAAAAGACAAGGCAATGTTAATTGTCTACTTTTAGATGGAGCGGGTATTTTTTACATACTACAAAACATAAGTGCTTTCCACTCTTGGTTATCGGCAGGAAAATTACAATAGCTGAGCGTTTTACAGCATGATTTGTGAGAGGCTCTTGTTGACTAATGTTGAATACATTATAGTCTCAATATTGTAATGTATGCAAGACTTTTAAAATAACATCAAACAAGAAAGAGTTCTTAATCGAAGTAGAAGTAAGTAATTTTATAGCTTAATACTTAAATACTGTCTGTAGTTTACGTGACTAGTACTCATTTAAATAAAACACTTTAAACGGTTTAAAACGTAAAATGTCAGGTCATAATTTTTTTTAAAATAATTTGTAAATAAGTTTAACGAATAGGTACATTTTTAATTATAGAGGAGGACCGACAAGCTTGGGTTTTACTTGATGGTGGGCGAACTACCCCGGCCTATAGCATCTGAACAAGATGCGTCGTCGACCCATTTTGGCCTTAGATATCCGAAAATCCACAGACTGAACCCGGAACGTAATTGAACTTTAAGGCTTTTTCATCTGTGGATGGTGGTTTGTGACCCACTATTATACCAGGATTCCCAAAGGAGGCCCCACAGTTTTCAAAAAAAATTAAAAATTTGGGGGGGGGGGGGGATAGAACCGTAGAATTATTAGCCGTACATTGCTATAATTACTCAAACGAGTACGTCAACATTTCGTTTTTTAAACCGTTAAAATATCTTATAATAAAACTTTAAATTATATAAAACCTACTTGTCCATGACATTAACCTCAAATAGAAAAAGATAAATTTAGACGTTGACAAGATTTCGACAGCAATAAAATTCAACAATGCACAACGATTACGGAAATATTAAATTATTCAGAGTGATAATCCACTCAGATTTATAAAAACAAAACAAGAGCTATGGCGTGTCACACAAAACTACCGAAGGTGGACAACGAAGAATTGTCCATTAAGGGCGCGCATCTGCTAGGACCCGGTATAGAGTCGAAATTTGACGAGCTAAAGTACGAAATAGTCCATAAAATAGACAACGAATTAACAGATTCGAAGAACGCAAGAGATTATATAACACAGAAATACGACGAGCTCTGTACGAAGATACAGTACTTGACTGAGCTGGACGCCACTGTAAACGGCTTTCGTTCAGATGTCAAGGCGATAGAGAGGCAAATAATAGAGCTATCAGCAAGATTGGATGATATCGAGAAGAGAGCGATCAGCAAGGATTGTCCATCAATAACGTCGTCTGTTTTGGGGTTGCCTAAATGACTTGTGGTTTTACTGTCTTAATTATATGATCTGTTTACTTGTCAAATGTTAAGAGTAAATTAATTTTCTTTTTTTTTATTAAATGACATACATACTACGAATGGACCAAGCCTCTTTGTGGGGTAAAAATAATAAAAAACTTTATGGCGCAAACAAATAATATAGAAATATAGTAATTTGAAATTAATTATTAAGTTACATTAAAGTGTCAGTGCAATGGCGTCCTTATCGCCTATGGCGATTTCTTCCAGGCAAAATTGGTATGCAGTAAAATAATGCAAATTAACAATAAAAGAGTAAAAGTCAGCAAGAATGGGTGAAAAATGCAATACAACAAAAAAAATGTTAACACTACTACACAATAAAAAGATGTGTATGTTGTGGGTTGTAAAACATAATTAGTCTTTTCCATTTATTCTAATAAAAACTTCGTTGAAGAAGCTTCCATTCGATTCTACCCTAATTTAAGTAGCCTGTCTACCTTATCTACCTTTTCTCGTAAACCGAATGGCATAGGGCGTGCATTAAAATATATTGGTTTAGCATCTGACTTTAAAGATAACATAACCTTATGTTTATAAATTTTTTCCTAAATTGTTGGAGAACAACTGCGGGTATAAAAAAAAAATTAAGTTACATTACTTAAAACTGGTGCTATGACTCATTTAACAGCTTCACACATCTTACGTAAATGCCCTTTGCACAAGAATTTGCGAACCGGCACCCGGGGCTTTTATGCTTTATGATTCGTATAGCACACCGAACACTTTTCTTTTAAACTATTTTAAATTTAAAACTATAAACAATTGTTTACCACATGTAATCTTATAAACTGCCGTTTCTCGCACACGCTCGGGGAGCCCCATGGCTCCTTCCAAAGTTGAACGCCACAAATCTTGAATGTGCAGTTTCTCTTCCTCCAGGTCTCCCCACCACTCCCATAAAGAAACGACCTCATAACGCCTCCTCTGTTTGACAATTTACAGAACGCAATGAGGCCTTGTTGCCTCGCGGGCCATTGTGACTGGAAAACTCGTGCCACTTGCTTCGGAGAAAAATGTGCACCCAACATCGAAATTAACTCTTCATATAATAATACGAGATACGCCACCAACATGTAGGTAGATTCAGTTTGGGCATTTAATAAATGGACACTTTTACACCATTCGGGTCTTTTATGGCCCCCGATTTTATTTACCATGATTGAGTCTACTTTTAAAAGTAGTAGTATAATTTTCGCCATTATCTAAACTAAAACTGGATAAGAACGCGTAGGCACTTTCTCGTCGCAACTTATATATATGCAACGGGACGAGGGTAGTAAAACAGCTGCTCGTTAATCGGACAATGACATTTGACAATTTACATCAGTGTGCAGGATGTGTTTCGGCTATAGAAGATGCCATCTCCAGTCAAAAGGAATTAAGGATTAGTCAAATGTATTTATTACTTAAATAAAACGAAATAGCAAAAATAGTTTGACTTTAATAAAGTAACAATTCAGCTATTTCATAATAAAAACTTCGTACAATAAAGCTTATAAAACAGCTAATGCGTTACATCTCACATTTAAACAATAATAATTACTTGGATACAATCCAAATAGTTAAGTAATTACAACATTAATATCTTATTATTATTAAATTTAGTTGGTTATAATTGTTCTTCATCTAATAAAGTTATATAACATCACAACAATAAATATTTGGCACGTCTAGTCATATAAGTACTATGTCTATTACTAATTGTTTATCTACTTCTTATAAATTACCGACAGCATTATTCGTAATTCACTAAAAATATAAAATCACGAACACATATTTACGTCAATCGTCATATATATATAAAATTATAAACTATTAAAATAAAATTTGTTTTCTATTCTTTCATCTCAATTATAATATATCTCGTTCACAGACTATCAAAAAATTGTTATTTACAACATTTACAGCTAAAAAAAGGTTCTTTTACATCGGTGGTGACCATTTTCTATGCTTTTCCACCGAGTATAGTCTGTATCTGCGAGACGGTCTTCCCTTTAGTCTCGGGTATCAAGAAGAAGACGAAGAAAACACAGACAATCATGAAACCCGCGAAGAACCAGAAACAACTATAGATCCCTATCGCGTCCTTCATCAAGGGAAAGCACAGGGTTACTATGAAGACCAACATCCAGTTGGTGATCACAGTAATGCCAGATGCCGTACCTCGAAACTCGACAGGGAATAGCTCAGACATCATCATCCAAGGTATGGGACCGAAGCCTAGAGAGAAAGAGATAATAAAGAGAACCAAGCAGACCAGGGGGATCCAACCCACAGAAGAAACGTTAGCTCCGTCCTCCTGCAATTTGAAGTATGTACCCAGGATGATAAGACAGAGTCCCATTATGATGCAGCTCTGGAGGAGGAGTATCCTACGGCCAGCCCTCTCGATCAGCAGAGAAGAAATGTAGGTAGCGATTGTCTGGACAACACCGACTATGATGGTGGCGATGACAGCTGGGATATCTGATCCAGCTGAAGCGAAGATCTGGTTGGTGTAGAAAATGACCGCGTTAATTCCGCTGAACTGTTGGAAAAACATCAGGCCAAGGGAACAGATGAAGGCCATGAGGGGCGCGCGGTTTGTCAGCATATGCAGGATACCACCTTGGAGGCGAGATGCGTTGTCCACCTGGAAAACGGAAAGTTAAAATTATGTTATAAGTGTTACATTTAGTTTTACCGTTCGAAGGCCCACCGTACATGTGGCGAAGGAAAATAAGATATATTTCGATAAAGTCTGGTAGTTTACGTTTATGAATCATTTCATTTCTTACGTTAAGGAACTAATATCGCACCGCCTAATAAATGTAGTGCTTTAAATAAAAAATGACGATTAGCAATATGAAGTAGGTTCAGAAACGAAACAAAGATGAATACTAACCTCCTTCTGCATATCTTCAAGTTCAGTGGTGAGGTCAGCGTCCGGTCCTCTGAGCCACCTAAGCGCCTTCTCAGCATCGCGCCGTCTGTTCTTTCCCAGCAAATACTGAGGAGTCTCGGGCATCCACCTGGAAATTATAATACATTGTGTGTCTAATGTAATTGTGGATCTAATGGTAGTAACTTATTGCTATTTGTTAGTTGTATTGTAATAATTGATCGGGGGTTCGATCCCTTATGAGTCCAACGAGTTTTTAATCAATTGTTTAGAAATTCTGTCCGCGACTCCAAAGACCATCCAGAAGAAGCCGTGAACTTGAATCGAGTGTCGATCTCAGGCTGTGGATTTCTGAAGGTACAAAGCCAAAACAAGTCGATAGCGCATCTTGATTAGATGTTATATGGGTATATATAGAGTGTTTCCACCTTCCTATTCTGACAACAGAGTGTTTGTTAGGCTTGTGGAAAGTCTACGTTTTGTTTCGATGATACTTAGAAATGGAACTTACCAAAACACAACAATAAGCAAAACCGGTATAGCAGCAGATATAATAGAGAGGGTTCTCCAATGCGTCCAGCCTCCAACCACGAAGGTGAACAGAATCCCAACAGTCAAGAATAGCTGGAAAAAGGCGCCGAGAGACCCGCGGATCGAAGTCTCTGCTATTTCACCGATATACATGGGTGCTGCTACGCAGATACCACCTGGAATTTGATTAAATGACAATATTGTAATAGGGTTTTGTTGGGAGTCAAAACATTGAACTTCCCGAAGTCCACAATTTTTTACATATTTTTGGGACACCCTTTCACATCTTTGGACAAAAAAATAACCGGCTCCTAAAGTGTTTTTTTTTTTTTTTTTACCCCCTTTTTTAACCCCTCTCCCTTTTTCCCCCAAATTTAAATTTTTTTTAATAACCCCCCCCCCTTTTTAAAAAAACTTTTTTTTTTTCCCCTTTTTTTTCAAATTTTTCTCCCCCCCCCCCCCCCTTTTTCTTTTTTCCCCCCCCCCCTCCCCCCCGAAAAAAAAACTTTTTCCCCTTTTTTTTTTTTTTTTTTTTTTATTGATTTAAATTATACCGTCAATATTAATGAGACATTTTTATTAAGTATTACTTTTTTATATTTACTTACATAGATTTATGTAAAAAAAATATGATTTTGCTTGAAGGTTTTTACGTACTACAACGTACTTTTTACATTTTACCATAAGAATTCATTTTTACGATCGTTGAAAGGGACGTTCAATTACTTTGTGACTTTAGTATGTAATGCATTTTAAACGGTTTAAAACTCAATATGTATTATTTGAATATAGCAGATATGACTGAACTGGAAAGCGGAATTTCAAGTTAAAAGCTTTATTAATAATTTGCCGTACCAGTAGCAAGACCAGCGAAGAACCGAGCAGCGATCAGCATACCAGCGCCATTAGCGAATATCGTGAGGAGCCAGCTCAATATAAACGGTACAGCCAATATGAGGATGGTGGGTCGTCTACCGTACTGCTGTGCAAAGACACCAATCGGCAGGGCGCTGATGGCAGCTCCTATCGCCAGCACTGATGATACTAAAGAACCTGGAATTGATATGAATTATTATATACTATTTAAATATATTTTTTAAGTTCAAATGTAAACATTAAAAAAATACACGAATCTAAATGATGTATGATTTCCACGTTACGAGTTATGATTCTCTGCCAAAAACACTGAAAAAAAAATGCTGGTAACCTTGAGCTACGGAACCCGAATAAGGCCGTGGAAATCTCAAATTTCATCTTCTACACAATCGCCTTTCCTGTATAACTTATACATTCCACAGATTAAACAAAATAGATTGTATTTTATTTTCAACACTAACCTCGACAATTAATTCTGTTATGTTCGTAAGTGGTAAAGCACTAAAGTTGTTTGATTTTGTTCTTTGTTTTTTTTTTTTTTTTTCGGTTTGAAAAAAACTGGTAAAGTCTATATTTATTCTGAAAGAAGACTGCATAGAATATACATAGTTACTTAACTATCTTGTACAACAATTACTGTTCTAATGTAGACTTAAAATCAACACAGATTACTTAGTTGAGAACCGAATGGGACTTATAAGTGGTTCGTTTAAGAACGGAAGAAGCATACAGCAAGAAGCGCTGTCGATCTAATCGGGCTTCGGACATTTAAAATCCGCAGACTGAAATTGAAATGCGATTAAACTAAACGGCTTACATCGGCGGTACGTAACCGGGACGGCCATACGATAATTATTACATTTCGAATTTTACATCATGTAAAAAAACAATTAAAATTGATAAAAAAAATTTAATTTGAGTGTAATTTTTTAGTTTATAATTGATTTTTAATATATATGTCTATCTGCTATAGCTATCGTTACTATTGGATCAATGCTAGCGTCTATCTAGTGAACCGAATCTCGGTTAGTACATCTGGTGGTTCTTTATTACATCCGTCTTCAATGAACGGACGTAACGTCTCGCGAGTTATCACGCGACCGATGAATAAATAAATATCTGGTCACACCCACAGACATACCTCCAAGCGTGCTTATTCTGGCAACCGGCCATATTACGTAGCACTTGGATAACAAACAATGTTTCATTTATTTTTAAACGAATCTCGGCGCGTGATCGCTTTTAGCAGTGCGTGTGATTTTCGTCTTTCGCAACTTTGACGTTATTGTTATTTAATCATCTACATTACTACAACTGAACGAAAGTCCACTTCACAAGAACTTAAATTAAAAATCTAAAATAAATTGAAAAAAAAAACAATTAAACAAAAATATATTTTTTCTTAAATTTATATAGTGCCATGTAAAAAATATTAAAGAATTTCTCAATAGTTTTTTGCAGTGTTATCAATTTTTAACATCAAAATATTATATTCTTACAGCTGGACCCCACACATAGGTGGTGTTTAATGACTACTGTCACTACACTGTCCCCCAATGGGTTCTTAGAGGATTAGTAGGTAGTGGCCGTGCTGGCTGACCTCTATACTGAATAATGGTAAAGGCTCGATTCCTCCAAATAAAAAATAACTGACAACTGGAACCGACAGTTTAATGCGCCCTCCACGATACAGAACCTATTTTAATTTTGTACTGTTTTACTTATTTGTTTATTTAGAGAAACAAACAGATACATTACACAAGTAGCTAAAGAATGACAATGAGGTATAAGGTTAAAATTCATCCTTAACAGTTTCACAAAATATATGTAGTTTAAAAGTTAATCGCAATAAGGAAAAACAAAACGTCGATAAAAATCACAGAAAATAAGACAAATTTTTTATAAGAGTTAACAAACAAATAAAAATAATTAATTAAATTTTATGTGCAATTTAATTTTAAATAATTTGTTGTAAATGTAATATTTTCTATAACCGAGGTTCTAAGTGGTTAACCACCGTAATTGTAATTGTTAAAACTTCGCCTCATAATTTGATGACAGACTCTATGATGACGATGAAAGACAAATGAAAATGTTAATTAATCCCGATCAATTGAATGATCTTGGAATTCTAATCAAGTTCAAGATAGAAGTTCCAAGGACGTGCGCCCACGCTTCTTATAATCAGCAAACAGGTAAAACAATAAATTTAATATTGTATTTAAAAAATTTGCCCATTAGTCAAACGAAACACTTTTAACGGTTTAAATCGCGAAATATATTATATTACTTACCTTATTTGAACTACGATTCAATCTTTCGAGTTTCAAACCGTTAATTGTTGTATTTAAACGTCTCTGCTACCACTGTATTATTCATTACATCAGAATGGACGTTCGATTTCTGGGTGTTAATATAATTATTAAATTGTGCATCAGCCAACACGCATCTGCCAAGTGTGGGATATTGAGTGACCCAGCCGTGGGAAAAACTGATAGTTTTTTTTATGAGAGAGAAAGAGAGAGATAGAGGAGAATATCAGGCATATAACATCCAAACGAGATATGCCGACCGGTTTTGGCTTTGGATGTTCGGAGAGTAATGGTTACTTACTTTCTTTAGTGTCCAAGAGAAGATCAGTCTGTTGTCCTAAAGAGTTGATTAAAATTTCGGTCACATTTGATGTCGTGTTTAACTCGAAGATGTCTCTCTCTGGAGCGAATTCACTCATGTTTTTCGGAGGTTCCAGTTGGGGTAAGGCTGGTGACGTCCATCCCAGGATAGTACCAGCGGCCACAGCGCCAATAGCAGCTGGAAGTCAAATCTTATGTTCAGATATTGAGTTAAAAAAATAATAATTAAATCACATAGATTAATGCAAGGCGCAAGTGTTAAGGTTGAAATTACATTGTGCGAGAGGTGCATGTATCGAAAGCTTGAAGAAATCGACGATGACGTGTAGGACTCAGTAGCTCAATTGGTTAGGGCAACGGCACCGATCGCTGTGAATGCCGGTTCAACTCCTGCCCGTGTCGTAAAGTTTCCGAAAAACCTTATATCAAAACCTAGATTTTGCGATAAGCCAAACATTTCTTACTTGCTTTTCCGATGTGTTTTCGTGCAGTTTCTTGGAAGCTAACTGAAAGTTGCTCGTAGTGTAAATACCATTACGAGCAACTTTTAGTCTAAGTATATGTACTTCGTAAACGTCTGTGTGTTTGATAATTATTTGGAGAATTAATTCTATTGTTTTATTTTGATGGGTTTTTTATTATTATTAATTTAAGTTTATTTTGTTTAATTTCAGTAATATTAAGGAATTAGTAAGTTTCGCACTTCTTGCACGCTGTATAGTTTTTAATATATCGTTAAGTTTCTTTCTATTCGGGTGGCCCCGAAGAGATCGCTTATAGCGATAAGGCCGCCTGGTACACTATAATTTTAAATTGAATAGTATCTGTAAGTTCTGTTTGGTGTAGTGTGTGTAAAATAAATAAGCTTATATAAGTGTAACTGTAATAAATATTTAAAGGTAACCTTTGTAATTAAATCAATGAATTATTATTTTTAATTAAAAATCGATCAAGAATTCAAAAAATTTACGGTGCCACGCAATTTTGATGGTAAAAGATGGTGTATTCAATCTAAATTCGAATGTTCAGTTATATAATGTCATCATGTGAAAAATATTAACGTTTTCACAAATTGTTGTAAGTATAAAAGAAGAATTTCTGACGATTAAATTTTCTCTAAATGTAAACGTAAAATAAGACCGAGCTGTAATTTGATTAAGAAAATATAATCTCAAAATCACTTTTAATGTTTAACGCATAACCACTGCCAAATGTAGACAGATTATGTTTTGACATCCAGTTATTTCAGTTCAATAACGTTTATTGAATGTATGTTTACTTTGATGAAATAATGGCGTTGTTTACATTCCCTTCGTAGAGTAAACGAGGGAAATATTATACTATTCATTCGTATTTTGTGGTTGTCGGACTGTTACCACCAAAATTATCAAGATACACATACCAGCAACAGCTGCCAGATACTGGTTCGCCTTCCTCGTTTCTCCCCCTTTCTCCTGAACGGAGAGCATATGCATCGTCGGCTTATCCATGGTCATTTTTGTTTAAAACATTCTGAAACAAAAGTTAATCTATATAATAGTATTTTGAAGATTAAATGAGAATTATTTCACATATTTCTTCCTGAATTAAATGTGTATAAATAAAACACCTTAACTGTTTAAAACGCGAAAATTATTAGTTCAATTTAGTTTAACCGTGACCACGGCTGCTGGAAAACATCCAACTGTTGTTATAAATATTTATTTGTACTACTTGAGTAAACTACAGACAGTAGGAGATATGTATGTTTAAAAAAGTATAATACGCGTATTAATTATATTTATATTTGCAACAATTAAGCCTGCAAAATATCCAGAAGTCACATACAATTTTTACTACAACTTACCTTATCTTATCTATTTGAAAAATCTTATTCAAATATGTATAAATAATGACAGTAGTAAAATCAATTTTGTTTATACATTTATCATTTAATAGCGGTTCATAGGCGATCATTTGTTTACTAAGCTACTCGTAAAATGGTTGTTTAATAAATCAACTTACGCGATAAACGACACAATATCACTATGGCCCGTCATCAATAACAATGATGGAAATCCAATACGGAGGTCAGGTGTAAGTGACACTGCGCCCGCGCCGCCATAGATGCTAGATCTAGTTCTGCGGTTCAACTCTGAGGTTTTACCATTCTGTCATATCTATGTAGTTCAACTAAGCAAAATTTTAATTCCTCTTCCTTGCAAAATATATTTTATTATACTGGCTCGTTGGTCCATCCAGAAATTAAATAGGCTCGCGAGCCACCGCTCCTAGTTGTACATGTAGATGATAGCACAAGCAGGGAAGTTCAGTCATTTCCGAATATAAAAGCCAAAATAGGTCAACAGTACATCTTGTTGGTGTTATTTTACCATCCATAAAGTGAACCCTAGATTTGTCTTAATAACAATTACATATACAGTGTAAAAGAACTATGGTAGATAATAATTCCGCTAAATATTATTAAAAACGTAATGGTTCCAAATAGTCAAAGTTCGGTTTGTTTGTGGAAAACGTGAAATGTGGAGAATTAAACCGTTAAAAGTGTTTTATTTAATGGCATACGTTTTGGAAATATAGTTTTTCGAACGCGTCATAAGGAGAAGGTCAGGAAAAGTCAAACAAAATCAAATAACCAAAGAAGGAAAACTATAACTAAGTGACTACTTCTAATGGAAATCTATTTGAAATATTTGAATAAATCTATACTAATATATATAGCTGAAGAGTTTGTTTGTTTGTTTGAAAGCGCTAATCTCAGGAAGTACGGTTTCGAATTGAAAAACTATTTTTGTGTTGGTTAGAGCATTTATAATATGAAACATCTGCGCTGTGACTAATAGAAGCGAAGGGAAATTTAAACAACACGGGGGAAAATTTTCATCTTCGTAGGTTTCAGATGCGAACGCTGCGAAAACGGTTCAAGATACCTAAAGATTGTGTATGAAAGGAAAATTTCTCTTTAAATTATCTAAAAAAAGTCCACAACGCTATATGTCTATCTTTTAAGATTAACTTGCAAGAACGACGAGTTTATAAAGATGGCGGGGTTTGCAAAAACTAATTTGGATGCCCAAAATAACGATTCTCGCGGACGAAGTCGCTGGCACAGCTAGTTTAATATAAAATACTATTTTAGTTCTTGTCATTCCATATACGTTTTCAGAATATTTCTTTTATATTTTAGAAATATAATCTGCAATTATCTTAGTCTATGTTACGCAATGATTATAATCAACGCGTAATCGCGTGTTGTGAGACGCAGTTCCCAATAGATTGGAACAATTGTTCGGAACAACCTAGAATATCCCTAGAGAGTTGTTAAGGACACCGATATGTTAATGAAATGCTAACGAGATGACAAGACGTACTCATTAGATCGCCAGTGCAAGGGTTTTAGTGACTTTTGTTATTGGACGGGCCCCGTACAATGGTAATAACCAACTAATAACCAACGGGTCGCGGGTTCGATCTCCACCTGATCCAACACTTTTGTAAACACAACACTTATACAGATTGATAACGCGCAATATGTTAACTTATTTTTAGTTTAATGTAAACCTCACTTTTCGGATGACAACTGACATCAAGGGGCTAGAACTGAAACATACATTTGCACGATAACTATCACAGTTTTTCCATGCGGGTATCTTAAATTTTAATATTCCTACCACCCAATTAATATCCAGATTTTGACGTGGTCCTTGCGAAGCTTATATGTGCGTTTCTCTAAGCAAAGGGAATTTAAAAGCTAGTGTAGCATAAACCCTTAATGTTAGTCATTGCATTATTATTGATTGAAGACAGGATGACTCAAACATTACCTCGTTGTATCGATTGGTCCTCATCAAGATGCGATATCGTGGAGTTTGACCCAATGTCGTATCTTACACCTTGATGAAACGCTAAATACTCAAAGTCATATTGTTGAGTATAGTTTATTTTATAACAGTGAATAGGTAAACATGTGTTTGTAAGAAGAACAATTTATTCACACGTTAAAATTAAGAGAGGCATGCACACAAGTCATACCACTATTATAAAGTTGAAGACTGTTTGTTTGAATGCGCTAACCTCAGGAACAACTGGTTTGAAATGAAAAAATATTTTTGTGTTAGAAGCGAGGAAGGCTTCCTCGATGTCTATATAACATTACGACAAATAGCAGCCGAGAAACATTGGAAAATGTGGGAAATAACACGGGAAAATATTCATGTTTGTGGACTTTTTTGCGTGCGCCGCGATAACTTATAAAGATGAGAAGGGGCTTTGCTAAATCAAACTTTGTTGTCCAATTACTATTCTACGCGGACGAAGTCGCTGGCACAGCTAGCTTTAATTAATTGGACATTAAATGATAGCTGTAATATAAGCTATGGAAAGTGTTTTTTGCGTAAAAGTTTATTAAACGTACAATCATTGACGACGCTAGCGTTTATATTAGTAAAGGTTAATAAAGCGACAGATATTCAAAAGTTGTGACAGCGTATTCAAGTACATGTTATCAGCGCTGATAAGTGGACAGTCAGATTTGGCGCCAGCTTTTATCAGATCTACTTTAGATTAATTTTACTATTACTGGTAAAATTTATAAAACAGAAAAACTCACTTTAGTAATTATTGTAGGGTATTATTATTATAGTGTACAAATTTACAGCATTCAACTCTTATTAGGACGGTATTAACTACAGTACTATTAATAAGAGATTCTTTACTCGAAACAAAAGTCTTCTAGTAAAATAAACGCCACATAATGAAAAGTAAATTAAAATTTCACGATTATAATACAGACTGTTTTCTTTTATAATTATCCATATAGATAAAAAAAAGGATGTTTTATTTTTAAGATAGAGGAGAACAGGAAAACATGATTTTCTTGAAGTAAGGTGAAATATCCTAGCTATATAACATTTAAACAAGATGTGTTGCTACCCTATTGTGGCTTCTGGGAAAGCAGACTGCAACTGAAACGAGATTAATCTTCACGTACCGGTTTTATACCGGTTTATTTCAAACTGTTAAAAGTGTTTTGGCAATACTTAAAATGAATAAATTTATTTTACATTTCAAAATATTATGTTTTTATTCTGATTTTTAAGTCTGTATTAAAATATTAACATTTTGATAATTATTTTACATATATTTCATTTGTTTCGGGATTCACTCGTTGAATAATAATCTATTTACATAAATCAAAGGTCGGGCACTCACACACTGCTTTATTTACATAATGACGATAAACAAATTTTGTTGCTTAGGACATCCAACAATTTCTTTCCTCTATCTATAGTCTAGACTAATATATAAAGTTGAAAAGTTTGTGTGTTTGTTTGTCTGAACGCGCTTATTTCAAAAACTACTGGTATAAATTGAAATTGTTTTGTGTTAGTTAGACCTTTTATCGAGAAAGGCTTTTGGCTATAAAACATAGCGCTGTGACTAATAGGAGCAAGGAAACAGCGGAAAATGTGTGAAAACGAGAAAAATTATTCAACATAGTGGATTTCCGATGCGTACCCTGCTAAAATGGTTCAAGAAGTCCTCAAACAGGTTTTGCAAAACCAAATTGGTAGTACGAAATACGATTCTCCGCAGACGAAGTCGCTGACACAGCTAGTCGAATATAAAATGGCGTCTTGAGTTTTCTCAATAGGAGTTCGTTACTAAGCTAGAGTTATTTTTATCATAGATAAAGAAATCCTTTTGATTGCATATCGATGGCATACGATAAGAAGCTACTGTATATTGCCGGCTATAAATGAAATAAATTTATGTTTATTAAAATGATTTCCAATAAATGAATATTATTACCATTAATTATAACTATTGTATTGTTTGTATAAGCAATATATTCTTGCATAGCTTTGCATTTATAATAGTAGTAGCTGTGCGATTTCGTCCGCATGGACAAGGCCCGGTGTGAAGTGGACGCAACTTTGGGTAGAATTTTTAATTATTTAGGCTGTTTATTTATTTATAAAAGGGCGCATTTAACGCAGCCAATGTGTGTGCTACTTTGCCGCAACACTCCCACTCCCACTCTCACTCCTACTCTCACTTCCACTCACACTTCCATTCCCAAAAAGTTAAAGAAGAAAGTTTCATTGTTCTAGCTTCAAAAATCACGAATTTCCATACAAACTTTCATCCCCCTTTTCAACCCTTAACATCCCTTTTTTTGTATGAAAAATACTTGTCTGTCCTTTCTCAGGCTCTGTTCAGTATTTTGGGTGTGAAAGCCGGACAGACAGAGTTACTTTCGCATTTTTAATATATATTAGTAGTGATAATATAGTTTTAAAGAATATTTGTTATATGTTCTGACTTCATAGACTATATTCCACTATGCCTTTTCCTCTTACTCTATCCTATATCTGTCCCTCTCCTAATAGGGTAGTTCATAGATAAGAAACGCTATCCTACACACATTTTGTAATCTACAGATTGAAGAAACAGATGTACACTCGCGGCTGTTTCTTTTGTTGTCGGCAGTTCGTGGCCTGGACTGAATCTTGATATTCCTACCACTTAATCTCCAAGATTTTCAGAAAAATCGAGTAGTACACATTTAAATAAAACACTTTTAAAGCATTGAAAAGTTGGGCCGGATAAAATTTTAATAGATTTAAAAATGTTTCTCACTTAGATTATAAATCACGAACGTGAGTAAGTTAGTTATAAGTTATTAAGTAATTGATTAACAAAAATTTAAACTATTTCCGAGGGTAGTTTTAAATAAAACTATGCGAACTATTGCCGATACGGCAACATGAACATGAACTATTTTAACTACGACCAAAGCGTTCGAATAAGTAGAGTAATATATTTCGCGTTTTAAACCGTGAAAAGTGTGTTTTATTATTTCAGAGTAATTATATAATGACTTCGTCTTTTGTTCTACATTGAAGTGAACGACCTTGATCAGTTTTAAGGAAAAACAAACAGATCTAGTTCAAATCTTTTATGGCAGATAAATCTCCTATCTATCGATATCAGATACGGTTTTATTCTGGATTTAGATATGAAGCTACCGTTTATAGGTTAATAAATACAATATTTATGAAGTGCCCAATAAATACACAAGAATGTTACGAAACAATTATGTAATAAGCTTCGATAAAAGTTAACATTACAAAGGTCGTTATGTTTTTTAACAATTATTTCAAATGTCTATGAAAATGTTGTTTTCCAATTTAATTTAGAAAGTAATTTACTAATGTCGACAGACTTTAATGTATTAGATTTTAATATGTAAGTAATTTATGAATTTATTTTGTATAGGTATGAATCTTTTTAATGTCAAACTCCTTAGTTGGCTTTTGTATTTTTATCCTAGTCTCGTTGACATTTAGTTTGCTTATAAGGTACTAGCTGTGCCCGCGACTTCGCGTGGAAAAGTGACTTGGGGTAGATTTTTTGATTATTTAGGCTGTTTATTAATCTATGTAAGTGCTACTTTGCCGCAACACTCTCACCTCACTCTCACTCCCACTCCCACACCTATTTTCAAAAAGCCAAAGAAGAAAGTTTCATTGTTAGCTTCAAAAACCACGAATTTTCATACAAACTTTTACCCCCCCCCCCCCTACAACCCCCTTTTCGCAATAAAAAGTAGCCGACCACCTGTATACCAAATTTCATTCAAATTCGTTCAGTAGTTTTGGCATGAAAGAGTAACAGACAGACAGACAGAGTTACTTTCGCATTTATAATATTATTAAGGAAGTATGGATGAGTCAGATAGTATATTAAATTCCTGTTTGTATCTGATCAACAAAAATAATGAGTACGAGAAATATGCTAAGATATTTATAATTACAACCCGATGCTTTAAGACGCATTTCAATATACAATTGTCTTACCGACCGAACCGTTTTTTCCGCTTTTTCCCGAGTTTCGAACCTAGTACCGCTTAAAGCTATTCTTAATGAAATTAACAATTGAGCATTGAATTTTAGTCTAATTTTGTTTAGTTAAACTTCGCCATTTTTCAAATAACAAATTCATTATCAAATTGAAATGTTTTGTATCGCTCTGTTTGTAGTCCAGTGTCACTATCAACACTGATAAGGCAATTGTTATCATCGCATTGTTATTCCAGAACCTGAGAAATCTCTTACGCGTAATTATACAGTTAATAAAGTACTTTAGTTTATGGTACAAATGAAATTGCATTTACTACATACTTTACACTAAATCTGCTACCAGATGGCTGATATAAATACGCATATCGTGTCAATAGTTTACGCGACTCATCATCTAATATTACGAGCTTAAGAGGTTGTTTGTTTGAACGAAGGATTCTCAGTAAGTACCGATTGGGGAAAAACTTTAGGCTATAAAACATCACACTGCACCCAATAAAAGCAAAAAAAAAACCAGTGGAATTATTCATACTAATATTATATGCCTATCTTTCAAGATCTCAAACTTGCAAAAGAATGACGAGAGGCGGCCGACGTCGTATAAATAATACCGATAATTTATAATAAAGATGAGGTTTGCAAAAACAAATTTTGACGGTCAAAAAACCATAAAAAACCATAAAATAAATTAAAACCATAGTCAATTTTTAAATATGCTCCGATCTTTGAAATGTCTTTCAGCAGCCGTAGTCACGGGGGCGATGGTAAGTTATATAGTTCTTGTCAACTTATTTGAAATTGTATTTAATTTATCTGTTATTTTTGTTCATTTGTTTAGTATTTACGTTGCATAAGACACTTTACTTTTAGTAAATAATTCTGTCCATAATTGATTAAAAATATAACAAATTGTGTGTTGTTATATAGCAAGTCGTGCCTACCTATTGAAATAGTAATGTCCTAAAAATAAATATATTTTGCAAACTATATTTTGCGAGTCGTATTATAGCGGATGGGACATTAGCACTCGTCTAACGTGCCAAACTATATAAATAGGCAAATATGGCAGAATAATAAACGGTGTGCCCTCTAACTGCTTAAACTTTAAGTTAACGAAAATTGGGTTGGATAAATTACTAGTCTAGTTTATAATACTTATGGCTTTTTTATGTAATAAAGATATTATTCGGTTAAGGCGATCTTATGAATCATTGTCGCATTGGATTCCGCCTGTTATGGCAGCTGCTATTTTTAAATAAATAAAATATAAAAAATAGTAATAAAATGATAGTTCCTGCAAGCCACATATTGTTTATTCCTAACTTAATCGGTAACTTTTAACTTTTTTTTATTCTTTCAATTTTTGCGTAACAGCAAAAAACAAAAGCAGTACGTACATGATACTAGCCAGAATTAGAAAATGTCTTACATACCATATTTTGTTCTCACATTTAGCTAGAATGTTTACTACGCTGACGTTTATTTGTTTGCATGTTTCTATTTTACTGTTAAGTGCATTCTTCGTGACCGACACCGGCTACAAACTTTGGACTGTGGATCTTCACAAACGGTGCGAAGTCTATTCAAATGATTCAAAATAAAACCGGCATTTTGTAGTCTAAACTAACAAACAAAAAATATGATGAGTATAGAATATGAAAAGTTTATCACATATTATTTAGTACAGAATGACGCAAAAAACTTTTAATGACGCATGAAAATTTCATTTATAAATCTGAATGGTTTATTATTCTGAAATTATTGTAATTTGATTAGGAACGTGTGGTCAAGTAAGATAACAATGTCACTTTTAACAAAACAATTTTGTTTAAAAAAATATGAAATGATAAAGACCACCTCTATAAAGAAAATAAAAGTTAAGTGTGAAAAAGCTTCCTGAAAGCTTGTTTAATGAATTTTATTTTGCTTTTTTTTCTTTTTGTCGTCGTTGTAGTACTTACAGTAACACAATCTCTTTAATTAAAAATTAAAACCAAATTAAATAACGGTTGTCGCCATTTCTTCATTTCAAATTTTAAGTAGGCACTGTTTAATTTACTTCCTACCCACAATCTGAACAATCAATAAATTTATATTATTGTAATCATTATAAATTAAGAAGAAATCTTAGCGTAAATTCCATAAGTTTAAGTCATTGTAATTCTATAAATCTGTTGAATTAATATAAAAAAAATATATTAAATTACGAATGGCGGGTAGATTAAGTTTATTCTTTTTTTATAAACTACCGAACCCAGGATTTACTATTTATTTATTACACTTACCAATAGTCAAATTTAATCAGAGTTTATATCACTTGTCACTAATAGTAGATCATTAAAACTTTTTCTTTTAATTATGTAACGTGGTAATCCACGTTCGACCGGACACTGTCGGTTAGTGAGTACGCGCAGAGCACTCGCGCGTTTTACGATCACTAGCCAAATAGCCAAAATTCAATCGGTGTTCTCCCGTGAAAAAATAGATTATTTTATTAATCGACCTCATTGTACGATTTTGAGATCTGTGGACAGTTCCTGGATCTTTGTTTATACGCTGTGATTGTTTTGAAATTTAAATTATTAATAAAAACGTAAATAATATATGTAAAGATGTTTATTTTTTTTACGTTATAATTAAAATTCTTAATATTTTGAAGTTGGAAGTTATCTTGTTCTATACCGATCCATAAAATTACACTATCATATTTCTGAATATTACTCAAGAAGTCATGAGATTTTTAACGAAGGTATAGTAAAAACAAGAAATAAACGCTTAGAATAACGAGATTTTATCATGTGCTTTTTTCACGCATGAAGTAGTAAGTAAGTATAGTCAGTAGAAACTTCTGTTTGTGCTGTCTTCTGTTAGAACTTTCAACAATTAGCCATTTTTCTGTCTGTTTTATATTACCAAAAAAAATATTGAAATTTATTAACATTCACTATGAATAAAGTTCTGAGTGACCTTCGAACTTCGTTAATTTTATAATCTTTATCAATTGATTTTAATTATCAATGATATCTTATCGAACTGATAAACAATGAAATAAATGTCTAACTTATTAATAGTTAACTATTTATTACATAATAATCATAGATTGATTTGTTAAACGTAAGTTTATGGTTTATTTTTAATAATTATCTCAATTTCTAATCACATTATATAAAATAAGTCACCTGTACTTAGCAGTTTTAAATTGTATTGCGCCAAAAAAATGTTAACTTAGCAAAATATGTATAATGAATTTGCTTTGCTTACTTTTTTTCATAAGGCGTATATTTTGAACTTTTCATATCTGACAGCTGACTTGACGTTGACTTGACGTTTGACATAAGCAGATAATATTTTTATTATTGTTGATTTTGACGGATAGATTGAAGACGACACACGTGTTTGTTATAATTTACTTTGTATAAACTATAAGTTGAAATGCTACATAAATTACAAAAATGAATAAATTTAATGAAAAGAAACTACAGCAAAATCCCTCTTTGGCTTACACAAGCAATCCCGATTTTAGAAAAGCACCGAAAGTCGCTAACCCGGTAAGTAAACTTTTAATATATGTGTTAATTTTTGCTCTATTTTGATTATTCATACATCATTTTAACTACTTATGGCTATTTCTTTTATTTGAGCGCAAACGTTAATCCATAAATCTACAAACAATATGCAAGTTATATAGTAATTCATATTGTTTATATTAGGGTTCTAGATAGAGGGCACATCAGAGCAGTCCACCTTCGATTTCGATTCGATCAGTTCCCATTTTTACTGACTCTGTGCAGTTCATAATCACATAAAACTAATAGCTAATGTAATAACTTAATAGAATATAATGTATATTCCTTATATTTCAGTATTTACAATGCTTAGGAGCACCTCATACAGATTCTTTCAATTATATGGTAACAGATGGTCTGAAAGCAGCAATAGCAGATCTTGTACCTGTCGAATTTGAGATGCCAAGTGGGGAGAGAGTGAAAATTGTCATAGACGATGCAACATTCTCTAAGCCACATGTTCCAATGGAGAGTGTTGGTGTTAAAAATCATAGAGTACTCCCCACTGAATGTAGACAAAGAGCTGCTACTTACAAGGGTGATTTTAAAGTGAGAATGACAATTACATATGATGGAAAGGTGGTAACCGTTGATCGTTCACTTGGCCATCTACCTATAATGCTTAAGGTAACTTAAATGTAGTAATGAATGTAACTTGCCAATTACTTGTCTCATATCCTATTTCCATTACAGGCTCAACTTCCAATTGCATAGTTCTTAAGTTATTACTGATTACACACACTGTGTTAAATATTTTGTTTACTTTTCTTTCCAGTCAAAAATGTGCCACTTAGATAACATGTCACCAGAAGAATTAGTTAAACACAATGAACATGCTGACGAATGGGGTGGCTACTTCATTGTCAAGGTATATTCTATAAACTTTTCAACATGCCCATTTTCTTGTAAGTTTCAATATAAAATGCTTATGATTTGTTGTTCATGGGAATATTAAAATCTATAAACAAAGGTTGGTGTATTAGAAGTCTATTGAGAAAATTATTTCATTTATTAATTATATAGTAATAGAATTTTAAATAACTTTCAACAGTAATTCTAAATTGATAAGTACACTTTTATCACCTTTAAATGCAAAATATATTATTTAACTTATTAAAAAAAAACCTTTACAGGGTCATGAACGTTTGGCACGAATGTTGCTGGTCACACGACGAAACTACCCAGTCGCAATAAAAAGGTCTGGATGGAAAACTCGGGGCAACTTCTTTACTGAGTTTGGTATACTCATGCGGAATGTGAAGGTGGACCAGACGGCTACGGTAAGATTTAAGTATATAGACACAGTTAATGTTGAAAGCCTGAACCTTATTTTATAGTAGTATAGACTATCTTATGTTTAATGTTATTTTTTATGATTGAGGATGTCCTCCTCAATCATAAAAAATAACATTAATAAACCCATGATAGTCTGTCAGACTATCATTGGTTTACTTGAAGGAAGTTGAAATACCTGAACCAAGCAACATGAGCAACAGCACGGAACGCTGACGATGCCGGTTCAAATCCTGCCCGAGTCGAAATTTTTTTAAATTTATTTTCGATTTTTTAATTATACCTGAACCATATAATATCTATAGAAGATGTCATGTCAATCTATTTGGGTTCTTAATATTTGAAATTTTGAAAATTGGCCATGCCACCTAGCAATATATGCTTCTTGTTGATTACTTACTGTAGATAAATGTCATCACTGAAAAGATACAGATATGTGTCATCCCAGTGCCATAGAGGGCGACCAACCTTTCATAAATTTGTGTAAGTAGGAAATACTTAGCTGAAGATTATTAGGTTTTATTTATATTAGGAGGTCTATGCTTGGCCAGACCAAGGCATTGTAGGGCCATAGAGATAGATAATTAGGAGAAAAATTTTACAATTTCAGGATAATCTTGAAAAAGTTTTTTGTTTCTTAGAATAATGTCCTTCACTTTCTCCAAAATGGCTCATGTAAGTTGATGTTTTCTCATCGCAAAGTGATGTACTACGCGCCAATGCTGCTCATAATAAAGTGCTTAGTGGACTGGCCTGACCATTACATCTACCGGCTGCTGCTACATGGAAAGAAGAATGATTTATATTATGTGAAGTGAGTCTGAGTTTGAAAGACTTATTTTATTCAAAACATAGTAATTCATCATTTTGGTGTACTAATCTCTACTAATATTATAAAACCTGAATAGTTTGTTTCTTTGAACACGATAATCTTGGAAACTACTGGATCGAATTGAAAAATTACTTTTTGTGTTGGTTAGAGGATTTATAGAGGAAGGCTTTAGGCTAGCAATAGTAGGAAGAAACAAAGGAAAATGTGAAATAAACACGAGGAAAATTATTCATCTTCGAGGGATTCATGAAACAAAAATATAAACTACGAAAGAACGACGACGTCGTGGGTAACAGCCACAATTTTTTCAAGCGGATGAAGCTACAAAATAGCTGTATATGCCCAAAATAACTATGCCAAGCAGAAGAAGTTGCGGGCACAGCTAGTAGTTAATATGTCACAAGTTTTAAATATATATTTATTTATTATTTTTAATATAATTTTCAGCTGCATTCAAAACATGCTTAGGGAATTACACGAACAAAATCTTCATACAAGTGATGAGTGTCGCGCGTACGTCGGGAAAATGTTTCGCGCGAAGATTCTAGAACTACCCCCATGGGCGTCTGATTTGGAAGCCACGGACTTTCTGCTCCGGCGCAGCGTAATGATACACTTGGAAGATTATAAGGATAAATGCCACGCGCTTATATATATGACACAAAAGCTGTATGATTTGGTGCAGGGGAAATGTAGGGTAAGTTTTTTATTTAGCCAGTTAATTATGTAAATCTAATTTACTACTTGCCTACACAATGTGCCAGATAGGAAGAAACGGAATTTTACTTTTTATTTGGTTATTAATGTAATAAAACAAACAAGATAGGTTTAGCAAAAGGAATTACTTAAATACAAGCTACATATAGATATTTTTGAATTTGATATAATTTGTACATGTTTGAATAGGTAGAGGGCGCTGATGCAGTAATGGTCCAAGAATTACAAGTCGGCGGTCAATTGTACCTTCAAATATTGAAGGAGAGACTCCAAAACTACATAAATATGATGCGATACGGGTTCTTAAAACGCGATAAGGCTATTGTCGGACAGGTTAGTTTAGACATTTTATTCTCGCTTAAAATATAGATATATAAATTTTAAATTGCAACATTATTTCTTTAAATAAAACACTAACGGTTTAAAGCGTGATGTATATTTCCGCTGCAAAGCATCTGAAACGTCGGGCCGTAGTTATAATAATTTCCAAATAGGTAAAGCTAATATATATCGCGTTTTAAACCGTTGAAGTGTTTTATATTAATTTGTATTAGTCGCGTAAACTACAGACAGTATTTAAGATTATATCGTATAAATATAACCCCTTATTTTTAAATAAGTTTTTGTTAAGATCTTGAATCACGTTTACATTTATTTGTTTGTGTTTGTTTCGCGATTATTATTTTTTAAACCTTATCAATTTTCACAGGCTGATATTCAGCAAATAATCAAGATGGCGGGTTCGCTGGAACAAAAGATGGAGACGTTCCTTTCCACCGGCAATGCTCCGTCGAACAATGTGAACTTGCCCCAATATAAGGGTCTGACTATCGTAGCTGAGAATATTAATAGACAACGATATATGTCGCATTTCAAGTAAGTCTTTGGTATAATGCATTGAGCACGAGAGGTCCTGAGTTTGAATTCAGGGGAAAAACTGAGTTGTTTCGGTCCACCGGGACACGGAAGTCAGATCAGTAAAAGGATACAGAAATATAGACTGTACTTAGGTTAAAAACTTTTATCAAAGTAAGGCCTATAAACTCTATGAAACCCATTTCTGGACTACGCCAATGGCCGTTTAAAGTGTCTATTAATCCAGTTTAAGTTCTTGTAAAAAGACTCCTTATGCTAGGACGTAGGATATTTACAATTCTTTTTAATTATACTTATTTGCCCTTATAAACTGACACGAGCATTTTCCCAGAGCGATACATCGTGGGTCCTTCTTCTTGGAGATGAGGACGACAGAAGCTCGACAGCTGCTACCTGACGCTTGGGGATTTGTGTGCCCTGTCCACACTCCTGATGGTTCCCCTTGTGGTCTGCTCAATCATCTTACTGCTACTGCGCAGGTAGGTACTCTACAAATTAGTTTTGGGATAATTGGGTAGAAACGTTTACTTGGTCACGCCGCCCCCCCCCCCCGCGCCATAGCTCGCTCATTTGAATCGTTTAAATTTTAAATGTTTTTCCTGCCATTCAGTATGTTATGAAAATTATAACCCAATATAAAAATAAACTAAGTTAAAAAATAATAACAAAAAAATACTTGACTAGTAAAGTACGGTCTCATTTAGCTTATTTCACGTTAAATGTTGATCTGAAAAAAAAAACTCATTACTGAACTACACTCGTTTACTTCGTTACAGGTGACATCACATCTAGGACCAGATGCAACTAAGGATTTACCTAACGTTCTTGAAAAATGTGGTGAGTTCCTTAGCTTTTACATAATGTTTATTTGTAGCCCATATGTTATTCTGTGTTGTTTGGTCAAAAGCAGTAGGTTATTTGTTATTGTTCCACTACTCACAAATTTATAAAAATGAATGAAATAGCATGGTTACTTAATTTCATTTGTAAAGAAGATATTATGATTAAATGAATTCATAAACATGGGTACCTTCCGGGAGGGTAGTTTACTAATTCACGTTGCTAACCATTTAAACAAAATCGGATTTCAATATATCAGTAAAATTCAATTGTAAATATTTCGCGTTTAAAATGTACTCGTATACATTTTTTTTATATCCTTTGAAAATTTTCTTTTTTTGCATGTTATTGCACATATTATAAATTTAATATATGATTAGGCTTTACTAGGATACTAACAATTGGTTACAGTAGTGTTAAGGAACTCTGTGGATATCAGTTCGAGTCCCGCCGGTGTCGTATTTTTTTTTTTATCTAAACAGATCTTCAATTTTTTCTTGTTACCAGGAATGGAACCGATTAGCTGGGTGACACAGACGCCCATAGAGAAAGACGTTTACAAGTACCCGGTGTTCATAGACGGACGTCTAGTCGGCTACTTCGCTGAGGACTTGGTCTCTAACTCCGTGGCGTACCTTCGTACCCTGAAAGTCAAGGGCGAGGACGTCCCAATTAGCACGGAAATTGTTCTAATACCAAAACTAGAGGTCTGTATGCAGTAAATTGAATGTTTAAAAGGGCTTGTTGGTCTACTGGTAGTGGCATATAAAGCTGAAGAGGTTCTTTGTTTGAACGCGCTAATCTCTGGAACTACTGGTCCGAATTGAAAAATTCTTTTGTTTTGGTGAGGCATTTATCGAGAAAGGCCTAAATCTTCACGTCAATTAGAGGGCAGGAATATTAGGAAATGTGGGAGGAACGGGGATTATTCATTAATCTTTGTCGGTTTCCATTGCGTGCGCTGTGAAATGGTTCAAGATACACAAAAATATGTCATTTGCATAAACAAATTTGCCCGATGATGCCCGAAATAACTTTTCAACGTGGACGATGTCGCTGGCACAGCTAGTAATAAAATAATTGTATGTATGTATGTTCGTAGACACCGGCACAATATGCGGGCGTTTTCCTATTCACGAACGAAACGCGAATGATGCGGCCCGTTATTAACTTAGCGACGGGTCAGCTGGAAATGATCGGGACCATGGAACAACTGTACCTGGATATCGCTGTCTCACAAGCTGAGATTATCAAAGGTAACGTTTACTCCTTGGGGCATGGGAGCATGTTTCTGGGTCTCATTTTTTTATTAAAGAGGAGGACAAAAAATCACGGGGTTTATTTGATAGGAGGTAAAGAGCCCAGCCATGTAGCATCTAAACAAGATTCGCTGTCGATTTATATGGCTTTGGATATTCGAAATTTTATATTTGATTTTTCATTATTGCTTGCCATTTACTTTATTTCTTGCTTTTTCTCGCCTATTTCCGCGATTCGAACTCGTGACTCTATTTGCTTCACGTAACAACTAATAAGCGGATAAGAAAGTTTCAGTAAGACATCAAATAAGACTGACTATATAAATTATACCAAAACAGTTCTTGATGATTATTTTGTACATTGTTAATGATTTTCAGGTAAAACCACGCATTTGGAGTTGTCGAAATCGGCGTTCATGAGTAATTTGGCTCAACTGGTCCCGATGCCAGACTGCAACCAGTCCCCCAGGTAAAAAAAAATAGTTATCCCTATTTTCTAGACAATAGTCTCAGCTCGACGGACCCTTTGGTCTAATGGTAGCAATGTATGCTAACAATCAATAACTTCAATAGTATAAATGTTATGGGTCGTGGGTTTTATCTTCACTGGGTTCAACATTCTCCAATCAATTTATAATTTTTCTGAAACATGTGAGACGTCGTCTGGAAATCTGGATATTTAATGGTAGGATTACCGGATGACGAATTATCGCCTACAGTTTTAAAAAACCGTGAAATTTAATCGCGTTACTATTTGACGCTGAACAACTAGTGCCATCGTAATCAGTCCAGCCAGTAATCAAATGTTCATACATACTATACATATATATGTTTATCTAGGAACATGTACCAGTGTCAGATGGGTAAACAAACGATGGGCACACCCATCCACACGTGGACCACAAACAGTGAAACGAAGATGTACAGGCTTCAAACCGGGGCCACGCCTCTCTTCAGGCCGCTGCATCATGACCTCCTGAGTCTCGACGATTACCCCTCTGGGACGAACGCGATTATAGCCGTTATATCGTATACGGTAAGATAGGAAATAGCAGGGAAATTTGTTAATTCAATAAAAAAACTGTAATTAATTAAAATTAAATATGCGAGTTCTTTGAACTAAATAGCGAGACGAGCGAACCGATTTGTGCTGCCGGCGCTTCCCTTTTATTGGCTTGAATGAGGAGGAGGGCAAGGGGGGGAGAAATGGACATGTAACATGCCTTTTGAAATTTAAAAGTGTTTTTTGTGTCTGTAATTTTCGTCTAAATTACCTTTCAGTTTAGAAAAATCCTTTTGGTCCCGTTATATATTTATGGCTTTTTCATTTCCAGGGTTACGATATGGAAGACGCAATGATTATAAACAAGTCTGCGTACGAGAGAGGCTTCGCCGCTGGTACCGTGTACAAGTCTAATGTTATTGAACTGAAGACTATGAGCTCCTACTTCATTCGAGACCCGAATAAGCCCGAATTAGCTGAGTATATGGACGAGGATGGGCTACCGGCCGTTGGCGCAAGAATAAACACCGATAATCCGTTTTATTGGTAAGAGAGATATTTAAATACTGTCTATAGTTTCCGCGAGTAGTACACATTTAAATAAAACCCTTTACCCGTTCCCCAAAACGCGATATAGAGTTAAACTTATTTGAAAATGATTTTTAACTTCGGCCCGACGTTTCGGATGCTTTGCAGCAGCCGAGTCTCCCCGTGACCACGGCTGCTGCAAAGCATCCGAAACGCCGGGCCGAAGTTAAAAATTTTTTTCAAACAAGTTTAACTAATATATCGCGTTTTAAACCGTTAAAGTGTTTTTTTAAAAGAGAGATATTTGTTCTTGGAAAGTAAAAAAAGTTCTTTTTTTAAATCAAGTTAAATAAGATTGAAAAATGGAACTTGGCGATAAACTCGCCGCGAGTTTCTTGATTGTTCTACTTCTACATTTAGAGGTTGTCTTAAGTAATTTTGTGCTACATCAGCTTTAGTATTTCCGGACCGATACGAACTAAGATTACGTTGAAGACTCTTTGAGGCTGGCAACGCATCTCCAGAACCCATATGTATGGTAAATGTCGATCCGCTTGCCCGTTTGGCCCTTGTTACTACTTTGATAAATTATACCAGTGTACAAGTGAATATACATTAGGACTATTTTAAATATTCATAAACAAGTAGTTTATTGGTGAGCATTTATTATTAGATTATCTACTTAAGTAAATATCTATCTTTCGCCTTGGTCATTGTTTTGAATAAATGTTGTAGTTTCTTCGATGGCGACACTAATCGCTTCATGGTGACCAAATACCAGGGTAAAGAGGAAGTATTCGTGGACAGCGTGAGGCTGTGCGGAGACTTCTCTCCCCGAGCGTGCAAGAAGGCCATCGTCATGCTTAGGATTCAGGTAATCGAGAGAAAATTCAATTATTATGCACTGTAATTATCGCAAATATAAAGGAGTTTTTCTTTGGAACCCGATCTTAATAGCCACTAAACTTTTATGGAATTCATAATAAGATTCCAACTATGTATTTATATTTGTAGAGAAATTAAAGAAAATAATCAATTTGAAAATCAATATTTTATGTTTTTGACATGACGGCACTACTAAATTAAAAATTTATATAATTTTATAATATTTTCATTCATAAAGCTTCTATTCACTTTCAATATTCTTTTTTTTACAGCGTAATCCAACAGTGGGTGACAAGTTCGCCTCTCGGGCCGGCCAGAAAGGTATCTGCTCGCAGAAGTGGCCGGCCGAGGACCTGCCCTTCACGGAGTCAGGGCTGATACCGGACATCCTGTTCAACCCTCACGGGTTCCCGTCTCGGATGACCATCGCTATGATGATCGAGTGCATGGCGGGGAAGGCGGCCTGTCTACACGGACATGTTGGTAGATAATAATAATCTCTAACGCCTAGCTCGACGCCTAATGTTTCTAATCGATTTATAATATTTTTGAAACACGTTTAACCTCGTCTGGAAATCTAGATGTTAAATGGTTGGTAGGAATATCGAAATTCCATTCGGGTCACGAGCTACCACGAACAGTCGAAGAAGCCGTGAAGTTAATCGCGTACCGGTTTCAGTCTGGATTTTCCAATATCCAAAGCCTAAATAGGACGACAGCGCATCTTATCTACACCTCCCATCAAGTGGACCCCATGCTTATCTTTTCTCTATTATTAAAAAATTAGTTAAATATATTGAAAATTATTTTACCTACGGCCCTACGTTTCGAATGCATTAGCCGTGGTCACTTAATATATTTTGCGTTTTAAACCGTTAAAGTGTTTTATTTAAATGTGTACTACTCGCGTAAACCACAGACAGTAAAAAAAGGTTCAACCAGGGTATATCCACTATATTCATACTTAGGGTATATATCTACTATAGCCGCCTTTGCACTAACTCTATTATGTAAATAATTAATTTAGTTTTGCTATATTTGTATTTTATTAGTTTGTGCAATAAAGTTTTTTTAATTATTATTTGCAGGTACACGACGCCACGCCGTTCCGTTTCAACGAAAAGGACACAGCGATAAATTACTTCGGACGTTTGCTAGAAGCCGGCGGTTACAACTACTACGGCACCGAGAGGATCTACAGCGGCGTGGACGGACGAGAAATGGAAGCGGACATCTTCTTCGGCCTAGTCCATTACCAACGGCTGAGGCACATGGTGTCTGATAAGTGGCAAGTGCGCACCACCGGAGCCATGGACGCAAGGACCCGACAGCCAGTGAAGGGTCGTCGGAGGGGTGGTGGAGTCAGGCTGGGGGAGATGGAGCGGGACGCGCTGATATCACACGGGGCGGCGTTCATGCTGCAGGATAGACTGTTCCACTGTTCTGATAAGAGCCAGGTGCGTACACTCTGTGTTCATAGACTCAGTAGATTTTAGAGCTTTTTGTATATTCCTACATGATACAAACCCAGATCTTAACGGATAGACACGTATATGACATGACTTAATTTATGACAAATTCATGGAGTTAATGGGGAAAGTATACTTCAGCCATATTTTTGATTCTTGAAACAATTACCCTTTATCTGGTCGGAATTTCAATCTTGCCTCAACCCATTTAATGTGTAAAAAAAAAAGATTTTTAAAAACATGGGGCCAGGTGGGAATCGAACCCATGAAGGTTGAGTATTATTCATACGTTGCTTTATTAAACTACGTAATATTCTGAAATGGTTATATTTTCAGGCTCTGCTGTGTACGATATGCGGGACCCTACTCGGCCCGATCTCAGTGATGACCAGCGCAAACGAAGACACTTGTCGTCTCTGCAAGAAGGGCAACCTCGTCACCATATCTATTCCGTACATCTTCAAGTTCTTTGTTACGCAACTTGCGTCTGTCAACATCAATGTCAAAATTAATTGTGTCAATACTTTAGCTATCACCGCTAGTTGAGAAATATATGAATTATAAATATTGTCTGTGGATATTTCTTGTGTATTAATATTATCATCATATCAGCATAATCTACTTCAATTGATGAAAATATAAATTTGAGTCTGTTATTTAAATAATAATAACAGTTCATTTGACATTACTACTTGCAATTTAAAAATCGAAAATAAATTGAAAAAAATTTCGACTTGGGCAGGACTGGAACCGGCATCGTCAGCGTTCCGTGCTCTTGCTCAAGTCCTGCCTGAATCGAAATTTTTTTCAATTTATTTTCGATTTTTATATTGTATAATGCCTTCATGTGCAACATGTGAAAAATATTAAAAGTTTTCAAAAATTACTACTTGCAGTTTACAAAATTAAAATAAAGAACAAGTAAAGCCAGAATCAAATATAGCATTTTCAATAATGTTCTGCGGTCAATATCTTAAGCGGTTGAAGCAATTTTGATCAGATTCACTTGCAAACAACTCGCAAATAAAACGCTTTCATAGGCATTAAATCAAAATATGAAAAAAATTATAGGCACTTTATTATTATACTAAAGATATCTTATACATCCTAATGTACTGTACTGCATACTTAATTAAAATGTATACTGCTTATTAAATCAAAATTCGCGACTGGAACCCACTTTTGAATGGCATATTGAAGTCTCCCCATTTTATTTCCTCAGTATGGAAATTATACAAAAATCTGATTGAGAAAAAAACCTTAATATCTTGACAATTTTATAATCTGACCATGTTCTTACATACATAAAAATCTTAACTATTCAAAGTGCACTGTATCGGCTATTCTTCCATAGCCTCAACTTCTTGCTTTTTATCCTTCTTCTTCTTTTTCTTCTTCTTAGGCGTTTCCTCCTGTAAGAATATGACATATAAGTCTGGGTGATCATTCCACACTATGAGCTGACTATAGCTATGATTGTACATGACTGTACCCTTAACATAAATATAGTATGGCATTTATACCTCCATTGTCTGGTTTCCGACTTCCTCCATAGCCAGTTTCATAACTTCAATGTTCTTCATGGGGATGTCTCCCGTCTCGTAGAACTTGAGCCTGTCTTCCACTTGCTGGCGAAGTTTCTCACCAAACACCGAAGTTTGGTTTTCTAAAAAGAAACAGTTTTTATCATACCCCTTTAAAAAAGGTCAGTTGAGTCATTAATCCTAAACTGAAGACAGCTTGGGTCAGTAGTACATAGTCAAGTCATTTAGCAGACTTATTACCCATTATTTACCCATTGTGTTACCAAACTTCTCCTCTAAGGAGGATATTAGAACATCAAACTGTTGGTTAGAATCACTTCCTGATAGATGTGGCAACAAAGGCTAAGCTTAATATTGCCATAAACGAAAATATAATACCGCCTTTGATGCATGTAATATCGCACGCTAATATTACCACAAACTAAAGGCTTGCAATAGATCAAAACGTGCTGTATTTCTTTAAATAGAACAGAAGAGATCATAGTTACCAATATTTGGACTATTAAGCATTCTCACTCACCAGAAAAGCAATCTATCCTTGAAGCAATAGAACATTTGTTGGCAAGGTATCTGCTGATTCTGCCCTTGTTCTTGAGACCAGCTCGGCCAATGAATGTTGAATGGTAGAGAAGACCATATTTGGGAGTGTTCGACCTAGTCTTGAGTGCTCGGAACAGAGCTTTTTCAGCACCTGAAATTAAGTTTTGGAGTTATTTTCCTACTTTTTTATGATAGAGTAGGACAGACATGCTTGGCGAGCAATAGATGGTACATGAAATACCTCAGCCACATGACATCTCGACAAGATGTGCTGTCAACTTCTACTAATACACCAACTTCTATTATAAGCAGACCATTTTCTCCTATGGTCCACAATATACAGTATTGTGGTATAATTGGGAAATTTACAGATATTTTTAATTCCCACAATATTGAAATAAAATACATAAAACTAAGTGAAGTAAACCTAAAGGCTCTATCAAATCTTACACATACTTGTCATTTAGAATAATTTAAAACAATGTATGTAAAAACGTTACCCAAAATCTGAAGTGTTGAAGCCGGATATTTAGCCAAGTTGGTGAGAGACCCAGCTTTTGATATGAGCCTGGCTCCGACTTGATCCCCAATAAGCACCGTCAAGTTTGGAGCAACTGAATTCATTTTTGTGTGGAGGTACTCGGATATTTGTTTTCTAGAAAAAACATTAGCATGAACATAATTAAAATGATTTTATTGAACATCAAAACTGTTTTCTTCCTTCCAGATTGTAATAAATAATTCAGTGTGTAACTTGTCGCAATATCATTAAAATATAACAACAAAAAATTGCTATATTTATCTCAAAAGCATTTATGTAGCATGCCTTTATTACTACAAGCCAATATAAGACTCATAATAGATCAAACATGCATATTATACTAAAACAACATTATATACATAATAAGACGACAAAACGTGGAAACAATCTTAGATTGGATATGTCTTAAATAACAGTAATCTATACTAATATTATAAATGCGAAAGTAACTCTGTCTGTCTGGCTCAAACTCCGAAACTACTTAACTGATTTAAATGAAATTTGGTACACAGATATTTTACTGAGAAAGGACATAAGCAACATTTTAATGCCAAAAAAGGGTTGATAGGGCTTGAAAAGGGGGATGAAAGTTTATATGGAAATTCGTGGTTTTTTGAAGCTACGTACGTTTTTTGAACTAAGTCCTTTTTTCTTTGGCCTTTTGGGAATAGGAGTGATGTGAGGTGAGAGTGTTGTGGCTAAGTAGCACTTACAACATAGATGGGCTGCCTTACATAAATTGATAAACAGCCTAAATAATTAAAAATTCTACCCCAAGTCACTATTCCACACGGACGAAGTCGGGGGCACAGCTAGTAGGTAATAAGTGAAGTAAAATGTTTATTTAAAAATTGAACTGCTTAATATATAGCAAATTGCTATTTTTAATCTAACACTCTACAGTAGAAATTATCAAATCTTTTCTTACCTATATTCGCTCAACGAAACAACTCTTCCAGCAAACATTTGTATGTTAATCAAGTCGACAGGAGATATATCCATGCCCATAGACATTTTAGATGCATCAATAATTGCCTGTGCTTTTTCAGAGTCACCTAAAATCTCTGTTAGGGGCTCCACTGATTCTTCAGTAAGAGACTTCCTGTCTTTGATGAATTCAGCACATTTGGTGTAAAGATGATTGTCAGGAACTATTGCCACAAGCTCTGGGAAGTGGTAGGAGTACCATTCTCTGAAAGATGTTTAAAGTTATCTTTTTATTCTTCTAATCACTTGCGTCACTGTACCAGCAGAGTATGTTAAAGGCCAAATTTGATGGTGATATTAGGTCATTAACAAATACTTACCTAATCCTCATGGAAAAGGTATTGACGTCTTTATCCAGCTGATCCAATAAAGCAATAGACTGAATGATCATGTTATCTACTCTGTGGACATTGAACTTGACTCTGGCTCTTGAATATGAGTGTCCGAGACCAAGTTGAGCAACTGAACAAGCCTTTTTGGTCAAACCCTTGATTAAAGAGTGGAAGTGAAACTTTATACCTGGTAAAAATGTATTCATTTTAAATAAACATATCTTAATGGTCCCAACACAGTTTACACAATAAAATTTATATCTTACAAGACCAGCAATTAAAATTAAAAATGTAATATAATTATCATAAAATTACATAATTTTGTGTATTAAATCAGAACCTATGACATACCTCTTACAATTTCGGGGACAACACCAATGTGCGAACATGGTATTTCCAATGCTTCGCTGATGGCTGCCCCAAGCTTGGGATCTAGGACTCCAAGAGTGCACTTACTCCTTTTCTTTTTCTTTGGTAATGCACCTTCCAAGAATAGATTCAAGTCTTCGGGTAATATACCTGAAGAATTTAACAATTAAACACCAACTCTTTACATTCTTACTTAAAAAATATAGATAATTTTGTAAGAGTTTACCTTCAGATACAGCGTTAATGTTCTCTAAAGCCAGAACAGCCGATTTGAAAGGCTGGAATGCAATGAGTGACACCACCGAATTAAATTTCTGCAGGTCTGTCACCGACTCTTCCACCTGAGGTAGAAATGTTGCCAACTCCTCAAACTCCGAAACCCGGAAGAGCGCGAAGCCCGCAGCATGTTCAAACAGAACGTACGTCTTACTCTAAAAGAAAAATTAGCTTATGAAAACATTTTGAGGTTAAGTAACACGCTTAACAAAACGACGAGTAACAATAATCAGATTTTCTTTGTTTATGTTATGCGTTCTCGTAAATACTTACCATTTTTACTTATGAAATATTAATTTTCATTCAAAACACATTATATTTTGGTATTATAACAACACGTGTATTTTTAAACACCGTATTTAGATAGCGCGGTACGAATTACGAAATGCGTTGCACCACACGCAAGGCGTCCTCAGCTTTAAGTGTCAATCTGTCAAGTATTAAATTTAATTGTTTTAATACAAAACGTGTTTAATAAGTTATGAAATAAATACAGTATACTGTTCTTATTATTGTAATAATTTAAGGTTGTTTAATATATAAATGTTTAATAAACTATCATATTAGTTTTTATGTACTCTATGGTAAAATATATCATTTGTATATACTCTGTGTAAAAATACAAAACTTTAAATCTGTAGTGTTGTAACGTACGTTTACGTCAATTTGATTCAAAACTTGAGTTGCTATGAAAACATTCGTCACGGAATTTATTTTTTTATAAATTAATAATATGTCGAAGCCACCGTTGCAGCAAGAAATTCCAGCAATTTACTATAGGAAAGAAACGTTTCTTAGCCTCGGGATGCTTTCGAACTATTGTCCCATGTCAACTGAACTTTCGCGTCTTATATTCAAAGAAAATGCATTGGAGAAACCAACTCAGATATTTTTCAACCAGTTATCTTATTATCTGATCACAATTATCGACGCTCAAGCTGCTTCTAAGCTGACCTGGCCTTTATTGGATTCAAAGGCTGAGAGGACATACAGGAATGATTTGCATACTTTCATATCTTCTAACACCAGCAAAGGTACATATATGTTACATGGTGCATGTTTATTTGCTTATTTAGTTTATTTTTCGAAATAGTTATGACATAGCTAAATCTAATAATCAATACAGTATTGTAATTATATGAAAGATCCAAATCAATTTCTTAACCATTATTTTAGTTATAGATAGAATGATTTGTTTGTAAAAAACTTCTAAATATAATTTAACTTCAAACAATTTCCATTGCAAAATTTGATTTAATTTTGTTTTATTGCATATAATCCTGTATTGCAGGATTAACACCAGTTATGTCTCCATACCTTGTGCGTCCAAGTTGCTACAAAGTTACCATTCTTATCTTCCAAATGACCTCACTGGCTCTGAGTACAATAATTGCACAGATTGCTAATGAGTCTCAAAAGCAGGTGGCCAAAAATCTAAATGAGGCATATAAACAAGACACTTCTACCGACACCTACATCACTTTTGTTGAGAATGAAATCCAAAGTTTTCAAAGTAAGTTAACCATTCACAAGGTGACAATACAGCACGCTGAAGTTATTGCCAAAAAGCTTCGGGAACAAATTATTAAATTGGAAGATAAAAATCATCAGGCTGTAAGTTTTCAAAAACAAGCAATAAGTGAATCAACAAAAGTAGATGAATTAGATGAATATTGCAAAGAAAGTTTAATCAGTATAAGGAATACTGATGTTCAATCACTAGTATTTGATGATTGGTTGCTTTATACGGATAATAAAATAGATGATATGGTTGATCAATGGGATAAAAGGATAGAGTTATGGAATCTGTGTAAGAAAACAGCGAACCTGACAAAAGACGTTGTATTGCGATACACTGGGCAGGTGGAAAAAACTACCTACTCTATATCTTATAATCCAGAAACTGACAAAATATGCACTAAAGATTTGGAACTGCAAGTTGATGTTGAACAAGCATATGTACTAAAGAATATTGATATCGATGGAAACTTAAGTTTTCCAAATCTTGTAAGAGGGTTTCTGATTTCTAGTAATTATATTACGAAGAATGTTACATTCGATGATTATGTATATAAGTGTAATAAGTATTTAGAAACTGGTATGATCAAATTGGATGACATTTATCATGGTTTACAGAATGTTAATGAAAGGATATTGAAAGCTAAGGAAAAACTGCAGGTAAGTCCTTTGATAACTAGGATATAATTTAAATGTCCTTAATAATTATCTGTGTTTCAATTTTTAATGTCTAGGCAATGACAATAAGGGTAATTTCTCTACTTTGAAAATTCTTCATAAAAATACTGATTTAGTTAACCAGACTTCAGTTTAATTTTGACTTTAGAGAGCTACTGGGCTGATCATCTAGCCTTCAATTGGTGTTTTCAAAAGAATATGACAATATTTATGCTACCTTATAAAGAAAACTATAAATATTTTTATAATAAATATAATTGACCAGTTTGTAGGAGAACGTTTCTTTTCTTTTTCAGTACAATCCATCGGTCATGGTTCCTAGCAAACGCGGTCCATCAAAAATATATCCCGGTTCATTATTTGGCCCGTCATTGTCAAATTTAAAGGCGGGAAGGGATTATCAAGCTTTCTTTGATACCTTTACACCACTGGCTGCCACTAAGCATAGGTTAAATCTTTATAAAAATACAAAAATCTTTAAGCAGCCGTCAATAACTATTCAACCAGTAAGAGACGACTTCATGAAAAGCCTTGTGTCATATAATGGTAATACAAATTATGAAATGGGTGTAAGCAGCAATCTATCTGCTATTACTCAAGTTCGAAGCAATGAGACAATAGCTGATTGTGCATCTGGTTTTACAAGGCAACAAATACAGAGGTTGCTGTCTACAAAAAAAACGAGTAGCTCTAAGAAATACAAATACAACGCAGAAAGACCAGAGAAAATCAAGCCAGGAGCTTTGACATACGATTCTGGAGTATCGATAGAAAGTAATGGATTGACAAGGAGCTACTCTTCACCGAATCTCTTAGAGAATAGAGAAAAGAGATCCTTACCCAAGCTTCGGGGTCGGAAGCTTTCTATTATGAAAGAGGATAGTCCATTGGAACTGTCTGGTATATCGGCTTTGGAGAATAACAGTAATTTCAGCACACCAGGTCAAGCTAATGCTGAAAGTTCTCGTAAAATTTCTACTCCTGAAATCTTAATATCAAATGCTAGTGATTCTAATACTGCCATTGGAGAACAGAGAAAGAGTATAGAAAATCTAACACCGAAAACAAACCCCCATTTAATTCGAAAGACCAGTTCTATTGAGAAAATAATAAATCGTTTCAAAAAGGTCCGAGCGAGTGTTATTCCTCCAAAAGAGGATTTGATAGAGGAGTTTAAGGAAAATGTATTTCTCAGTGTGAACAACAGATTGATGTTGCCAGATTTAGTTAGTCCCAATGTATCGGATATGAGTGGAAATTCTTCTGATTGTGAGAGACGTCCGCGACAGAGCCTGGGTTCCGTTTTGGGGGTGGATCAAACAATACTGGATCAATTTGATCTAATAGACTGATAATTTATTGCTTTAGGTTTATAATAAATTTATAATGTAGATAAAGTATTATAGAAGTAAATATATATTCCTTTTAACTATTTTGTTTTTAATTTTGATAAGGGTGTATACTGGGGCATCGCAAAATGTTCAGAAAGTGTTATAAATTAAATTTTAGGGTATTTATTTCCATTACAAAATATATATTTACTTATATTCGGAGTACTGTGTTTTTATATTCTTTGTTTATATATACCGCCAAACGCCACGTCGTCCAGTGTGACACGCGTGATGTCATATTTTATATTCATAGTTCGCGGGAAGTAGGCGCATTCAATGATTGCTATCAAATGAAGTCATACACAGAACGGCGTTTAAGTACAGATGAAAAATAGCGTAACAATCGAAAGAAAAATAGGTAATAGTAGAATGGCATATTTTGTGGATCTAAGTTGATTTAACTATCATTTCGATAACTTTATGATGCCAATTTAAACATTTTTTTGGTCAGTATAGTACTCGATAAGAGTATATAGTGTGTACAAGTAAATTATTTTTGTTGTAACAAAGCAAAAACTTTCTTGTATTATGTTGAATTAAGATAAAACTACAATTAAAAGCATAATAAAATTTAATTTTATTCAAATAACACATCAATAAATAATCTCGTAGAATAATAAAGATACAGCGAACATACAGTTCAGATTAAAAGTAATCAAGATGCGTTTTTACAAAATTTCTAATTATTTTAAAATACCGCTAAAAGAAATTATTGCTCTTTCATAAAATATCTAACATACTTGTGTTGTACGCATTCTATCACTACATGCTTAATAAAATAAAAGCAACCAAAAATGTAAGAAGCAAGTTAAATAAATAAAAAATCTTTGATAAAGTTTTAAATAATCTATTGTAGTGTATCATCATCTACTATTACAAGGCCGCATTATAAGACTATTATGTTAAAACCATTAGAAGAACTGGTTTGGCTAGTTACTATATGATTCGAGTTGAATAACTTTACGAATTTCGTAGAAAAGGGCTTATACAGGCCTAATAAAGCGATGTAATGTAAAGATTGAGAATGTAATACAACATCTTTTGTTTTTGTGCATAAATAATCTGTGTAAACACATGATTGTAATCACTTTTATCATACGGACAAACGTTTACCAACACTGAGGATTCAAAGCCTCGGATCAGCTTCCTCCAATTGCACCAGCTTCTCTGAAATTTCCCAGAACTTTCTAGCCTTGCCCATATCACTTGCCGAATCCGATACGTAGCTCTCTTGACAATCGGAGAAGTATTTCCCGCTTACTTTCAGAAGCTTCTCATCGACGGCCAACTTAATTGTTGTCTGGCAACCCTGTTCTGGTGTCTTGAAGAAGCCCTTGATAATCAGCGCCAAGCCCCAGCTCAACGGTGCAGGAACCGAATTCCAGATGCCAGTGTCTATTAACCCTGGGTGCAGGCAGTTCGCTGTAACGCCAGTGCCTTCGAGACGCCGAGCCAACTCTTTGGTGAATAGGATGTTGGCTTCCTTAGACGCGTAGTACAAGTATCCGGGCATCGTGTCCAGTGGGTTTGGATTTTCCAGGTTCACTCTAGCTAATCTGTACAGGGAAGATGATACTACGACCACCCTGGATGGAGAACTCTTCTTGAGGAGGTTTATGAGAAGGTGTGTGAGAAGGAACGGCCCGTAATGGTTGGTAGCCATTGTCATCTCCAGGCCATCTTCCGTTTTCACCTTCCTGAAGGATTGTGCGTAGCCCGCGTTGTGTATTAGTACGTCCAACTTAGTCTCAGACTTGTTCACGTCTTCAGCGAACGCGCGAATTGATGCAAATGAGGAAAGATCTAGTTTTTTTACTATCACCTTTGTGTTGTCTGTTTCTTTGACGATTTCGTCTGAAAGTAAGTTTATTACTTTTTATTGAAATAACTAGATTTGTATAATTCATCTGCAAGTATTAACTATAAACAAATGGGAGTTCTAAAACATTAATATTATTCTCATGTTTTGATTGAAAGAAAATTACGACACGAGCAGGACTTGAACCGGCATCTACAGCGTTCCGTGCTGTTGCTCTAACCAATTGAGCCGCTATTATTGAATTTTGAATATACCTTTAACTTTTTCAGCTAGCTCCATGTTCCTACACGCCATGATAACCCTTGCGCCTCTCTTTGCCAAATCCCTTGCAGTTTCTTTCCCGATTCCACTGGTGCATCCAGTGACGATCACTGTCTTTCCATCCATCCTGGACTTCCCACGGTAAATACCGCACGTGACTTGGGCGTAAAGTCTCACCAAGAAGACCACCACTAGTAGACCAAGGACCACAATGATTCCGACAAGGATGAGGAACGGTATCGCCCACAGTAAGATGTCAAGTCTCCACGCTTCGGCGACAACCATTTCTAAAACAAATAATATGGAAGTAAGAAGAGAGCGGAGATATGGTGTATATTTACTTCCTAATGTCAGATCAGGAATTGGATATTTCGTTGTGAACTAAAAATATTTGTCATTGCACATCTGAAACCTTACAGAAAATACAGGCAGGGCCTAGAACTAAAGAGTTTTGTTTAGCGTTTTGGAATAAGGCCCATCAATAGAAGAGGGCTGTGTAAATGACACAGAACTGATCATAAATTATTTTTGGCTCTGGATATTCAGAAATCCACAGCCTGGATCCGAAACGCAATTAAACATAGATTTCTATTTATATAAAACACTTTAACGGTTGAAAACGCGATATATTAGTTAAACTTATTTGAAAATGATTTTTAACTTCGGCCCGACGTTTTGGATGCTTTGCAGCAGCCGTGGTCACGGGGAGAGTTAAAAATAAAAAATCAGCGTTTTAAACCGTTAAAGTGTTTTATTTAAATGTGTACTAAGTACTTGCGTAAACTATAGACAGTATTTATAGATTTCTATGTTTTTTTTTTCAAATATTAAAAAAAAATACTAGTAACATGAAACGAGGAGTGTACAGAGATCCCAATTTTTTGAGGCCGAATGTTTCGTACGCGTATGATTGTCAAATATTGTCGATACAAACATTACATCAGTACAGTAACATAACAGAACTATGCAAATATCGTATCATAGCTATTTTAAGTTTTAGTAATAAATAAACCTCAACAAACTAGGTACTGGTAACGTACAACACGATGAATATTAATGCGGTGATAAACCTTTTTATAAAGATATGTTACGGCTGCATTGTAACGCATTAGATTCTTCTACAAATCTCAGTTAACGCCAAGGTCAAATAAATATCATACCTACTATGTATATCATATTTTAAAACTTTTTTTTGATGATTATGATATGAAGACTAATAGAGAGTTACACATGATTAACAAACAAATATTTTTTTTACATAATTCGGGATTACCATTGGAACCGGTAGGTAGGCATTTAGATCTTGAGCCTAGTTAACCAGGTGCTTATTAAAATTCAGAAAAACGGTAATTAAGTATTGAAAAATCACTAAACATTATAAAAAAAAACACTTTGGACAGATTATAACGCGAAACTATATTAACTTATTTACAATTTATTTCAACTACTACCCGACGTTGCGGATCTTTGCACCAGTCTGGCCACGAGAGACTGGTAAATGGGTTAAATACATTTAATTTTAAAATCGGACCGAAGTTTAAAATCATTTTCAAATAAGTTTAACTAATATATCGCGTTTTAAACCGTAAAACTTTTTACTTAACTGCCATTTAACCATTACAATTAACAATGTAATTATACATATGTATACTCTTAACAATTATTTTATTATTTTGATTTTGGATATTCCGATATCACAAACTGAAACCAAAACGCGATAAAATTTTAAGGCATTTTTATCTGGACGAAATTTCCGTACCACACACTTAATATTCAGATGTCCAGACGAAGCCAACTTGTTTTACAAAATATATAAATAATTTTGGAACATGGTCATGTCGAACCCACGGCCTGTTGATTATTAGTCGTTGCTACCATTAGATCAACCAACTTTTTCACTAAAAATCAACAATAACAGGTACTAACCATATTAAAATCACAGATTTAAAAATATCGTTAATCACTCGCACAATCAATAATGTTTCTGACGACAATTTGTTCGGTTAATTCTTTAAATATTGGTCAATTAAAGGTAATTAACCTTTATGATGAAACTGTCGAACAATAAACAATACGGTGGTACATCTTGAGAAACTTATTTGCATAATCGGTACCTTCTATCGCCATTTTGTACATTTCTTCGCGTATCTATATATATTGTGAATCTCAAGAGTTTCGATGTTTGTTTGTTTGACCGCGATAATATCAGGAACTACTGGTTCGAACTGAAAAAATATTTTGGTGTTGGATAGAGCATATTGAAGAAGGCTTTAGGTTTGGCTATATAACGTTGCGACCAACAGTCCGTGCAGAGCAAGAAAAATAATCATTTATCTTTGAGGGTTTTCATTGCGAGTTCTTTGAAAACTGAACCGTTTTAAAGGAAGAAACCAAAGGATATGTATGTAAGAATGATTTCACTTTAAATGACGTAAAAAATCTAAACAACAGTATATGTCTATCTTTTAAGATCAACTCGCAAGAACTGTTTATAGTAATCAAAGTAGGTCGAAATTAATGCATAATTACCAATTATTAGTTAGAGTTGTATCAACATAATAATTTTGCAAACGTTTGCCAGATCAGCTACTTTATATTATACTAGCTACTTTTCGCGGTGCTACCCGTGTTTTAACGATCCACAAATTTATAGAAACGTAAGCGTGTCTGTCGTTCACGCGAGTACATTTAAATAAAACATTTTTACCAGTTTAAACCGTGAAACATATTAAACTTATTTTTAATTTATATTAACTACTACGCGACGTTTTTCTTCGTGACTACAGCTGTGTAAAGCATAAACGTTGGATCATAGTTTAATTAAATTAACAAATATATTTCGTGTTTTGAACCGTTAATGGTTCAATTAAATACAAACATAGCATTGTTTAATGAATGGATGTAGCATATAACAGTATAATTAATTTTCTAATAGGACTTTTGGTGTTCCTAAGATAAGCGCCTTGAACGAAATCAACAAAATCCACGAAGATTTTGATTATTTCGTTCTTAATCATCTATGATTGAAACTGATTTTAATCATTTACTAACTGTAATTAAAACATCCAAATTCGTAAGTAATAGGATTTTGTCCTTGTTATTTATAAACAAGTTGTTTTTAATAAACAAGCAATTTTATCGTATAGACCTTTAAAAATGTTTTTTTTTCGTATTTACTTTCAACAAGAATTGTTTCACAAATAAGATACATACATTATTTGTATTTTTTTATATTACTTAATCTGAAAGCGAAAACATTTAACTGGCTTTCTGATATCGAATTTGTCGACTATCCTATTGTACGAGCTGTAAGTTTTCCAAACGTGAATAAATAAAGTTTAATTAAGAAATTAACTTCGACGCCAAACCGTAATTAGGTGCATACGAGAGAAATCTATACCTACCGGTGAAAGTTAGTTAGAAAACGCTGAAAGTTCGTAAACTTACTAGACCATAAAGATTTTTATAATATTCTGTTTCTGCAAACCAGTCATCGAGTTAATTGGGCATTTTACATTGCGATAGTGCTGCTAGACGGGCTGTTAGTCTAATGATACAATGTATCAATGTGTGACAATGGGGGGGGGGTGGTTCGATCACGACTACTTTTTTTTTAAAACATGACCGTTAAGGGATCTTGACAATAAATGGGTGGTAGAAATTCAAAATTTTGTTAGGCGTATAAAATACCGTAGTCTATGGATATATAGTCTGTGGATTTCTAACTATTCAAAGCCTATATGGGGCGACGGCGCATCTTGTTTAAATGTTACATGGCTTTGATATTTTGCCTTCTATCAAGTGACACCCCTGTTTGTCTGTCTTAATGGTGAAATCCTGTGGCCCCTGTGGGGCATGGGGCGAATATTTCTCTGTGGTCATTCACTGATCGGTTTTATTTACAAGCAAGTACCTCATCAGACTTGTGTACCCTGTCCGACCGAAGCAATCTATTGTTTCCTGGGGATTACTATGTCGTTGTGAGCTTACAGGAAAAATAGAATCTTTAATAAAAACTATATAAAAAGCGCGAAATAGGTCTTTAACTTACATTACCTAACCTCCTAATACTACAATATCTATACGAATATACAGATGAACAATGGAATTTTAAGAAGAAAATTATATACGTTTCTCTTGTGCCTTAACATATATTTATTGTAGCCGTAAACATAGATTGAATTCAATGGCAAACGAAAGTGATACTTAAAATGGAAAGTTGATTTGTAACTATTTAATATTCTACGACTCGTCAGCGCGATTAGACGGTGTTATGTAATTATGTATGTTACTTGTAACCTCCGGACTTACTTTGTTGCCTAGATTTGCGTTAAGCAAGAGTGGGTTCGAATCTTGAAAATAATTAATTGTTTTGCCCAGTACTTAGTATGATTAAATTGTCTGAGAATGAAAGCAATCATAAAGACAGAAATTCTTCCCAAGGCCACGAACCTAATTATAGAAGTTTGGTAGCAGGAGAGTTTGTTTGTTTATTTAAACGCCACTTCTGGAATTACTGGTTAGAATTAAAAAATGATTTTTCTGTTGTTTGGTCCATTTATCGGGGAAGGCTTTAGTTTAGGCTATAAAAAAAATCCTTATTTCTTCATATGTCAAAAGAGGTTTGCCTCATCAGGTAGTAAGTATTATAAGACTTAAGTGTATGTTTGTTTAGTGCTAGTCCGAATCATGTGACCAAGTCGATTTTTTAACAGATTCACATTTAAAACTAACCGGATATTCGCCCAATCGTGGGAGGTAACACCAAATATTGTAAAATCAAGAGAATCAATTGAGAATGTTGCAAATATAAAAAATGACACAAAAGTCTTAGTAACGTTATAAATTTCAAATCTTTCAAATCCATCCAGCGGTACTAATATGTGAATCGAAATACGTTTTTTGTTTTGATGCTTCGAGTACTTAATTTAAATTTAAATGCACATGTTAAGTTGCCAGACACATGTTTAAACATTAAGTTATTTAAATTTTAAATATAACTCTCGTCTTCCTACAATTACTTAAAGCTGGATAGCTACTGGGTAATCACTACAATTATTGGAATAATTGGAAAGTTAACTTAACTTTGTATTCAAATATAACGATATATCTCCAGCCTCATCTTATTGATTTTCAAATAACTGTCCAAAAGAGGGGAGAAACTTTTTCGTGGTGCTCTACATTGTATAAGCTCTAAAAGGTTATTTCGGATATTAAATAATTAATTGTTACAAATGCCGCAATGTATTTGTATTGTAAAATAGATTAATACAATGAAAAATAGTTATATATAAATAGTAATAGTATTAATTTATTGCTGATTTGAGTTAAGAGTTTCGAAAAATCTATGCGTAAAGAAGTAATCTATTGCAAGAAAGTGGCGTCGGTAAGTTTTCCCTTATTTTGTAAATGGACAACATTTAGTAGTTCTCAGTATTAACAAATTAAAATTGCGTTAACTTAATTTAAATCACATTAAAATCCTGTTTTGTTGTTAGAACTACAGTAACGAAAACAAATCTAGTCAAAACACTTACTCTATTTTCTTTCTTCTTTTTATATTCTGGCAACACTACAAATTCCACGTGCTGTGTCTATAAAGTTTTAACTGAAACTACCTCGGTTTGCGCTCATGAGTTATGGGTCATATTATCCGCGAAGCCTTTCAAATTTATATCAACAACATTGACGTAGAAAAATAGACCTTATTTCTATACAAATACGGTGAAATCGTCTGCAATCGATTCAGGCCTTAATCGAAACAGCTTTTACGAATAAAAACCTTCTTTATTTGCTATGCGCAAGAGTGTAGAATGGGACGTTGAAATTATTTTAAGTTAGCATTTATTTTTAGCGTCTCGGCGAATTTCGGTATCGCGTTTTTATTCTTAGGTGAAATTTTACACTTTTTAAAAATATTTCTCTATATATATATAATATAGAATACTGAAATAAATGAGTTTTAATTATTTCAATTTTATGTATGTTAGATTATAATCCCAAATTACAATCTAATTGGAATTTATGCTCTAAAATCTAGTTAGAAATAAGTTTTAGCAAACAAAAGTAATGTGTATGAAGTAATCATAGATAACATTACTTTTATCATAGTTTACGACAACATACACAAGTCAACGTTCGCTAAATAAAGATATAGAGGTAATCGAAAGCTCTCGAGTTGTTACTTCATGTGTGTCAATTGTCAACTTACACGTTACAAGCTTTCTTTCGCCGCGCCTTGTCGCTTCGGCATTTTGACGTTACATAACTGCACCTTTGTATGGCAACAATAAAATACACCCAATTACGCTATTTATATAAAGGGTTATATTCTGTCTACGTAGGCTCGTCTTCCAGCTTTATAACCTGTTTTTACGTTTCATTTAAATTTTCTGTAGTTTATAACTTAAGTAATAGTTTTCCCCGTTTCTTGCACATTCCCCGCTTTATCTTCGCTTCGAACACAAAATAATTTTTCAATCCGAACCAGCAGTTCCTGAGATTTGCGCGTTCAAACAAACAAACTCTTCAGTTTTATATATTAGTATAGATATAGATAATTATCTATATGTAGGCACTTCTTCCAGCAATAGGAACTGCTTTTACGTTTTATTTATATTTGCTTTAGTTTATTAATAACAAACTTATAAAAGAAAGATATTCAACGTTTTTAGTACGGAAAGATCTTTAAAGAGCTCTTGTAACGATAAATGTTTGGTACACAATGTGTCTAAAAGTGAAAACCTGTCACGACGTTACAGGTAAATCATATAACAAGTAATAGTGTAGAGTTAACTTTTTTAGCATAGCGATTCAAATTATCAAAAAAAAATCGTATTAAAATAACTTTTTAATTAAAATGAAACAGTCTAAAGGTGTAAAACGCAATATATATTAGTTAAACTTATTAGAAAATTATTTTAACCACGGTTCGACATTTCGGATGCTTTGCAGCAGCTATGATCACACATAAGAAAGCTTAACTAATATATTACGTATATGGCGTTTTAAACCGTTAGTGTTTTATTTATCATACTAACGTACTACTCCCGTAAACTATAGACAGTATTTAACTTATTACGAATTATATAAGGAAAGAAGCATAATTAGTAGGGGTTTGCGTTACTTAAGATTATATTTACACTTAATGACAGTAACAATTTTGATTACAATTTTAAATAGTGATTTTGAAATTAAAAAATCGCTAGGTATAATGTTACTCACAACGATTTAAGCTAAACACACATAAGAACAACATATAACACAGAAAAAATACATAGCATTTTAGCTAATTATATATATATCTATATATATATATATATATATATATATATATATATAGCTAAAAATTATAGCTATTCTTCGATTTAATCGCGACAGGCATTTCAAGTGTTTGTGTTACTTTTATCATTAGCGGCTTTCCGGTCAATGTCGCGGACATACATTCTTAGGCCTTACATTGTACTTCCCAGGAGAAAATAAATACTTTTTTAATATCTCGATAGTAAGCATATTGTTTGGTATTAGTAAAAAGTTCTTGGCGTTCAAAGTATTCGTAGAAAATAGAAATATCAAAATTTATATTTTTACGTAATAAGATTTTTCATTTCGACCATGCTCTGAATAATCTCTAATTAAATTAATAATTAGCAATGTCTGACTTTCACTTAATAATTAAAGTCCACAGAAGAGAAATACGAAAAGTATATTTTAATTTAAAATCCTATTTCAAAATAATTGCAACGTTTTTAAATAGAAAATTAAATTTTGTATTGTTTTAAATATAGGCAAGTAATAAAAATAAGACAATATATAGTCTGCAAGTGTTCTCTACACACTTATTATCTGTTAGACACCAATCTTTACAACTAACTACTTTTGAATATAGATAAAAAATCTGAAGTCTCCTTTAATTATCCCAAATAATTATGATGGCGTCTACACCTAGGCCCACACGAGTCGTTTGTACCACTGGGACCACGGAGGCAATAACTTCACTTAAGATAATGCCATTAAAATCGCATGTCATAAGCAAAATAACTGCGCATTTTCAAGGAAAACATAGAAAGTTATTTTCTCGGAATGATGCGGTCACTTTGCGCGGCCAAGTGTGGCGTGAAAGCCTTGTAGGTATATTATATTCTATATAGTCATCTTATTATTAAATTAGGTAGGAATATCGAAATTCCGTCCGGATCACTAACTAACCGTCCACAAATGTAAAAGCCGTCATGTTAAATAACGTTTCGCTTTCAGCCCGTGGATTCCGAATAACCTAAGCCGAAGTAGGTCGGCAGTGCACCATGTCAGATGTTGCATGGCTAGGGTATTTTACCTTCCATCAAGTGGTCTTGATGCCTCCGCTATCATAAATAAATAATTAAGGCACTACTACAAGTTGAGTATTTTGGCAGGTAAAATGGTTTTACGTTTCGAGTCAAGAATTATATATATACTAATATATAAGCTGAAAGATTTGTTTGTTTGTATATATAAAATATTCATCCTGTGGGTTTCCGAACTTGCAAGAACGACGGGAAGGGATGCGATCGATGTCATGGATAGCAGCTTTAGTTTATACAGATAAAGGGGTTGGCAAAAACGAATTTGGATGCCCAAAATAACGATACCCTAGTTTATAATAAATTACTGGCTAAACTTTTTCATCGAAATAAATTTAAATAAAACACTAACTTGTATAAAACCGTGGTCACGGGAACACGGTTGCTGCAAAGCTTCCAAAACGTCGGGCCGTAGTAAAAATATATTTTTAGATAAGTTTAACGAATATATTTCATGTTTTAAACTGTTAAAGTGTTTTGTTTAAACGTGTACTACTCGCAGAAAATACTGACACCAAATTAATTGCGCCTTCAGAAATATTTTAGCAATTAAATATCAATGTTTTTATAGATGAACTAGCGCATATATATTTTTTATATACAATTATTTAGTATTTCTTGGTAATTTCACATAACCTACACAACATTTTTTTTAACAAAGAAAGTGCTAAAATATATGAATTGAAAGGCTTCAACAATACTTAAAGCTCCAGGTAAACAAAATAAACACAATTATATTGTTTCTAGAAGAACCTAAACAATCATGGGCTCCGACAAGTTTGCTATAGACAAAACCTCTTTGTTGCTCCAAAAATGACTGGCCATCACGCAATCTGTCGAGTCTAATGACACTTTCGGCATGACAACAGCGAAATTATTAATGTCGATTGCTCAGAACTGTGAAAATAAATAAAAAAATTACAATAAAGAAAATGTCCATAATCGATACTCCTATAGCATTGTCCGATATTGAGGAAGTTTTGGCTTGGGTGGACACCTTCAAGCTTTCGCGGCCCACGAAGAAGATTAACAGGGATTTTTCTGACGCAGGTATATTACGAACTTACGAAGTAAAAAACGCAGACAACGTTTACATAATGTAAACACATCACAGCTGTTAAAGTTTTTTAGGTTAATGCAAATTACTTATCAAGCTATTTTTAAATTCCTGTTTTTTTCATGCAAAATTACAGTCCTCCTAGCCGAAATGCTCAGCGTACACTATCCAAAGCTCGTAGAGATGCACAACTACCCTCCGAGGAACAGCCACTCGTTAAAGCTAAACAATTGGATGACACTGAACAGGAAGGTTTTGAAGAAGCTTAAATTAAACTTGTGCTGCAACACGATGGAACAGCTGGCGAATTGTGCTCCGGGAGTTATTGAAAGGGTACTTTTAATGGGTATGAATGGTATATGATTTTATGGTTGAATAGAAGTTTCGATATCGATTTAAGAAATTGTTCCAAGGTGGATATCGCTCTTTGAAAGACGATCTGTTTGTTTATGGAGTTTAATATTTTGTATATGTATAGCTATCAAATCAGTCTTTTAGGTATACATCACTGTCGAAAAAAATCTAATTAGTATTTTAGACGATATGAGTTAATTTATTAAATTGATTTTTAATTATCTTATTGCTGTGGTTAGGATGTTGAAAACGATTATTGTCGCGAGCTTCTACTAGTATCTTATATCTTTTTTATATTTAGACATGTAAAAGATTATATAACAATCACAAATAATATCACAGTAAGAGACAAAATTCGTCGCGACGAAGATCTTAATAAGAGTATGAATCCTGAACAGAACGTTTCTAGTGGAGGCAGTTATTACGAGACATGTGCTGATGATGGTAAGTCCATCTAAAGCTAACGTTTAATTCTGTTCTTGTTGTTAGTCTACATCTAAGTGTTTCTCTAAATTTAATATTGCATAAAGCAGATTCATACTGAATTCACATAAAAAATTAATACGATTTAAAAGTACAATTATAACTAGCTGGCTAAATAGAGCGATCCGAGGAATTATAAGAACAACACACCTTCAGTCACAGATTGCTAATGTTTTGAACTTTGTTATTGATGCAGAAAACGTTCTTGTGGTGCCTGTCAAGTCAAGAGTTAATGGTGTCTTAGAAACTATACAAAGAAAGGTTGTGTGCTACGAAACCTACCTGTCGTTGAAGGAGGAGATGAAAGACGCAAAAGATTCCATTGAAGTGCTAAAACAGAAGGTAAAGGGAACACACCTAACTTTATCGTGATATCTTACTGAGTTTTGTTAGTACGACAGTAAAGTGATCCACATAAGCTTTAGCTGGGCTTTACAATGATAAAGCGTTGTTTAAGCATTTTTACAGACGAATTCTTAAGAAATAATAGCAATTTTAAAATAGTACCAAAAGGTAGTGTTTTTTACACATAATACTTGATTTCTTTGTTATTATTTAGGTGGACCATCTTGACAATTTGTTGAAACTCAAGGAAGAGAGGATCGATGAATTACAAAAGCAACTTGAGAGAAAACAAATCAGGCGCAAAGAAGTCGAAACGCTACAGAATAGTCTAGTCATTCCATTCGAACTGGGTCCCCCGTCGCCAAAGATTAACGATATCTTCGAACAAAATAAACCATTCTTAAAAATTAATGAAACTATCAGTAAAATACCAAAACTGGAAGACCTAAACAGAACTAGATCGGATGAAAAAGTGACAAGACCAAAATCAGATGAAAAGTTATATAAAGAGGAATCGGTCAAAATTTTCAAAGTTGAAGAATCGAGAATTCCAGTTCTCAAAATGGATGTAAACAAATCTCTGTCAAAACCGAGTATTACAGAAGTTCCACAAGAGTTACCTGATCAAATTAACGAGGTTGATAGAATTAGATCAGATGTCTTTAAAGAAATCGAAATCATAGATCAAAGAACCTTTGACAGCTATCTCGATAACGAGGAATTCAAAGACACCGAGCCTGGGAATTTTCTAACTATAGAGAATACTATACAGAGGGAAATGAACGATATATCTCAAATGAACTATACATCTAATACTATCTACTAATAAATAATACTTAATTCAGTCATAACTTAAACTATTTATAATGTCTCTTTCGGTCCTTTTACAACGTCGATGTTATTTTTATTAATTTAATTTTTAATACTTTAGAAATAAAGCTGTATTTATATTATTGATATTTTTATTGAAATCAGCGAATGTTGGCTTGGAAAATTTCACATAAACTTGGATTGCGTCTGAGTATTTTCGTTATGTGCTGCATTCTCTCCTTGGCAAAGTCCTGTTCTGCAGGCCTGAAAGAAAAATATTGCAAGAGAGAAGCACTTTTAAATCATTACTATTGTCTGTCTATAGTTTACGCGAGTAGTACACGTAGTTTGATATTTGAAACGTCGGGCCGAAGTTAAAAATCATTTTCAAGTATGTTTAACTAATATATCGCGTTTTAAACCGTTAAAGTGTTTGATTAAAATTATTACTATTTTCGAATAAGATCACATAAAATAAGTCGTTTTATTTTTGGTATATGAGCGGTGAAGATACGAACTTACAGTTTGATTTCGTTTTCTTGACCAACCACTCCGAATCTATTGAAATCTATATTGTCTTGATAGAAACATTCGTCATTGATTTGGTCTAGTTTTTCTTTGATCGGTATCAAGTCCGCAACTGCAATACAAAATATTTAAGTATAACATAGTTTTAAATATGATACGCACCCGAATAGTTAGAAAACAAAAAAAGCCGAATTTAACTAATAGTTAACTAGAAGAAGCGAAGAAACAAAGAAATGTAAGGAAGGAAGAATATCCTTGTGGGTGTCCGTTGTGTAAGCTGCAAGGTACCCAAAGATATATATGAAAGAATAATTCCTCTGTGAATGATTAAAAAAATGTCTGCGACAGAACATGGCTATCTTTTAATATTAACATGCAAGAATGATGGGGACGACGTCGTAGATAACAGCTCAAATTTATAAAGATAAAAGAGTAAAAAAAAAAGGTTTGCAAAAATGAATTTTGATGGTGACACAGTTAGTCTTTTATATAAATATTTTATTTTATTATTTATGAATTACCTTTGAATACCCGCTCGACACTTGACGCTGATGACAATTTTTCCACTCCACAAGTGCATGGCGGTAGTGACAGCGACATATCAGATGTCTGCACTGCGACACCGTCTTCGTTCTGGGGCCATTCAGATAAAGGACTCTCGTCTGGCAGATGGAAGTCAACTTTCTCCTTTCGTTTCTTATCTTCTATTCTTTGTTTCAGAATCTCGAGTTGTTCTTAAACGTATATTATATTTTAAAGCTTTTATATTTTTTACATGTTATTGCACAAATTAAAAATTGAAGAAAAATTACGACTCGCGCAGGACAGGAGACTCGGTAGCTCAATTGGTTTGTTCAACAGCAGGAAACGCTGTGGTTACTGGCTCAAACCCTGCCCGAGTCGTAATTTTTTTCTATTTATAATAAACATTTATGTTATTATTGGTTGGTTATTGGCAAGATCATGAATGCTGTTTGTTCCATTGTTAGCATTTAGAAACAAACGGCTTAAACATTTTTGATGAAATTTGCTAACATTATGGCATGTATCATGAGCTTTTCCCAGGGTCTTTGGAGAAAAGTCTAATTAATCATTCTTACATGTACTGTCTATATAGTTTACGCGAGTAGTACACATTTAAATAAAACACTTTAACGGTTTAAAACGCGATATATCAATTAAACTTATTTTCAAACAAGTATAACTAATATATCGCATTTTAAACCGTTAAAGTGTTTTATTTAAACATTCTTCCATGTATTCATGTGACGTAGAATTAATTTAAGAAATCGTTGATCTATCATAGACCGCACTCGAACCCACGATGGACGGCGTCAATGTTGTTAATTGAAACCCTGAATTGTCATCTTTACCTGGTGAACACAGCTCATACTCGTCATACGTTTGTTCATAGTGAGTAAAAGGACTCGCTTGCATGTACGGAGGTAGAGTTCTTATGAACGAATCCATTTTCATCCTTTGACATTGCTCCATCGGACAAGTCTGGGACAAACGCGATAAACATAAATATCAAATAAAACACTTCTAACGGTTTAAAAAGCGAAATATATTGAATGTATTTTTTATGTCTTTAAACTATTACTGCAATGTGTAAACTACAGACGATAATAATTATAATTTCATTTTTGAAACATGTTTGGTCTAGTGGGAATCGAACCCAGGATTCGTAAATTATTATAAAAATAAAACATAAAAAGTTATACATATATAACTTGTAAAGTTAAATTTATCTAACTTAAAAGTTTTTTTTTTTCTTAAGAAAGAAATCAGTTTTACTTCGATATAAACCATTGTTTAATAAGGAGGGCATTGAAGACCTGGTACCAGGTTTTAGGATAAGAATTACCTTTTCATAATGAATCTTATGGTCATGATCTGGTACGTGGGTTGGTATGACGTCCATACTGTCGTTGTGTAAGCTCCTGTTTTAAATAATACAATATTATTAGTTTAGATCAAGAATTGAAGTACCTTTACTAGAAATTATGGACTAATATACAAGATTAGTTATTCAATAAACATTTAATAAAACACTTTTAAAACGCGAAATGCATTAATTATTTTTAATGACGACCAGACGCACTCGTCTTTCAATGACGATCAGACAGACGATTTTTGTTTCGACGTGCTGTCGTGGCTACGGGGCTTTGAATCGTTAAAGATGTGTTATTTAATGAGTGCAACATAATTGCGTACTTGTCTAAAACACACAGAAGGAATGTTATTGAACCGTTATAAAGAGTCGTTGCTTTATTTAATAGTTTAATATACTACAATACATGTGCACGTGCAAATAATCGAAACCTCGGTCCCAGAATAACTTACCCGAGCGCTGACAAAGATTCATCTGCAAATTCTTCGTCATCCAGCTTACAGGGTTCCCTGCAATTAAAACTAAACAATTGGATACAAACGCAAAGCGTAAAACGTTATTATGAGTATTTTCCAAAAATGTTATTCCAAAGCTTTTTAGCTTTTTAGCCTGTGAAATAATATTGACAGATTATCATTCAGTCTTTATACAGAACTCAGATTTACTATTTCCTATAGGTTGATAACATGCGTCATACACTCGTACCTACTCTATATTTTTAACAAACTATTTATAATGACGGTCTATTGAATAAGTAGGTGGAAGAAATATTGACATTCCATCCCGGTCGCGAATCATCGTCCGATGAAAAAGCCGTGAAGTTTGCTCGCGTTTCTGTTTCCGTCCCTTGTGGACGGAACATCAAAAAAGATCGACAAAATATCATGATCAGATTTTACATAGCTGGGGTTTTCACCTGTCTTCAAGTGGATCCCGTGCCTTGGCTGTCCTTGTCTATCACTATCATTAAAAAGTATTAACAAAATAAATAATATGTACTTTTGTGCATCATTCTCCTCTTCAACGTCCTCGGTCATTTCATTGAAAAGTGAATCCTAAAGTATAAAAATTTTAATTAAACCCGTTAATACTATTTAGTTATATAAGCTAAATATTTTAGATCAAAAAGTTTATGACATATGGGTCTCGAATCTATGACAAACAGCATGCCGTGCTGCTCTGACAACTGAAGCCTTTATCTTGTTGTCGACTTGCTTGACATCCATCTTCTTTTGAACTGTATAAACGACCAGAAATCGAACCTACGGTCTTACAGATTGTCACGAACACTATGATTTTACTTACGATTCTCTTGCCGACGTTCAAAACGACTTTTTGCGGTCCCGGATCCGCTGACTGCCTTTGTTTTTCGCGCTAAACAAAATTCGTTATTAAATGCGCGCACGCAAGCTTAGAGATATTTAATATGTCTACGTAGAATAATATTATAATTTATGACAATCGTGACGTCATGTTTTAAAAATTGGATAATAAAAATATAAAAGCGGTTTTATCTGAACCCAGTTTTGGTTTGTAGGTACTGTACGTTGTTATGTCTATGCTATATTAAATAATATTATTATATTTTCTTAATATCCTATTAAAATTTTACGTCGCTCTTACGTCTATACCAATATGCCAGATAAAGAGTTTATTTATTTGAACGCGCTAATCTCCGAAACTACGGGTTCGAATCGAATAATTATTTTTGTGTTGGTTAGAACAGTATCGTAGTATCGTACAGTTTAGTTGGTATCTTGGAATGGTATAAAGCATCGCGATGCGGCTTATAGGAGCGAAGATGATACGGAAAATGGGGGGAACTATTCATTTCTGTGGGTTTCCTTTGCGGACGCTATGAAAACCGTTCAAGATGCGCAATAAATATGCATGAAATTCTCTTTAAATTATCTAAAAAAAATCCGTGACTGTATATGTCTAACTTTTAAGATTAACTTGCAAGAATGACGGGGCGCGGACAACGTCGTGGGTAACAGCTATAAAGAGTGAAGAGGTTTTTAGAAACTAATTTTAATGCTCAAATTAACTATTGTACGCGGACGAAGTTGCAGACACAGCTAGTATTGTGATTAAAAGAGGGTGTCAGAACTATCTAGCACAAAGTAGATACATATTGTATTATTTTTATAATTATATTTATTATTATAAAAAATACACACCAATTTCGTGGTAGACGCTATTTCCATTGAGTCTCTCGCGCCCAGCAGCGTCGCTTTTGTCACGGTGTGTGGGACCACGCTCGATGTACTGTAGTGAAACGTAAGTAACAAATATGGAACCGCCTTTGATCTTTACTAATACATAATAGAGTTTGTTTGAACGTGCTAATCTCAGGAACTACTACTTAGTTGACTTAAAAAAATATTTTTGTGTTGGTTCGACAATTAATCGAAGAAGGCTTAGGCTATAACATCAGGCTGCATCCAGTGTGAGCGAAAAACAAAGGAAAATGTTGAACAAAACGGTAAGTATTATTAATTTTTAGGGCATTCCGTCGCGTGCGCATCGAAAACAGCATATCAAGATAGGTACTCGATTACTACGTATGAAAGAATTTCTCTGCTTTAAATTATTTAAAATGATGTCCGCGACAATATATGTATATTTTTTAAGCTTTGCGCACAAGAAACGTTTTAATAGAAATCGGGTTTCGTCGAAATATGTTAAAACTTGTAAACTGATATACAAAGTCCATTCGCCACTTACATAATTTTTAATATAGAGCCCATCGTTCCTCTAAGATCCACACTAGCAGTTGTCACTCGGCGTTGACTCGTTTCAGACTGAAATACACAAAACTGTTCGTAATTGTAATAGTAACCGAAAAGATACTAAAGATTAAAAAGTCCATAAAGACGAACAACAACAATAACAACATCAACATCAATAACAACATCAACATCAACAACAATAACAACTGCATGAACTACTAGCTGTGTCAGCGACTTCCTGCTGTTTCTTCGCTCCTATTATGTTCCAGCGCGAAGCCTTTTATAGCCTTCCTCGATAAATGCTCAAACCAACGCAAAATTTTCAATTCGAACCAGTATGTCCCGAGATTAGCGCGTTAAAACAAGCAAACAAACAAAATCTTCCGCTTTATATATTCTATTATCTAAAGTTGCATGTATTTTCTAAAGTTTATATTAAACATTAGAACGCGTTTAGTGTTATATATCTGTAAAAACTAACTCCTCTTGAAGACGGCCTCTCCGTCTGCATATTCTGACACTCCCATCGACTCTTAGTCGGTTGGTACTTCAAGTATTCGTCCTTAATACTATCGAGGTTTGGACAGTTTGCACTGACGATGTTTTCGTGGAAAACTGTTGATATTTTTTATGTTACAGGAAAACAGACTGAGTAAGCATGGGCTTTACTCGGTGGAAGTAAAATGCTCCAGCCATAGGTATTTTGGCTATGGATATCCACCGACTGTAACCGAAACACGATTAAACTTCAGGGTTTTTTTCATCTTTTTCATCAACGTTTCATTATGTCGACGGAATTTAAATTTTCCAACCATCCATTTAATATCCAGATTTCCAGATGAAATCTAACGTGTTTCAGAAAAATTATAAATTGATTAAAAACATGTTGGGCCCGGTGGAGATCCAAGTCACGACACCTTGATTATTAGTTATTCATTGATACTATTAAACCAACGAGTATGTCAAAATAACTCTGTACTTAGTTTACACAAAACCTAAACAAAATGTAATGAATTTCGAAAGCTTTTATTATCTTAGGTCTTTGTTCAAACATCTAACAAGGTCTTCGAGTTGTTTCTTTTGAATACTAAACTATTAAACTATTAGAAAATACTTAAATAGTAACGTTTGCAGCAGCCGTGGTCACGGGGAAACGTTCGCAGTTAAAATAATTTCCAAATAAGTCAAACATGTATCGCGTTTTAAGTGAACTACAGGCAGTATATACTCAAATATCTTTGACTTGCCATATTCTTTCCATTTCTTTGGAGCAGATTTAGCAGCCTTCACAGTTTTCAGAACTTCCCTACGCTCTGGGGGCTTGAACTCTGCCATATCTCCAAATACTATGAAGGGGGGATCATCCCCTTCTATCAGTTCCCACCAGTTTTTTTCTTTGGGGATTGGATACTTCTCTAGAAGCATTATTAGAGGATTCTAATTTTTATATACTTAGATACTATATAGTTAACTTGTCTGGAAAGGATCGCTGCTTAGCGATAAGGTTGCCTTTTATTTATAAGTTAGTACGTAAGATTCTTTCTCTTTAATATACATTTTAATGGTGTGTTATAAACAATAAAGTTATAATAAAATAGATATTATTTTAACATTGGTAATAGGTAGTAAAATAGTTATATTTTTAGGTATCCATTCTAAGATTTAGTATATTTTAACAAGATAGAAGTATAAATTAATGGATATAATATTTAGTTTTGTTATTCAATTCTATTGTTTGATAACTTCTTGTTTGAAATTTTGCAACTTACTTACCCACTACCTTAATGCTTATATAATTAACCAACATGGTTATCACTTCCCCTCTTTCTAATCTAAGCTGCCCTAACTCACCTTCTCCCACCTCATCCACATCGCAAGGATCCTCAGTGGGGTCGTCTTCGATGGGAGCTTTGGTCTGCATGAGTGCTGGGATGTCGATGAAGTATTGGTTGGTGTCTGGTGTACCGCCAGAAAAGTGGTATATGAACCCTAGGAACTGTAAAGATTAGTGTTTCTTAATGCTAATAATATGTTAGGACAATTAAAGATTTATTTACTGATTTCTTTTAGGGCCAACCCTAAACATTTTTTTTTTCATTTCTTCTTTATAGTCTTAATCAGTCAATATTTAATTGATCGCTTCCATTCCCGGTTATGGGTCCGAAGCCCGTGGAAACAATCAATTTTTTTTCGGTTAGCCGGGACACAATCTCACAATCTGTTTGCACTTCAAAATTCACTTTTAACGATCGAAACGTCGGGTCATAGTTAATATAAATTAAGAATAAGTTATTAGTAATAACTTATCTATATATATTTGCTTTGCCTTGTGTTTTTTTACTACTCGCGTTAACTACCGACAATAGGGGAAAGTGGGGAATTACAAACCTAAGGGAAAACTGAAATAAAACAGTGAAATTTAATCACAGGGCTTCTTCCATTGTTTAATTATAAAGTTTACTTATCTAAGTAACAAATCAAGTAGGCAACATTTATATTTTTTCAATAAACTATGATAATATAAATAAAAAACAAAACCCTTCGTGTTCGGTTTTCCCCGACGTTAGTCGGGTAAACACGAACACCAATGAGGTAATTACGTTCGTAATTACGTAACATTAATAGCGACAGTGTTTACATTTATAACCTGCCGTGTTAACTGACCGTCGGTACAATTCTCGTGGGCCCATTCCCACACACGTAACACATTATCCAGTCTTCCACAGGGGGATCTATATCTCGGGTGTTGACTAGACTAGTGGTGGCGTGATCTCCAAGATGGCGACAAGCGAAATATGCCTATCTTTTCTAACACATCAGAACCGTTGAATTCGGGATTGCCCCGCGGTCGCGTTCCGCGCCCCCACCCCCCCTCCCCTACGTATCTAAACGCAATGGAAACAATAACGTACTCCAAAAAAAAAAAAAAAAACTTAATAAACGAATACGGGATTTAATTTATTTTTTCACAATAATTAATTAACCTCATTAATGACTCTGTCCATCTTATCTTTCCACTCTTGGTCCACGCGAGCTGCAGTTTTATAACCACAAGATAGTTTCAGTATCAGTGCTTGACTTTCTGCTAGAATGTGCTGTAGGCCTTTTATGTAAGTCGTGTAATCTAGGAGAAGATGAACGTAGTAGTGTATCACTATTTTTTTTATTTTAATTTCAGTTCGAGAAACTACACAGTAGTGTTTAAATAAAACACTTTAACGGTTTACAACGCAATATATTGGTTAAACTTAAAACGGGGAGACCTCCCCGTGACCACGGCTGCTGCAAAGCATCCGAAACGTCGGGCCGAAGTTAAAAATCATTTTCAAATAAGTTTAACTAATATATAGCGTTTTAAACCGTTAAAGTGTTTTATTTAATTGTGTACTACTCGCGTAAACTATAGACAGTAGTGTTCCTGAGAATCATATGTCGCGGTTGTTGCTTGGAAATAGTCGCTTACAATTCCGATCTTAATTCAAATACAATAAGGTCGATAATACAAGGCATACAAATGTTGCATTATAGTACTGTCATACAATTGAATGGTGTATGCACCGGATGGTGTAGAAATTAAATACGCTTCTATTTATGATAGAGAGAGATAGACAAGCACGAGACTCACTCTATAGGTCATATTACATATCACATTACGCTCTATCACGACATATATAATATATTATAGAGTGATTAGAAATATGCTGGTCGCGTTGGGGATCGAATCCACGACTCGTTGATTATTAGGCTTGCTTTGCTACCATTAGACCAACAAGCGTGTCTTTCGCACAAAAGAAAAAGTTCCATAGCTAATTTCCAGTATAATCTTATACAATCTACCTTCGACCAGCCGTAATATTTGAAGCTTGCTCTTTCTTCTTTCAGAGCACATCACAAACATAAGCCCAGCGAGATTTTTACATTCCAACTGAGTCTGTAAAGCGGCTATCTTCTCCTTTCTCTCTCTGTGTGCTTCTCTCATCATGTGCGATGCACGAATTTGTTCATTTCTGTTATTATAATGATGCTAGTATGAAAGACAACGCTTAAGATAACATAGGTCGTATGCGTGAAAAATATTTTTCACATGATAAGTACCTTTAAATAAATATATATTTTCCATTGAAAATGTTCAGTGGTAAAGCAGCGGTACGGGTCTAAGGTATACAGGTTTAAAATCTCGATAAATATTCATAGGTACTCATCTGGAATTAGAGCACAGATTTTTAATTTATGATTTTAATCATAATTTTTAAATTATGAAAATTAATATTGGCATTCGTTGTCAATTTGATTTTAGTGCCTGATAATTAGCCGTTTAGTGACTGATTTTATTTTTAGACTTATTATGCTTATGACGCACAAGACAAAAGTAACGCGTTTCCCCTATGGCACTAAGACTATTTTAGTTTATATCCTTTAACATACTTAGATAATCTAACATAAAATCAAAGTACGAACTGAAGAATATAATCAAATCTGTCTTTCATCATCTTTATTTCCTTTTCGATTCGAATATGAAACTCTGCTGTGAGGGTTTCTTCTCTTTGCTTAAGCATTTTCTCTATTACTGCCGCGCGCCGCGCCTCTTCTTTTGCACTTAAACGATCTATGTAATAACAAAAGAAAGTATTATTATTTAGAACAATAGTTGAAATTATCAAAGATAAGTTAAGTAGAACATTAAGCGTTTAAACTGTTATAAAACAGTATTGTAGTTTCGATAACGAATTTAAGACTAGATTTGCGCTACAAAGAAATAAATTTGACTTATTGTTAAAACATACTCTAACTAATCCTTGAAACGAAGCCGATAGAAGGAGTGGATAAGAATAGCTTTTCAGAGAAGTAGACGTCGTAAAGAAACCGTTCGGAATTCGGGAAACTTCGGCTCAGGTAATCTGCTTTATTGTATTTGGCAAGCGTATAGCGTGGTATTTTATTTTACCATTATTGATTATACCATATTAGATTAGACCTACCTTTACATGGACACATATTTTCTATATCCGGTGGTGGTGCATCTTCAGTTTTGTCTGTGTTGATAACATTAGAACTATTCACAGGCGACGCTTGTTCCTCCTTTATGATTGCTAATGCGTCAATACTGCCGCCAATTTCTCGAGACATTTTGATATTATTTTACAGGGTACTTTTATATATAATTTTTTATTGGTTCTTCCTAAAACGGAAAATCTTAAAGGAAATATATATTTGTAAAAATAGATAAATATTTTTTTAATGTTTAATGGCAACATATGAATTTTAAATTTAATGCATTGAAAATGTTGTGTGTCTGTAATTTTTTATTATTTAGGTATAGAGCATAAACTAATTTTAAAACAAAACAAACGCCTTATAAAATAAGATAAGCAAAATTTATAATATGCCGACCGATCAAGAACAAAGTATGTTTGAATATATAAGTAATCAAACTAAATACTACACAAATGTATATGCAAAAAGTGAATTTGAGTTTAAAACTATTAGTAATATAATCATTGGAAAAAGGAGGTTAATTATTACACAAAAATATGTAATAAAGTAGTGAAAGAAAAGGTACCGGCTGTACTACTCTGTGGACGAAATCAGAATCAATATTATGATGTCAAATGTGATGTCATTGACACGACACGATTGACGTAAGAGCAAAGAAATGGCAACACCGAATTGAAAATTTTGATGGCTGTCGCGCGTGAAGTTAATAGCATGTGATATTTCGTGTAAAGTGTTAATTTTTAGTGAAATTTTGAAAGAACATGTGGTTTGTGCTGTGTTTTAAAGTGTGAGGAAACAGTTTTGTGAATGCTACGGATACCGCTTTTAGCATATTAATCAAGGAATTCCTTAAAAAATAATACATGGGTAAAGCCGTCACTTGAGGTGGTTAAGGTTAGTGCTTTTTTCGTCTGTTGTTTTCTTAAAATAGATTCTTGGTCGGGTTGCAATGATGTTACAGTTTTGTTTGTGTAACGTCTTCATGTGACTTTTCAGTTTTTCATTAGACCTTGAACTACAAACTTATATATCGTGCAGTTCGCTATCAAGGTTAGGATTGCGCGCATTTTGTCTCTGTATCTTTGTTTATTTTTCTTTACATAATGTTTCCTATATTATAATATTAATAATTAACTCATAGATATCATGTATTAGCATAGTATGTTGAAGTTTAATTAAGGATTTTTCACGTATTTATCGTGTTATATCGTAATATTGTCAGACCTAACCTAGTCACAGCAACATTTTTTGCTGCGTTTTTTGCACCGGTCAAAATCACCGTTATGTGTATCGAAAGCTGGGGCAATAAAAAGGCTTTAGACCTCGCGCTTGAGAGAATTGTTGCTGAAATTGAGATCATGTGACTAATATTGTTTTCATATTTTGACAGATGAAAATTTAATCTTTTTCAGACACTATCATGACGAAACTAGTTATTAGTTTACTGATAATGTAATAAGGGCTGCATTATCAATCAACTTCACACTTAGAAAGATATGTCAAAAATTTCATCCTTGTAGTTTCTATATACTTATTTTTTTTTGTGATTTTTGGATTTAATTATAACAGCTAAACTTTCACAAGTTACTCATGTAACTGTTTCATAGGAAATTTAGTCTTAACACTCAAATTTACATTAATTTTTGTCCATTACAATTTTAAACTTACCTACTGAATATTGTTTTGTATATGTAATAAATACACATTTACACATATACATTTATAAAAGGTGGGATAATGAAAAAGAATATTGATATTGTAAAAGATTATTGACACGGTTAATTACGTAAACATGCAACATAGTACTTATTAAAATATTGCACATTTTTCTGTGTCACATATCACTTTACTGAGTATGCAGTTTCATGCTCTACAATATTTAAACAAGTTCAGAACTTTAAAGTTAGTAAAAACAAAAATAATCTATAATTAATAAATGAGAAGATTTGAAAGTAGAAAGTTAGTTTTTGGGATTTTCTTGTGTTTTAAGACATCAAATTCCTCGCAAAAGACAGACCAATTTTGGTATCAGTTTAACAAACATCAAGTATATACAGGTGAATTGTGATTATTCCTTGATTTAATTAACAGAACCTATGTTTCTAGTTTGTTTTGGCTTTGCATAAAAAGATACACACATTTAATGACATAAGTAGGAGTAAATATTCATTTGTTTGTTAGAATGAATACTTGCTTTTCAAACTTATGGATGAAATGGTCAACAGACCAGATATGGATATGGCTACGATTGCCTGGCCTTTTATCGGTCTTAGAAAAAGTCTTAAAACTTGCAGTTTTTAAGGAAAGGAATTTTAATATCTTTAAAATGTACAAACTTTATTTCAAAGGGTTATATATTATTATTATTTTTCATACACCAAAAATAATATACAAGTTAAATATATATTTTTAAACTGCAATGATGGTTTTTATTAATTCATCATACAATGTTAATTATTTATATTTTGTGTCACCTATATGGCCTATGCAATCACTGTATTTAGATAAAACAATTTTATTATTACAGTTGAAATAAGTCTTTAAAACTTTAATATCAATCATTGGCATGTTTACCTTTATTAATATATTTATATTATATGTATGATACTTATACTAATATATAGCAGTAAAAGTAGTTAATAATTATTGTTTGTTAAATTAAAGTTTATATGTGGTTTGAAAATGTAAATAGGCATAAGTATAACGCATATTTTTCATTCTTAAGTTTCTTTGAATGTATGTACGAATTATATTAAGCTGCTGATTCTGAAAGATTTTCCTGTATCTTAAGGGAGTACTTATAAACAGAAGTTACATCGAAGCACAAATATTAGATAGGTATAAAGATTGTGAATTATTTACCTTTTCAATTTGTGTTATATATCATTTGGTTAAAGTTTTTTCGGCTTGTAGTCGTTCAATCCTGATTTTTCTATTTTTTTCTGATTTTGTAAATAAAATTACTGGTTGTGAATGAAGTATTTGACATTGTCATTTTTATCCATAAAGCAAATTTATTTAAATAGTATGACAGTACTTTGTAATGAACCAAACCAGAAGACAAAACTAGAGAACCAAATGTAATATAGAAGGCATATGACTGGCTGTGCCTGTGACTTCATCCATGTGGGATAGTTAATTTTGGCATTATAGTATTTATTTTTGAAAATAAGCTTGTCCTTCGAGTGGGCTAATCTAAGAAAAGATAGACATATACTTTTACAGAATTTTTTGAGATCATTTAAAGAAGAATCATTGTAAAAAAACTTTTTTTAGGTTTTAAAACCATTTCCACAGCAAACCAAAGGGAAGCAGTAAAAGATGTGTTTTCCCTTTTTTTTGCATTTACCGCTGTTTTCTTTTGCTCCTATTCATTGTAGTGTGATGTTAGAGTTGTAAAGCATTCTTCAATCAATTGTTGATCCAACGCAAAAATAATGTGTCAATTCAAACCAGTAGTTCCTGAGATTGGTGCGTTCAAACAAACAAAGAAATTCTTCAATTTTATAATAGTAGTATAGATGACATAGTATTAAACTACCATCATTATGCTTATGAAAAATTGAGTGTGTTTCTTTTAACTAATTTATGACCAAAACAATACTTTGTGATGTATCTAGTGCCTATCAAGGCTGACTCATTCTATCTAAACATTTCAATATTTTAGACCAATAAACAATTTTAATTGAATATTACCTTATTGTAAATAAGTAAACATATACTAAGTTGTATATATATATGCAATCCAATATTGTTTCACCTATGCCACGTATCTTTATATTAAGTTAATGATTTTTAAACTATTTTATCCATTTCAGATATGGAGTCAAATATTCTAAATATGTATCACCAGGCACGCTATCGCACAATTGATCACAATGTAATACGTTCAATGAGTGAGTCCCTATCATCTGAAGGCAGCTGTAATCAAAATAGTCCAGAATACATACAGGGTCAGGCTTCCAGTCAATATGAGGAGGAGAGCAATGAGGGAGAATATTGGGATGCTCAGGATAGAAATTTATGGAGTCAGAATCAAAAGGTAACAGAAGTATAAAAGTTACTTGTAAATTTGAGTAAACCTCGAAACTGTTGAACTGTTTAAAAGGACTCTGCATGTCTTAGTATCTTTGAATTTTTGTCTCATATAGTCAATAATATTTTCAGATAAACATAACAAAAAGCCATGACTCAAGTATAGATGAAGAGGTAGATGTTCAAGAAATATCCATAGATGAAAAAAACCAAGATTCATCTGATCATGAGGATGACCCAGACATAATGGAAGATAACTCTTTGGTTGAGGGTGCAGATTATGATGTCATTCAAGTTTTCGCTGTGGACCCTGATTTGGATTTAGAAGTTTCCTCAGAAGAGGATGATGAAGTTCATTCTGATGATGAGGAAAATGAAGATGAAGAAGAATATTTAAGTCCTCAAGATAAACCAAACTATACAGAGACTGATAATGTTTATACATACCAGCAGAACTCAAAAGATAGTATATGTACAGACAATTTAGGCATTAATTTAGACACTCCTGTTGTTTCAAATGTCGATGAATATTTTATTAAAGATAAAGATATATTAGCAGTGAAGGATGGACCCATTGTAAATGACGTAGATGAGTATTTTATCAAAAATGTAAAAGTACATACTCAACCTTCTGTGGAAGAAGATTTCTTAATACCTGCTAAGTTGCCACACAAACCGGATTTCACGATAGAAAAAGGTGTGCCCAATGTTGAGGAATTTTTTGCCACTGTTGATGTGAATGATGTTAAAGTAATGGCAGTGGAAGAGATGCCTGAGCAAGAAATTGAAGCAGAGGTTCCCCTTAACGAATCTGATCTTGAAGTCTTGCCTAACATTGAGGATTTAAAACAATATTTGCTTGAAGACACACCATATTCGAAGCTAAAAAGCGCGCAACGATCGTGCTCTGTGCCACATTCGCCGATGCGCAATATATGCTTAGATTTGGATGCTAAAACTTGCCTAAGTTTTGAGGATTTGAATTTGGACTTATCTGATCTGTCATTTGAAAATTCTAAAGACAAATCAAACAATAGCTCCAAAAGTGATGATATTCCGAGAACTTTAACTGAAGAAGATGTAAATAGCTTCTTAATAACACCCGTAAATGTTACAAAACCAAAACAGAATGATGACCTAAGTCCATTAGACATGGAGATAGATAAGCCTGTTGACTCAGTCATTAGCACAATTGAACAAACCAACTCTGTAATACTACCTCATGACATCCCTATTCAAGCTTTAAAGAACAGCTTAGAAGAAATTCCTGCTATAAAACCGGTTACACACAATGAGCCTAAAATAAAAAAAGAACAAGCTTCAAATTTTATGCCCAGTTACTTCACAGATGATTGCCAAATTAAAACGACATCAACGCCTATTAAAAGAAAACCTCAAGCAACAAAAGTTACTTCCCAAGTAAAACCCACAGTACTGGATTTTTGTATAGAAAAAAATAATATTGTACAAGAAGTTGATACTAAAATTACTGAATTAGAGGATTTTGTAGATGTTGAGTCATGCAACGATAGTATTATGCCAGTACTAGAGGCCAACAATTTAAATTCTCTTCTCGAACAGTTTGAAGCAACTGAAAAGTTGAATACAAACCCAAAGAAACCAGTAGTGAAATTGGATCTCAAGGGGAAAAATCTGACCACTTTAACGAATGGTACGCGTTTACAAGACGCTGGAGTACAATTGAACAAAAATAAAATGAGGCAAATCCTGGTAAGTATTACATCATCCATCAGTCACTAAAATAAATTTAAATTTTGTTATTTTCTTATTTAAATTATTACAGATGCCGTCGACTATTAATACTGAGGTCAGACGATCTCCAAGCCCAGTGCACTCTGATCACGATTATTGTTCAACTAAAAAACGCCACAGCCTTCCCAACATCAAAGGCGGGCGAAGTTTGCTTAAACCTGAAGTCTTGTCCAGTAATCATAAGATATTAAGCTCTAGACATAGGTCTTGTAAGGATAAAAAAATAGTGTACCACCAAAGTAGTGACGAAGAAGGTGAAAAGTTTAAAGACATTAAGAAAAAACTATTACCAAATCGTTCTAGTGATGACAGTGACATTAAAAAGAGGCCTAGTTCTAAACAAACATTAAAGACATCCCCAAATTCTAGTTATCGGAAGAAGGTCTCCCCTGTGCGTTTTGTTTCGGACGATATTATCGATAAAAGTAACGATTCTGTGATGGTGAAAAATGCTTCTAAAGCAAGTGATACTGCTAGTAGTCAAAATTCTAGTATTAAGCTAACTATTAAAAATAAGTCTGAGGTTATAATTAAGAAATGTGATTCCAAGGACAATCATAAGGTAAAAATTATTGAAAAGGACAAAAGTAATAGTCAACCAGCTGTAGGTATTGAGGTATGCAAAAATTTGTCGGAGATGTCAAAACAAATCATTGACAAAGACCAAATGGTTATTGAAGGAACTCAGGAGCTTTCCGACAAAGACAAAGCAGAGGAATCAAAAGCTGAAGACTTTTACGTTACTCTTTTTCCGAACAAAAAAGATGTCCAAATTCCTCAAGCTGTTTTAAAAAATAGCGAAAAGAGAAGCCATAGTGATGATAGTAAAGTCTCACCTGAACCTCTGAATAGAGTAGAAACTGAACAGCCGCAGAAGAGAAAGAAGTTAAACCTCCAAGAATACAAACTACGACGCGGCGCTAGCTCCAATACTAGCTCAGCTCAAGTGAGTCCAGAATCAATATTTCCCGAAATGCCAACGACTATTAACTTGGAGAAAGATGTGAAAGTAGTTGTTAATCAAGAACAAACAATTGAAGAATTAACTACGAATACATCTGAAAGTAAAGATTCGTCAAAGAAAATTTTCGATCCTATTCGAGAGGCGTCAAGAAAAATTCTTATGAACAGTAAGAAAATGAAAGCAGAGGCAATACGAAAAAGAGATGAAGATTTTGTTATGAGCAAAATTCCGAAAGTTGAGAATCTCGAGTTAAAACCACTAATAAGTGATGCCGAAATGATGAAAATCGTTGGAATGTCGGCAGATCCTATATTACCGATCCCAATAGCTACCGAAATTATTCAGCAATCTTCAAAGGATTACGACGAAATCATCATGGTAAGCATTGGAACGAATACTGACGAGAATATGTTCAAGAGGACTGAAGTCATGCCTGCAGTAAAGAAACCACAATCACCCCCCAAAGAGAGCAAGTCAATTATCAACTTCAAAATAAAGAAATCCGAAAATGTACTCAAGCATAACGTGTTCGATTCTACGAAAAACGGTAGAAGTCCCACTGAAGACAAGAAATTCGATATAAACATAGATGAAGAACGATATAAAGGCATTACAGCTACTTTAAAAAGCGTGGAGAAGCAAGTTGAGACTCGAATATCGAGTAATTCACTCTTTGCTAGTATCCAGGATGTTGTTATGAAAAAAGCTACAAAGCCACATGCAGACAATAGTTCGCCAGAATATAAATACGCTAAACCTACTATTATCCGCGATTACGACGACAAAGACGATCACGGCGAGGACAAAGTTATCCTCCATCTTGAAAAGAATCGAAGGAAACCAGAGTTAGCAGTGACAATAATACAAACAGATTGTACTGATGACTACAAACCTTTGCAAGCAGAAGTCACTGAATGTCCACCAATAGAGCTATCAATATCGCCGCGGAAACGAAACGATAGCGATATGTCTATGTCCAGCGACACAAGTCCTGTTAGAAAACCGCATTCCGAAGACATAAAGAGTGCAGAAGTAAAAGAGAGGCAAAAGGAATCGAACGAGAAGCAAAAAGAAATGAAAGAGAAACAGAAAGAGGAAGCGCTGAAGAGATCGCGTTCGAAAGAGCGTCACGCGTACAGGCGTTCGCGATCGCATTCTCGAGGGCACAGGAGGAATAGATCTAGAAGTAGAACCCGGTCTAGGTCCAGAGGTAGATTTAAACGGTATAGAAGGTCCGATTCACCTTATAGAAGAAAGAGACGGTCGTATAGCAGACGATCGCCGACACCTAGACGCGATTACCGCCGGTCTAGATCTAGATCTAGATATGCCGAAAGAGCTAAGAGCCCAGTTAGAAAAAGTCAGCCCAAGGGCGACAAAAAGTTTACCAAGTCACTTTCGCCTCCCGTTAGGAAAGCCACGGTATCGGAAAGCTCGGATACTTCCACTTCTTCAAGGTAATTTAAAAATCTGAGAGAACCTGACGTATGATTATGTGCATGTTTAATTTAATTCACTTGGATCAAATAGGAATTTTTAAATTAACTCTTGACATACTAAAATTTACCTACATAAGTTTTGGTTACAAATATTTTTTGCATAAACATATAAAATTACAGGCAAATTTTTCTTGGTAAGTTTAACGTTTTATAAAAGTCTGTTTTATTTTATAATGTATTTATTATAAGATTCTGGTCTTGGTCTGATTGGTCCTTTATAAATATATATATTTTCTTTTCATTATATTTTTTAGTTCATCATCTGAATCAAGTTCGAGCGCTTCCTCTAGAAATTCTAGGTCATCAAGTGTTTTCAGAAAAAATGAGCAGAGGGATCAAACATTTAGAAAATCATATAGCTCTGAGGATAGGTAATACATATTACTATAGGAATAGGTGATTATAATTAGAGATGGGCCGAGTACTCGGTTGATACTCGGTATTCTGCGTACTCGGCGGGTTTTTTGAGACTCGTACTCCACCGAATAACTCGGTTATACTTTCTTATTTTATAACGAGTACACTTTGTTTAAGAAAAGCAATATATTTATATAATTAAAACAACACTGTTAATTTAAAAATATTTATTAGTAATTTAGCAAATCTAAGAAAATCTCATTTAATAAAAATATAGATTAATGATATATTATAATAATAGATAATTAAATGAGTAGTAATAAGACAAAATTACGAGAAACTCAGTGCGAGCCGATGTCTCATTGAAGGGAGTTACTTGGGCGAGTACTCGGTTGAAAAAAAATGAGCCGATTAAAACTTGGCGCATGTCTAATAATATTCCACTATCAATATCGTTTAAGAGAAGGTGCACAACTTTATAAAGATTCTCATTCTAACTTAAATATGTAATTGACAGAGAGAGCAATACCCCAGTGGAAGAGAGACGGATAGTGTTCGTGGGAAAGTTAGAGCAGGACATAACTAAGGCATCGTTACGGAGTCAGTTCACTAAATTTGGGCCGGTCACTGAAGTCAGATTGCACAGTAAGGAGGATGGGTGAGTTTTTGCTTGAAGTTTTCTCTCTAAAGGATTGGATAATCGGATGCTTTGCAGCAGCCGTGGTCACGGGGAGACTAGAGCATCCGAAACGTCGGGCCGAAGTTAGAAATAGTTTTCAAATAAGTTTAACTAATACATCTCGTTTTAAACCGTTAAAGTGTTTTATTTAAATGTGTACTACTCGCGTAAACTACAGACATTATTTAAGGCTTATTCTGCACGGTACCTGACTCTTCTTCTAATATTTCAGGACCCGGTATGGTTTCGTGACCTATCAGCGACCTCGTGACGCGTGGTCCGCCGTGGAGGCCGCAGCGACCTTCCCTCAATATGACGTCGGATTTGGAGGACGACGAGCATTCTGCAGACAGAGCTATGCTGATCTCGGTAAGTCCTTCAAACTTATAACAAGCGGAACTACCATGAGACTCCTTTGTCTCTTATTATTTATCTTTGTATTAACCTAAATTAAAAATCGATTATAAACGACATGGGCATGTTAATTGAGCGGCACCTCTCGCGTTGTAATTTTAACCTCAACACTTGCGTATTAAGGTTCAATGTCTAATGCTTTGCAGCTTTAAGAAAATCATTGAAGATGTAATTACAAAGTTTAACGTTTCAAAACTTGTATATTTTTACATGCACATGATGGCACTATATAATATTTTTTTTTTGTATTAACCGTTTCAAGAATTCTTCTAACAAATATGAATTACCTGACAGATGGCCTCGAAGCCACATACACTGAGAGCGCATTCCACGGGCAAGGCGCTGCGCCGGTGCGTCGTAACGACGACATGTCCTTCGAACAAATGTTGCTAGACATAAAAAAGAAATTAAACAAACGAAAAGGCGACAAACGACCCGACGACAGTGCTTGACATTTGCTCTCCCCAGTTTCACTTGAAATCCTTAGTGTACGCCATTTTGGCTCTTCCGATGCTATTGACATTGGCGTGTCAGAAGCGATCTGTCAACTGTCAAAGGTATAGCGGACAATTGACGGTCGGTCGAAAGGTTTACAGGGATGTGTAAAATGGCGCCGTAATGAAGCTCTGTGCAATTGTAAAGACATTTTGTTTTGTTTTGCTCACTATGTACCTACGTAGGATGAATTGTAGTACATTTTATATTTGTAATTACTGTTTTTTTTGTAAATAGTTTAGTTAATAGCTTTCATTAACTCTACCTCTTATATCTAAACGTACATATATATGTACAGCGACCGGAGATTTCACATAGACTCAATTGTCTATGCCGTAACCAAAACTCGATTTATTGATAATTTTATAATAAAAGAGGCTTATAAGTTTAAAATGCATGTATTTTGTATGAAATAGTATCATTTGCTAAAAAGTCCATCCATTGCTATCATATATGTATGATTGTTAAGTATACTTATAAAAAAATGGCATTGTCGCTCTTATAAAATAGGTATTTAAAAGATAAAAAATAATGTGGACTTATTAAATCAGTTTTATAATTTTTACTGGTTAAAAGCTTAACCAATATTGCGAGTATACATGTATACAATAAGCCCAGTGTAAGAATTAAACTTCAAAATCAATAAGCTAAATGGTTTGATGTTGTAAACGGATTCCATTGTATACTTTCAATGTTGTTATTGTCTATCTTTTGTAATGAAATCTTATATTCTCTTTCTAATCGTATTGATGAGATAGAGATGCAAATAGCTGTTATGCTTCCAAAATATGCCTGTGCCAAAACTATTTCTGTTCCTATTCTGACTGAGTGTAAGCGAATTCTAAAGTATAAGAATTTATGGAAATATATTTGAAGTGACACATTTAAATAAAAAAAATGTTTGTACTAATGTCCAAAAAATAACACGCGTAATCTAAGATTTTTGCCCACTGACATAACGTCTGTCAATGGTTCGTGTGTTATCAGTGACGTGTTTGAAAAATACGCAACAAAAATGGTTTATAATGCTAGTTGTTGATAAAGGTAACTCTTTTCGGAAATTGTGGGTAGTTCGCAAAACTATCAACTGTTATATAATAATGATGAAATAAATCAGTCACTGTTTGTAACAGCATATCAACGTTCATCATAAATCATGAAAATCTCGCCACTATACCACTTTTAAATGAGACGCTCTACTGTATTTGGGACCCATTCTTTATTATTTTAAAAAGACTTTACTTTTAGTCAAAATCCGTCGAGCCTTCGCTCTCTGTATCTTATCGTAGGTCTGTTTTTAGTTAAATGAACCTAGTCAATAGCATTAACAGTAGTGTCGTTGTGATTATATTTATTTAAGTCATTTTCATTTAGTACTTAGGCCGTGAGCACAGAATACACGACAAACCGGTTGGCGTTACAACTATCGCAACTGTTCGCAGTGCACTGTGGCACTTTCTGCCTCCTTTATAGAATTACTTTGCAAATTGGAGTATCAGACTACCTCATTTGAGCACGTTTCTAGGTTATTTATAATCTCACTATGGCCGCAATACATTCGCGTATCAAAAATTGTGTATATGTCTGACGTTTGTAGTGAAGGCCAATAAAAACAGTGTGCCGGGCCAAAAATGGACGGTAGTAATTTTATTTGGATATTTCAATAATGCCTGCTTGATTTGATTTCGCCTAATGGTTTTTATAATGTTACCGTTTTAATATTACAGTTGCTACAACGCCATCTCTTAACCTACATACGAACTATCGAGCTTTGTAGAATTTAAAAATGATTCATCTGTATATTTATACTATTATTATATGATATAATCAAATCAGGATTTAGAGTAAGGATCGATATATTGATGTTCTTATTATAACGAGTTGATTTGCGTATACAATTTTAAATTTCGACCACGAAATACTCTGTAAATAAAATGATATTATAGATTGATGAAATTTTATGTGATTTTTAAGTGTTTGAAAGATAAATACACGAGAAGTGTAAGTTTTAAATGGCAAAGCATATCTGCTACTGATTTTAATGCTATGTCCGCGCGTGCGCAAGCACTTGGAATTGTAAATATAATAATAAAATTGATATAATTTCAAACTACCGTCATAAAAATGCATTGTGATTTGCACGTTTGAATCTGAGTTTGAAATATTTTTTTACATATTTAGATAGCGCTTCGTACGAAAAGCTCGGTGAGTTTTTCAAAGCTTTAAGAAAGACAATCCTATCCTAAGGGGGTGACGATAGCTTACTAACGCAACCCATTCTGTCAATTCGCTTATATCAATAACCAGTTATCGAACTAGGAGTAAGTCTAGGAATTGAATAAGGACGAATTAATTGTAAATAAAATTATTTAGTTATTAATCAGTACTTGTGTACGCTATAAAGTCCAGGAACATAGAAGCAGTGAGAGTTTTATACGTAATGTTGTTGAGAATAAAGTATTTTGATGATGTGTTTTGTTTTATTTCTGCAGCACCAGGTTACCCCTCTTTTTATCTTTATCGTTTAAAACAGACTGCTAACTCTATGTCTGCTACCGGGCAATATTTACAGTGAATTTTTACAACTAGACTGCACCGGCTTTTCTCTAGAAGTGATGTAGTCAGGGGGCAAATTAATAATTATTAAAAAAAATAGAGAAACGAAATAGGAGATTGAAAGTTAAATCAAAGAAAAATCAATCCTTCGAATAATTTTCCCCTTTTCAATAAGGGCAACAGATTGAAAGGTTGTTGACAACTTAAAATTCGCAAATTACTCAATATTTTAAATATTAAACGAGGCTCCTGAAGGAGGAGAACACAGAAATTTCGTAAGTCTATTTTTCCTATAAAGAAAAGTTAAAATAAAAAAATTGTGTCAAAACGAAATACCAAGTACGCGAATCGCACTCACACTTAACCAGTTTTAGTTATATCTACAGACATACCAGACCGTTCCTATTATAATAGGAACAATAAAAAAGTTATTGTAATATTATTTGCTACCAGAGTTATAGACGTTTTAGGACTTAAAACAATTTCTTAGGTCTTGCTAAAAAATTACGGCCTGTTGATACTTCATGCTCGTGTATTGTTGCTATTCACCACTAGATGGCGTTAAGCATTTCACAGCTGATCGCAAAATATAATGGTCCAATCTGTGAAAAAATACCCCCGGAAGCTTTGTGTTTACCAGTTTTTCGGTGATTCTTAAAATTATTAATTACTTGTCGGTTACATCCGATAGAAGTTAATTGCATTAATTAGACCGATTGGGCTTGTCAGACCCGCGCCATACAAAACGAGTCTCGGAAGCATCTTCATTCCACCCTTTACGCCTTAAGCTACCTTTCAGCAGGTTCACTGCATGGCGACAAGATCAAAATGCTATCATCCATTGCGGGCTAAGTTCTAAATTGATAAATATTTATATTCCAATAGATCCTCATTCAATTACCGTTTAAATATAAATTAATTAGTTATAACAGTTGACGCTAGTAGTACACATTTAAAAAAAATACTTTTAAGGGTTTAATACGAAATTTTAAATCGTGTTTACTAATAAGCTTCAACAATCTTGCATTAAACTGTTGAAATGTATTTATTTAAAGTCCACTACTCGTAAAGATACGAAAGCTCGTGCACATAGCCAGTATATATAATAAAGTAAATTTTAATCGTCTAGCCATAAACAGACAGTAATTAATATTTTCTTCGTATTGTAGAAAATATTTAAATCTTTAATTTATAAAACCGATTGTGGGCATTTTTATTTGTTTGCCCAAATCGAAAAAAATACTCATCAACAACTGAGCAACGGTGACATATATAACTATTAAACAAAGTGTTAAATATTTACTATTAATAAAGGAATTTTAATGGTATATCCCCGTTAATTTTGTTTCGATACCCTTGTTTAGCTTTAGGAATGCGACTAATGTAAATTAAATTCATAATAAATCAGCTATCTAAATAAGTTTCAAATAAAAAGGAGCAATGTATGTTGTATCCATTACAAGCTATCGTCGCGACCAGCACTGAGTAAATTAGTATAATAGCCCCAGGTCTTTTCCGAGTGTCTGTACTTTTAACGACTAGTTTGGCATTATTGCCGTTGTAAGGACTACCCCCTTTTATTGAAATTTTATTTAAAGATAGGATTAAATTATTGCGTTGCATATTCTGTTCATTTGAAATACAATTTTTACTTCTGTATTTTGTACCTCTTTAAAGTTATTCATTGCAATTTTTTTTTTAGCTAACACAACACATAACTTCCAGTCTTTACAATCATGTCATGAGCACACTCCACTGCAACGAGGTCCTGGGTTTTGGATTGAGAAAATCTTACTTACCTTGAGTGTTGTTGTAGAGTGTTGCCAAACGGCTCTGAAGTTGCGTGGTGGGTTTGGGCTTAAACCCGACGAGACATGCGCTCAGCTCTGGGCAAGTCTGTTGAAATGAAATAATAAACCAAACTAAAGCGTTGTCAAACTTACAGTGTGAACGTGAAGAAAGAACATGTTTGGATCAAACTTTTTCTATAAATTTAATAGTGAATTTTAAATCTGTTAAATTATTAGGTGTTATGACAATGTCTGGATATAATCAATTAGTAACTAGTCAGTAACTAATCATATTTGAGCTAACGTCTGCAAAAAACAATCAATAGGTGGTAGGAAAATCGAAATTCCACGCAAGACCCAAAAGTAGATAGTGGTTATAATTCTGTATGTTGATTTTAGATTATGAAAAGCCAGAATAAGTCGTCAACACGTTTATTTACATGTTATAGGGTTAAGTGGGCCCCATACCTTTCTGTTCCACTCGCTTAAAAAAATTGAAACTCTATGGAATGTAAAATTGAATTATTTATTTAATATTGTTTCACTGAAATTATAATATTATTGATAGAATAATTAACTATATGAGTCTTAATTTTAACTATAAAGGATCT